TATTTCATATTCAGGAGACTGCATTTCATTATACCCCCACCACAAAATGTGGGGGGGGGCTATAATGGATTCGCTTTGTCGCGTCGGTCGGTCGGTCAGTCGGTCGGTCCGTCCGTCCGTCTCCATTTTCGTGTCCGCTCTATAACTCCTATACCACTTGAAGGATTTTCTTCAAACTTGGCTCAAATGTTCACCTCAGCAAGGGGATGTGCAGAACCCATGTTGCCCATGTGTCAGCTCAAGGTCAAGGTCACAATTGAAGGTCAAATATCAAACACAATCATATATAAGACAGTATGTCTTGTCCGCTCTGTAGGTCCTACAATAATTGAAAGATTTTCTTCAAACTTGGCTAAAATGTTCACCTCAACAAGGGGATGTGCAGAACTCATGTTGCCCATGTGTCATTTTAAGGTCAAGGTCACAATTGAAGGTCAAATATCAAACAATCAAATATTACACAATATGTCGTGTCCGCTCTGTAAGTCCTACACTAATTGAAAGATTTTCTTCAAACTTGGCTCAAATGTTCATTTTAACAATGGGATGTGCAGAACCCATGTTGTCCATGTGTCAGCTCAAGGTCAAGGTCACAATTGAAGGTCAAATATAAAACAATCAAATATTACACAGTATGTCGTGTCCGCTCTGTAAGTCCTACACTTATTGAAAGATTTTCTTCAAACTTGGCTCAAATGTTCACCTCAACAAGGTTATGTGCAGAACCCATGTCACTCTTTTCCGGCTTAAGGTCAAAGTCACACTTGAAGGTCAAAAATTGACTGAGAAAATGTTCTTTAATTTTAACATATATCTGAATATTTCTGAATGTAGGAAAGGTATTTGCTTGAAACTTAAAATATAAATGAAGTGTCACAATTAAGATATGCTGGTCAAGTTTCATAACTCTGTATTGCATTTTAACAAAGTTATGCCCCTTTTTAATCTTCAAATTTACATACAATCACATATTAGACAATATGTTGTGTCCGCTCTATAAATCCTATACTAATGAAAGAATTTTCTTCAAACTTTTCTCAAATGTTCACCTAAACAAGGTTATGTGCAGAATCCATGTCACCTTGTGCAGGCTAAAGGTCAAGGTCAGACTTGAAGGTCAAAAATTGACTTAGAAAATGTTCTTAGATTAAAACATGTTCTTGAATATTTCGGAAACTAGCATAGGTATTTGCTTGAAACTTAAAAGATATATGAGGTGTCACATTTACGATATGCAGGTCAAGTTTCATAACTCTGTATTGCATTTTGACAAAGTTATGCCCCTTTTTAAGTTTAAATTTACATACAATCAATACTAGACAATATGTTGTGTCCGCTCTATAAATTCTATACTAATGGAAGGATTTTCTTCAAACTTTACTCAAATGTTCACTCCAATTGGGCGATGTGCAAAACCCATCATACCCTTGTGCCAGCTGAAGGTCAAGGCCACACTTGAAGGTCAAAAATTGACTTATAAAAAGTTTAGTATATTGGGAAAATGAAAGGTTATTTGTAACTGTTTCGAACATGATTTGATAATAGATATTTTTACTATTACCTGTACAATTAGTCTTTTTTCACCAGAGATAATTTCTTTTTTATGTATTTGTGCCACTTAAGTTATTCCCTTAACCACCTTTCCAAGTTGTCTTCTGTCAAGGACATTGGTGGGGGTATGAATCGCATTCAGCGATAGTTCTAGTTTGTTATTATTTAGATTTCTTAAGTAGGTAATAGCTTTGAAGTTTCTTTGCTGATTGATTCCCCTGTTGTTTAAGTGTCCAGTTGCAGAACGCTGTCAGCTGTAAACAATTAAAATTTGGAATACACAATCTGTGTGTCAGCTACGTTTTGTACTGCTTTTGTAGTCATTATGTATACAGTATAGAAATTAAATTTAATCTTCATGTATGAAGATGGACAAATCATTTGTTACTTCAAAGTATCTTTACTGTAGGTTATTTCCCTTGTCCTCGCATGTTTATAGCCTTAGGGTTTTATTAGGTTTCCTATAGCTGACAACATGTTTTACCATATGGAGGATTTTATGATGGCCACATGTGTCACTGTTTATGCCACAAATTGCTGATTTTACCACATCTATATATACAGGTATTTAAACTTTTATGCTGACATATTTCGTTGTTTTTACCGTCATTATTTATAAAGTTAATCTTCTATGTGTATCTGGTATGTCTGATTAAGTAAATAACATATGGAGTTTAATTGGAACAGTTTAACTTTGATAACTTTGTGTTGTATCTAACAAGGTTAAATATACTGTAGAAGATCATACACTAAATGTAGAGTGTCAATCTGTTCTTGTACAAACTAACTTATGTTAAACATACCGGTAATGTTGGTATATCAGTCTAGAAATCTTTGTGAACTATGAACGTATTTTATATAACATAACATTCAGATAGTTACATGTTAAAGTTTTACCTTAAAAATGGTTATGTCTGTCTTTCAATCTGGACAAAACCATTCATTATAGGGAAAATTTTGAAATATGTTCTAAGTAGACAATAATTATGATCAGACAGTAAGGATGTACGGTCAGATGTTGATCAGGATTGGTTATATTGGTAGAATCTGCTGCCACTTAAACAGGCTAATTGTTAAAGATGCTTTTTACTTTAAATGGTTATATCTGATAAACTAGTTGGTCGTGTGAGATAACCTTGTGTGTCTGCCCTATTTTTATCTGTAAGAAAATTGTCTATCAATATAGTTACACTTTAATTGACTTCTCTTACATTTAACCATTAAAATTATGATATCTATTCATTTGAGTACTTGTCAGCCTTTTCTCCACTTTTGTTAATGAGTTTTGGTCAACTATATTGGGATGGCAGAGAGAAATAAAACTTGATTAACATAGCTAAAATATGATTCTTTATGGTCATTGGAAAATTTTTTGACTAGAATAATGAATTTTGTAATTGGAATTGGTAGGACCTTTTTAAAAAGAGGCTTTATAGGAACACAATAGAATTATCTTTATAAAATGTTGATTTGGGTGTTGTTTGTGCATCATGTATGTCTGTGTGTCATCAGGTTGTAGAATCATACAGATTAATATTGAGATTTAGTGTATCATATGTATAAGATAATGGTGTCTTTCCTGACAACTTTTGTAGGTCAAACATTGGAGATTTGCATTAAAAATGAATCTAAACACCTGTAATTATAGCATTTTAATTGGATAAATCTAATATTCTTAGAGATAAAGAGTTACATTAAAATTTAGCTCTGTTTTACAAGGTATTGGTTATGTTAGCCTCAAGATTCTCTTTCTTGTAAGTTTATCTATAGTATGGTCAAGGTTTCTGGAATTGAACCACTTGCTATTCACCGTTTCAGGGCGTCCCTGGCCGAGTGGTTAGGTAGTTGACTTCAAACCACTTGCCCCTCACCACTGAGGGTTTGTATACTGACAGCCCTGGGCTTCATGTGAGGAAGCTATAATCCAGCTAGCTTACTGAATGTTGGTGGTTCTACTCAGGTGCCTGTTCGTACCTGAAATAATGCACGGAAGTGCACCTGTGGTCTTCCTCCACCAGTGAAGCTGGAACGGCGCCATATGACCTATACTATTTTGGTGTGACTAAAAACCCAATCAGACAAAACAAACAAACTTCACCGTTTCTCTATCAATTCTGGTAGAATTCTTTTATAATATATAGAATCAATCCAGCTCGTTTTTTCCCAAGATACCATTTATCTCTATAATACATTTCTTAAGTGCATTTTTTTAATAACCTTTACCTTACTAATTATCTGAAATGGAATTTTACTTGTCCAACTTTAAATCTAGGTGAAAATATTCATAATGGTTAGTGAAAATTTCAAAATAAGTACTGACTGAAAAGCTAGTGAACAGAAAAGCACTGGTAACATGGGTCGCCATTAGCAGGTTCAGAAATATTATTTTTTTATTCCCCTATGGCATAAAACCAAAAATTGATTGTTTTGAAATTTGTAATGTAAATTTGTAATGTAAGTCTTGTTTTTGACTGTTGAATTTTATCTGGTCTGTTTACAATTAGGAACTCCAACCTCTACCTGCTTGCAATACTAATGATACCTGAAATCAGGGGCACTTTCCAAGTGAAGCATAATTCTTTGCTTGTTATAATCTTTGTTTACATGTATATACTACAGTTATTTTGATGAATCTCTGAACATTTTAATTTTGTGTTGATGTCAAGTGAGGAAATGTTATGCCTAGAGATGACATGTGGCTGTTTTAATACCTGTCTATATGTAGATAATAGGTGACTATAACGTTAACTTAATTTTATTGCAGTTTATTTTGACATTACCGGTGAATGTTAGTATGTACAGGAAAACCTAGATAAATAATGCTAATCATGACTTTCTTGACCTGTCTACATGTATGTATACCATAAATAGCTCTCATCTTATCATGCTTTATAATAAGATTTTTTTCCCCTCTCATGCTCCTGTGTAAAGGTAGCTTGTACAGTGGGGTTGATAAACCAGAGGTCAATCTGTTAAACCTGGATTGTCTAGAAATAAAACATATTGTATACAGAAAATACATAAAATGTAAATGAATGCCAGGCATTGTAAATTTCTGTGAAGGACATTGTTCTAGCTCGTGTATCTTGCTTCATAAAAGTCACTGTTCTGTTTTTGTAATTTACTTGATTTATTTAGCATTATAAAAATGCACACCTTGCATATTTAACAGGTGTAAAATATACAGAGCAGATATCAGGCTGATTATAGCATCACTGTGGCCAGATCATTTTGTCTTTACACATAATCATGTTACTAATAGATGATTTAAGTTGTTTTGCAGATATAAAATCATATAAAAATAGAAATTATTATTTCATAAAGATCCTAACTATGAATTGATAACTCTGTAACGCTTGACGTCTGTTGAATTATAACGCTCTGTCACTGAACTGGCTTTTTTTTGCACACATTATTGGAATAGCTAACATGAATTTGTATATTTTCAGCTGTACCATTACCCCAGGTGGTGAAAGTGGCTGACACAACCCCCCCTACCCCTGTAGAAACCGCTGACTCTAGCTCCAATGCTGTTAAAAAACCAACCAAGGTAACTTTTTCACTTACATTCATAAATATTTCCATTTATTCCATTTCATTACTTTTATAAATACTTACTTTAAAGTTGACGTAATTGGCAGTGTTTAAAGTTGCTGATATACTATCACTTGTCCCTGGCTATGTACATCCATTTGTAGTGGTTTTTATACGCCTGTTTGAAAAACGGGTCGTTTCTTAAGTTTCCCCCCTGGCGGAAGGCTGAGCAGGCAGGCGTCATCCAATTTTTGTCCGGAGCATATCTCCTACACGCATTGAGGAATTTTAATGAAACTTCATAGAAATGTTCAACCCCATAAGGAGTGTCACGCACATGAACCGTGTCAAAGGTCAAGGTCACACTTAAAGGTGATTGAAAAATGTTTGTCCGGAGCAAACTTCTACGTGCATAGAGGGATTTCAATATAACTTGGCACAAATGTTCACCATGGTAAGCTGGATGTGTGGCATGCAAAATTTAGGTCCCTGCAGTCAAGGTCAAGGTCACACAAAGGGGTCAAAGTTCAGATGAAAATATGAAAATTTGTTTTTGAACCATTAAGTCATCATTTATTGAGGGATTGAAACACAAATGGTATTTATCATGACTAGGCCTAAAAAAAAAATTGTTTTGTTCGGGTCACCCGACCCTACCTAATAATATGCGCCGACCCTACCGTTTTTTTTCGTGTCCAAAAAAAAAAAAAAAAAAAATCCAAGAAAATACCGTATTATTGAGGTACTCAATGAGCAGTGTGAAGGGCAATTCAGGCGAAAACTTCACTGTGTATATTTCAATTTCGCTCTCCCAATTGATCAAAGAGAAGTCAACATCGCCGATAAAATCTAATTCCCAAAGAGTAATTACTTGCCGATGTAAAGAGCAGAGATTGTATCCGCCCATATGACGACTGCTGATTATCATTATCCAATCAGAGCATCGCTATATACTACCCTTCTACTTGTATGCAAAGCGATAGACCGCCTACTCTAAACAGTAAATAATGAGAGCATCGGCCCGAAACGGGTATATTTTGCGAGTTTAATACGGGATTTGGCGATAATTATAGATTAATTTTTTTCCGATCATCTAAACACGTGCAAATCTTCCCTAATTGATATAGACGCGGTGTTTAACCGAAGTAAAGGCGATGTGCAATGGGTTTTTCACGGCTATCACAAAACTGTTAGTCAATTCGCAAAACTCTTATGATTGGTATCTTGTAGACAATGAGGGTGTTTTGCATTGTTATCTTTGTAGCAATGCCAAATTTGACACAGCTTGTACGCACGTGGGCACGACATCCTAAAACTACGAATCATGATCGGCATGCGACATATCGGTCGTATATCATGTGCTCATGTATATAACAACAAAATTTGTCAGGAAAGAAGTGTTCTTATTTTTTCAATATATATATTTGTTTTAATGTCATAAATATGACGCTCAGATTAAGATTTATTAATATTGTAAATTTCAAAAAGCATTATTTATAAAGATATTACCAAGTTTAACATTTCATGAAAATAAAGGGAGGTAATTAGAAATTTATTTTCTATAATTTCTCAGTCGAATTATTCAATAAGAAATGAATGTATATAATTTTAGTGATCAAATATAATGTGCACAAATGTTTGCAGTACATATTTTACATATTCTTCGATATTCGAAAATTGTTTTATAAGCATAATTATATGCACATAAATGAGACAATACAACATAGATGATCATAAAAGAAATTTCTGTAAACAGGATAGGCAGATTTTATTAATCATTATCCAATGCAACTTTATCTGGAAAGTAAATATATAAAGTTAATTTATTAATCATAGTTTTCTTACACATTATTATCAAAAATAGCTGATAAATAGATTGTGTTTCTATTCTAGTTAAAGGATGTATAGCCATGCATGTTAATGCAAGCCATGCATGTTAATGCATACACATTGGGATGTTTCCCTTCTGCCGATTTTTCACGAGGAAGTCACTTCTCCCTAAAATTTCCCCCCAGGATGAGCCCTGGGTACGGTACAGGTTTTATCGCCGCTCTTAGTTACAAAATGGCGGATCACATCGTCAATATTTGTAAAACGGCGTGTGATCTTCACCAGAAGAACGCTGAGAGTTTAAGATTGTTACACCATTTTTCTGAAATGTCTTTTGAAAACATAGAAGGGATGTATTTGTGTCAGAAATTTCCATATCTAAATTTCAATATACTGGTGAAAAAAAAAAAAAAAAAAAAAAATCCGACCTACCCTACCTATTCCTTGAGAGCATGTTACCCTAACAAAACAATTTTTTTTTTTAGGCCCTACTGGTGTGATACATGTAATTTAGGTTAATATATGCAAGGTCAAGGTCACTAAAAGTGATAAAATATAGAGATTTTGTCCAGAGCATATCTCCTACACGCATTGAAGAATTTTAATGAAATTTCATAGAAATGTTCACCACTATAAGGAGTGCCATGCACATAAGCCAGGTCTATAGGTCAAAGGTCAAGGTCACACTTAAGGTCATTGAAGAATGCTTGTCCAGAGCAAAACTTCTACATGCATTGAGGGATTTTAATATAACTTGGCACAAGGTAAGTTTGTGTACAGGGACCATTTATTGATGGATTGTAACACAAATGATAACTATCATGACTACAAGTGTGACACATGTAATTTAGGTTAACATTTGCATGGTCAAGGTCACTAGAGATAATATTTTCCGATATTGCCCAGAGCATATCGTCTATATGCATTAAGGGTGTAACGGTTTACCGGTATACCGATATATTGCAATATGAAAAAATTAATTTCGAACCGCGGTATGATTTTTGGAAAATCGGTATTTTATAAAAATCATCATTTTCAATTAATTGCCCTCTAATTTTGTACAAATTTCACATAAAATCTTTAATTGGCAAATTTTGTTGCCGCCAACGTAAGATAAAAGTATCCGACAACTAGTACACTTAAAAGTCAATAAGCGGCCGCATAATTTACATAAGCGGCCCAGATGTGAAAGGTCACACGCGACTAGTTTTGTTTATCAAATTGTGTGACACTACTTTCTATTTATTCCTTTAGTTACATTTTTATTAAGTTTCTACTAAAAATATATACATATAATGATAATATATAAATGTTACTCCATTTTTACATCAAAACATATACACGACAATACGTATTGCAATATATTGCAATACACTTCAGCAAAATGGCAATATATTGCAATACGGTTTTTGCTGTATTGTTACACCCCTAATATGCATATCTACAAAGGGGTGTCTGTGGCCGAGTGGTTAAGGTCGTTGACTTCAAACCACTTACCCTTTACCGCTGTGGGTTGGAATCTCGACAGGGACTTTGGATTCTTTCATGTGAGGAAACTATCGAGCTAGCTTACGGAACGTCGGTGGTTCTACTCAGGTGCCCGTTCGTGCCTGAAATAATGCACGGAAGGGGACCTGAGGTCTTCCTCCGCCTGTAAAGCTGGAACGTCGCCATTTGACCTATACTGTGTTGATGTGACGTAAAACACAATCAAACAATCAGACAACATATCTATAATGCCCACATCACTTACAAAATCTTTTGTGACGGGCGTATTTTGCAACAGTGTTGCCCTTGTTCCCACTTTGGAAGAGGCTGGTCTCTTGAATTTAGGAAAAAATCGCTAAAATTGGTTATTTGGGAAGAATTAAAATTGGTTCTGCTTTCTGGAAAAATGGTACATTGTAAAGAAAATTTCATTTTAAAAGAGGCCTTTTATAGGCCTTTGTTATATAAGATGAACTGTTGTTCTGTTATATAGGGTGAACTGCTGTTCTGTAACTTATATAAGGTGAACTGCTGTTCTGTTATATAAGGTGAACTATTGTGCGTTTGAATTACTAGAGGGATGATGAATTTATATAGATGAAACAAGATTTCATGTTGGTTTGTCTCAGGTTTTCTATTTTATCTTGATGTGCCGTAGAATATCTTTAATTTCCATCTATATAATGCCGGAAAAAAAGTTGAAAGCCAATAACAAAAAAGAAATAACTGCAATAATTTTACATACAAACTGCAATAATTTTACATACAGATACAGATTTTTTTTTATCTTTACAAGCTGTCTCCAATTATTCAACGTTTATGTTTTCTCTTTAATAATGCAATAGTTATTTTAAAAACAATTGTAAGGCTCTAGTGAAGAAATTTGTAGCAGGTAGCACATGTTGGATAATATTTCTTTTTGAAGTCCGTCATGAAAACCATAGATCATTGTATTGGAGATATCCATTTGAAATGTTATAGATGGATGGAGAAATTTAGTGCTCAGGAACTATAACTCTTATTTGTGGGTTTAAAGTTTCCAAAAGTCCTGCACAACGAAAATGGTAAAGTGGTATATATATTGTTTTTTAGCTCAGCTGAGCACTTTGTACTCAGAGGTGAGCTTTTGTGATAGCATGTGTCCGACGCCCACACTTTCTAATAACATTTCCTCTGTAACTACAGGAATGATCTTAAGGTGTTCCTCTACAAAAGTTTTATAAATAGTTCCAGTCTGATACATAAGTAGGTCACAGAAACTCCCCCTTGTGGCTTAAGGGTTGCTTTTAAAGATTTAGGCAACATAATTGCAGCCACCATGAACAGGTGAGGTGGTTTTGACAGCCGGTGTAACCAAGTTTGTAACACCCCAGGTTAGCCAAAATCAACTTTCCTTACATCAAAAATAACAGATCATATATTTTACTGAAATCATGTAAACAGTATATGAAAGTGAATTACAGACAAGTAATTATCGATATATCGGTGTATTGTCTTTATTTGCATCCGATATCGATATAACATTGGTATGATTTGATCCGAATCTATGATATCTGTAGATATGATTGATTATTATACAGGATAGTGCAGCATTGAGTGATGAGAACTGGCCAGCTCTGTGTGAAGTTACTGAAGTTACATCACCATCAATCAACAACAAAAAACCTCAAATGAAACCTGATCCCAGTCCAGCTATAACAACAAACAGTAACCAGTCTAACAGTGACTCCGGCGGGGATGACTCCTCCAAGGAAAACAAAGAAAATGCTTCTTCTAATGATGAAGGGCAGAGAACACCAAAAAGAAAAGGTAAAAATTCATGAATGTATATATAATAACACAGGTTATTGCTGTTAATTGAATAAAACAATTCCGATTAGCCTTGTGACTATTTTTCTTAAATCCCACTTCATATAATGTAATGGGGCTATAATTGAATCATATTTATATTTATCAACTCGGCAAATAAAAGAGCTATTGCTACATCTATGTTGTTGACGTTGCCGTATGAAATCTTTAATGATTGTCCAAAAAAATTTGTATTTCTCAATTGCCTTCCTTCTTGGACACAGTAAACCGTTGGACAAGACGTTTAAGTTGACAAGACTGAAAAGGACTTCACTTATAAATGACCTTGACCTTTAGGCACTCTGCATCCTCTCATGTGAGGAAGCTATCCAGCTAGCTTACGAAAAGTTGGTTGTTCTACTTGGTTGCCCTCTCATGCCTGAAATAATGCACTGAAGGGCACCTGAGGTAGTCCTCTGTCAGTAAAGCTGGAAAGTCGCCATATAACCTATATTGTATTGGTGCAAAGAATAAGCCAACCAAAAAAAAAAGAATGATGTAGATATGACAGTGTTAGGAATAATTTTTGTCTCTCACCTTCCAGATGTTACTGACATTCTATTTAATATGCAATAAAAAAAACTTTACATAAACAATACAATCAGGTGTTTTTATAAGGATATTTATGAGATGTATAGATATAAGTTAAAACATGATTGTAAACAGGGTTTAAATTAGGGATATATGATTGGAATCCATGGATCAACATTACATTATTGGAGCCCATCAAATTAATTTTAAGCAAGTGAAATCATATACACTGGTCATAAATTGTTCAGACTTTTTCCAGGCTCCTATTTCATAGATGGCGGTTTTAGAAAAAACATGTAGAGCTTGTAAACTGGGAATTTTAAAATAATACTGGTATTAAAATGGTATCAGTAACAATTGCATCTATAAAAGGTCCAAATACCTTTCCCAACATTCCATGCTATTTTCACTGGAGCATATTGATGAGAGCATGGATCGAAAGTGATAGCTCTAGTATAGTATAGTATACTTTGTTTAGTTTTCTTGTTAGCGTAAAACAAAAGAGGTTACAAATAATTCATCAAAGGTGTTGAAAGTGAATGTTCTCGTATTGAATATCAAATTTATCAATTTTCAGGTTTGAAGCAAAAATGGGTGCCTATGAACATAGATCATAAATCAGGAAGAAACCGTAGAAGTAGAAGTGCTGGGCGTGCTCCACGACCTAATTCTGCCATGGTTGATAAAAATATAGATAGAAACAGACCTGAACGTCATAAAGACAGATTTGGTAAACTTGGCAGCATATTTTTGAAATGACTAAATCTTCTGTTGACATTTACATAAGTTAATACAAGTCATGCAGTATAGGTACAGTGTGACATATGTAGGCTAATACATGTTAATGACAGAATTTTTTATGAAAGTAAGATTATTTCTTTTAGGTACATATACTTAAATACGATGGCTATTTGGAAAATGCAGAAAGACAAGACAATGTTCAATCTATGCTTCAATGTCAAGGTCATTATTGAAGGTCATGGTTATTGATATGTTGTATTTAAAGGTGATAAAAGAAAAAAAAAAACTTTTGTTTCAGCCTCAGTCTAGTAAAAACAAACACATTTATTAATATCTTGATTAATTCTCAATAGTAAATGAAATAAGAAAGAAAGAATCTCTTGAATTTTAAAAGAATTTACTTACATAATTTACTGCTGTTTGTCATCAAAGCAGACATTATTTGCAAGTTTAGAACATGTTTGAAATTACCTGGTAACTAATATGTTTGAAATCACCTGGTAACTCGGCTCTCCTAGACTAAGGACATGGGTATTGAGGAGAACTATTTATCCTTAATAATTAGTTTTTAAGCACCAAAAAACGTTTTGGTGGACCACATAGTTGTTGGTTTGTTCTCTCTTTCGTCCTTCTATCACATTTACATTTTAATAGTACCTTCATTTATTGACTGATATTTTCAATATTGGTGTGTCAGCCGGTACCTGCATTGAACCTGTATGTGTTGATTGGGTTTCATGTTGATATGGTCATTGTTAATGAGGTTATAAGTAATGGATTATTCCTTTACTCATAGTTGTGCCATATTTTTATCTTTTCTAAAGTACCATCTGTGTTAACCAATATTCTTGTTTTTATAATTGACTACAATATCCTTGAAACATAATGACAAAACAGACAGATATACATGACAGGGAAGTTCTTATTTGTATGCTTATTATGAATACAGGGTTATCTTAGGTTTACAACAAGGATAAGTATTATTGTTTCAAGTGAAATTATAAATGAAAATGTCACAGTTTAGTTTCCTGGACACCTTGGTGGTATAAATAAAAGTGATTTTAAGTTTGTCATCTACATCAAATTTATCACACCTTTTAAGCAGTTAGTTGTTATTTATAATTCATAGTAATGATTTTCTATCACAGCTTAAACAAATAGAAAATCAAGCTTTGAAATATACAATTTCAATGTTATCATTAATGTGGTTGTGCCTTTTACAGCAGTTTTAGCTGTAGGCTATATAAATTGATTTTTCAAATTAAATAAGTACATTAGATTAAAAAATTCTACTTTGAACTTTTTTTTCTCAGCTTACTTGCATTTTGAAAAGTTGTTAATAATTGTATGGCTTTAATTCAGTACATTGATTCAGTTGTACTTAAACAAGTGGTCCCCATATATGGTTTGATTATTGTTTAGTTATTATGTTTTTAGATAGCTCAGTCTTAAACTAAATGTACAGTGATTTTGGTCTTTTGGTTTATTTATGTTAACTCAGTAATATGGAAAAGTATTGGTATTTGCTAATAGAAAATAAGTTTAAGCTTTGATCTTTATTTTAAGAATGTACAAGTTAAGAAGCAGATAAAATCATTTATATTTTATTTATTGATTTGTAATTATTAAATTAGTGTTGAATTAAAAAAATATATATATATATTTTCACTTGACAGGTTCTGAGTCGGACAATTGGAGGAAGGATATGCGTTTACCAAGTCCTCGTGGTCATGCTAGGCGTGGTGGTCGTGGAGCCGGTTTAATGAGGGGTCGTGGTCGTGGTGGGGGAAGAGGGAGAGGTAACCGAATGGATGCCGAAAGTTTAACAGGTCTGTTGTTAATAAACAATACACTGATATTGCTTAAATGGAGACAAACTGATTCTTTTTTAAGAACTTTTCCTTGTAGGAAGTATATACTGTTATAGAAAGCTGAATAAGTGAATCATTTTGTAGACATCATTAGGACTTTGTGTACCACATTTGTATACTATGAATACTATATTTATATACTTTGAAAAGGAAAATATATGGGGAAAAATATATATATATATACTGGAGAGAGTATATTGAGGTATTGATTGAAAGTTGTCTATTGATGTCTCATGTAAACATCAAGCTGTCTCGCTATATACCATTGTATATCAGTAAATGTCAGGAGTGTTAACACACAATATCTTATATTGGGATACAGTCTCATGTTGCTGTTTAATCTCCTGTTGTTTTTTATTTTTAGGGTACTACTGTGATACATTGGTTTTTTTGTAAAAAATTAAAATGCTTTAAACAATTTTTTAATATTTTTAGCAAGTCAAAATTGCCAAGGTACAAAATTATCTTTTTTGATAAAAAATTAATTTTTAAGGGCAATATTTATTTAAAAACCCATTTGTTTCTACCATTTTTTAATAATTTGTAACTTGTTTTTTTAAGAATTTAAAATGCTTTTGAACTTAAAAATATTGATATTTAAAATTTAATCCCTTCCCTTTGAGTTTTTCTTGAAAATTTTTTCTTTTCCTTTCATTTAAGAAAGGAATGGAAATTTAAAAAAAGGGATTTTAAAAAAATTTTTTAAGCCTTTTTTTTGACCTAAATTTCTTGTTATTTTTGGGTCCACAGTTGAAACTTTTTGACCGAAACTGGTTGGGTTTAAAAGAAATTGGAAGCATGTTTTTAAACCCATCAGGGTCCCAAAAAAGGAAATGTGAAAAAACAAATGTAAGTATGACTGCACTGGTTAATGATTTTTTCAGAGGTAGACAAATATTATAATACATTGATTATGAAAACAGAATATATAATAGATTAACATTATAACAAAAGCTACTCATTGAAAATGTTGCCATGACCATGGCAATACTTTTTTTAAGGTTTAACCATGTTAAACCTTATGGATTTGTCTCTTTCTTTGTTTGTTGAATAATTGTTTGTTTCGATATGGGGAAAAAGATAATGAAAAAAAAGTTGAAGATTGATATCAGTGTTGTATTTTTAACTGAGCATTAAATAGTGGCAACTTGTATTGCAGCATTTAACTTCCTTTATTCAATTCATGGGAGTATTATGAACTAAGTGAATGAATGTTATAGTTTATCTTTAAACATCTGGCCTTGAATGGGACAAACTGGCACTTGTTTATTGCTAAGAAATGAGCTGTGTATTTTCATTACAATATACAATGTACTTTATAACTACTTCAGCAGGTGTTTTATCAGTTGATGAGGGTTTTTTATGAAACAAATGATAACATTTATACTTAAACCTTATTTGCAACTATTTTGTTTAATATTTTTTAAAGAAGGAAGTAACTTTTATCTTGTATATATAAATATGCAACATTGCATGTGGCATTGTGTTCTATATTATAGTATTTTTGAGACATAAAATATGTTGTTTTGTTAATTAATCAAGAAAGCAAAACGATTCAAAATGCGTTGAAGCCAGGCACAATGACATATTGTACATGAAGAAGTCATCTGGCAAGGTTCAGGAATGTCTATGGTTTTACTCTGATGCCCTCATGCAAGAAAAAAATGCACATGAGCTCTTTCTTCAAAGTTTAATCTTGAAAAATTGCCATATGATTTAAATACTGTATATGGGACTTAAAAACTCAACAAGATTTGATATATGTTGACAAATTAATTCTATGTTGTTAAAGAAAAATATTGAAGTCGAAATATACTTATTTGTTTTCAGTGAATATTACTTTAGTACGGAGAATTTACAGCGAGACTTTTTCCTGCGCCGTAAGATGCAGAAAGGGGGTTGGATCCCGATCAGTCTTGTAGCAAGTTTCCACAGAGTTCAGGCACTTACACAAAATGTTGCTTTAATTGTCACTGTAAGTGTTATATGTTTATACATTAAACAAAGAGTGCAGAAAAATGATTAATTCACGCTCACCCAGACTAATAAATGTTTGAATTTGAAAGGGTTTGCAAATTAGGAAGATTATTTAACATTTGCAGATCAGAATAGACTGACAGAAGACATTAATACATTTGCAATTGTATATATGTTTTATTTTTGCAAAGATTTAGAGATAATTGACTAAGTTTCATCAGGTTATATAAATTCATTAATAGATTATAGTTTAATTGCCATACACAGTTATTTGACAAGGGGATTGAATTTGCACATCTCTATTTTAGTTTGAATTGCATGTAATTGAATAAGAAAACTTCTTTGATAAAGCCAATTTTGTCATACATGATTCCATTCTGTGATAACTTTGCCATTGTTATTGCTTTGTTATAAATATGTTTCAGTGATTTTAAACTTGTATGACCATGTATTGTCTTAGGCTTGTGCTGAAAGTGAGAATTTAGAGCTATCTGAAGATAGAACGAGAGTACGAGGGAAAAATGACCCTGATAAATGGCCTTTAGAAGATGCTGTACCGATGTCTCCCGCATCTCCTGGTGCTTCAACTACCCTGCATGCTGATGTGCCAGAGTTTATACCTGGTAAATTACACGCAGATGTACCCGAATTTGTTCCCGGAAAAATGTATACAGTTCAACCACATACAGGTACGGTGTAACTTCTGTACTGGTTAGTTGTGTATAGAAACATAGATGAGATAGTCAGATAGAAAGTTGAATATTCTGTATAACAGGTCATTACTCTAGAAAAATTGTTTTATGGACCTATATGTTCTTACCATTACTACTTTGATATGTTAAAAAGATGACTAAATTAAAATGCCTGATGAATATCTTTATGCTTTTGAGAGTACAATTTTGTTCAATTTTTAAATTGTACAGTTGTTTAAACAAAAGTGGTTCCTCAGATTCACTTTAAGAAGGATCTTGTATAACCTAAGTAGCATACTATAAAAACTAAAAGGGAGAATTCAAGTGTTAATACAAACTTATGTATTAAGAAGTTACTGGACGGGTTGTTGGGGGGTGGGGGGTAGGGATGATGGGAACATTGGTATATTGTAATTCATCCAGCTAGCTTGAACTTTGTTGGCATGTAAGTTACAATTTTGTGTATATATGTACAGATGATGATCAACATCATGAAGACAAATCGATGAGAAACTTGGAAGATTTCTATGCTCCTATTTTATCATCCAGTGCCCCTGAACTACAGGGGGAGTGGACAGAGGTGAAAAAACGAGCCAAAGAAAAGAAAGAGAAAAAGAAGAAAAAAGTAACTTAAATTTAATTATATGTTTGATTGCAGGCTTTGTGTATTTAAGAGTTCATGGAAAGTTTTTGACATTCAGAATACATCTTTGGAAAAATGATTATCCCATTTATTGAAAACATTTTCATTTTTTGTGGTAAATTTAAAACTGAAAATAATGAGGTGTTCTATTGTTATTGTATTTAAAGCCTGAAAAGTCAGAAATGTCAGTGTCAATAAGACGGCCATGAAATGTAATTTCTGTAAAGTTAAATAATTTCATTAATGATTAATATATGAGAAGGGGTGTCTCTTGCTGAGTGGTTTAGGTTGTTGACTTCAAAGCACTTGCCTCTCACCGCTGTTGGTTTGATATGCACCAGCGTCTTCGAATTCATTCATATGAGAAAGTTATCCAACTAGCTTACTAAACGTCGGTGGTTCTACTTAGATGCTCGTTTGTCTTCCTTCACCAGTAAAGCTGAAAAGTCAACCAAAATAAACCCTGAGAATAAATTGACAAATAGTTTTACAGGATGACTGTAAACTTACAAACATTAAAACTTTTTTATGATAAAGTCATAATGAACTGCTCTGTATAATTGGTCCTGAATTAACTTGCAATAATTATGTCCATGTGTTATTTAGGATGGTAAAGGTGAAGGTGGTGAGGAACAGGAGGAACTAGACTTCATGTTTGACGAGGAGATAGAACAGTTAGAGGGTGTTGGACGAAGAAATAACTTCACTGAATGGTCAGCCCTTGTATATTTTTATAGTATTGTTAGTTACCCAATTAGTGCAGGAGTATTTAATGTTGATTTGTGTAAGGACAATATACATACATCAGACAGTTTTTGGTGTCTCTTACAAATATCCACCATAGATGCTACAATAAATGCTATTAATTGTTTACGATAATTTGGTATACTTAAGTACTGGTGGTATATAATATTGAAATACACAGATAAAATGTGATTCAGCTGATTTCTGAGGTAACTTAACCACTAAGGTAACAGTGCTTTCCTCATAAATATTGTCTGAATCACATTTCAACTGCTTCCTTTCAGTATTAAATGACTCTGATAGGTCAACAAATGTCTCCAGTACACAGCAAATTAAAAAAATTAAGTTTATACAAGGAATTGTTCTAATGAAAGTTTAAGAAAACATGATAGCCAGGTTGTCATTATCACAAATAATTTAGAAAAGCAAAGATTTACCTAGAAATATTTAAATTGAAGGTTAAGGTATAATGTCTAAGCAGCTGCATGTGCTAATTCTTTTCATTCAAATTGATTTACTATTGTGTTGCTCATTTTAGCCTTAGATTTGCACAATTCTGCATTATTAACTAAGGCACAATTCCTGCATTACGGGATATATAAAGCAGATTCTGTGAATTATTTCCAGGTCTGATGATGAAGAAGATGATTACGAGATTCCCGACAGTGAAATCAACAAGATATTAATTGTAACACAGACTCCACCTGCTGTACGTAAACATCCTGGTGGTGACCGAACTGGAGATCACACTCCTAGATCTAAAATCACCGCAGAGATGACGAAGTTGATTAACGACGGACTGTATTATTATGAGCAGGATTTGTGGGACGATAGTGATTTGATGGTGGGTATCCCGTCTACTGGTACAGGAAAAATTTCGCAGGTGTGTTAAGTATGTCTAGTCTCCATACAGGTGATGGATTACCAGCTTTAGTGATGTGTGTACAATGCCGAGTGTAGCCTTTATTTGTAGCCTGTGTATGTGGCATGTAACATTTAAATATAGTGTGTAGCCTTTTATACTAAATCTGTAGTGCTTTTGTAATAAATTGAGTATAGTTTGCTGTGGTACAGTAGTCATATAAACTTGTCAGTTTGGCTTGATGTAGGTTTTTAATCCATATCTCTTTCAATGACCTCGGTGAGGAAGTAGGAAGATAACCTTTGGCAGCTTTCAGAAATAAACAGTTAGTGCTGTCAGAGTTCTGCTGAGATTTTGAAAGTGTTGGGCCACAAGTCCACTTGGTCTGAAAAAAATAATATATAAATCATAATACATAAATGAAGTATACAATATGTAATTTCCAAACTATATTATCAACTTACAAGTGTGTACTAGTGTGTGGTAAATAGTGTGGCCCTAATTATTTTGATTGGCAACAGAATTTTTTTCAAGAACATTTACTGCCCATTAAATTTCTATACCTTCAGAACAGTGCCAGTGGTGGTTTTTGGCTTCTAAATTGCAGATTTAGAGATAGGAGTTGTAATATTGTTTTTACCAAAGCTAATTCAGTTGCTACTGGTTAAAAATAGTTTATTATCTTACATTTTGTTATCTGTGACACATTATCATAAAAAAAGAGATTTTCGACATCAAAGTAAAACCTATTCCTGTCAATACTGACTGCATTGGTCGCATTTCTTTTATGACCTGAGAATAATATGACACATATTTTGGAGACACCCTTGTACTTTCCTGGGCCATGTTCATTTTTATGCTGATGGTGCAAAATCACTTCCTTAGCAGATTTCCGAAAGCTATACCCATGTGCTCATAAATGCTTCTTTTAACAGCATGTTTATAAGACCTACATTGATATTGAGACAGTTGTAAAATAATGCTGAGTCAGGAATACATTGCTATATTGGCTTACAATCCAGGTGTACATATTGATTACTAATCTATTAACAAGGAATTTCTGAGAAATGCAGAATTTTTGTGTATGTTTCCGTTATTAATCATATTTAATTGTCTGCTTATGTATAGTGGTTATTTTGGATGTAAAACCAATTTCATCTTAATTTGTAACTTTATACTACATTTTAATAGGAATATTTACATAAATATTCATGTTTATTATAAAATTGGATGAGATTAATCAAATGTTTATATAATTGGTTTCTGGACTAATTATATGTTGTGTTTGATAGTTAATACGAGCAGTTAGTTTGTAGCACATAAGAAGGTAGAATTTGTACTCAGTTTATAACTCTAACCAAAGGGATATAGATATATATTGACACTTTTTATCGCAAAGAAATTGTAACAAAATTCACTGCATGCTATGTGAAAAGTTTTAATTCATGTTTAGTTGCTAGCTTTATGTGAAGAATAGTGGGGCAGTCATCTTCCAGGTAGCATAACATTTGTAGGTTTTTATGCATTTGCTCATCAGCCATTAACGGTATTCATTAGAAATTTAATCAAAATTTGAAATTGTAGGTAATTATCCAAGGCATACTAGTAATATACCTTTTTATATGCCTAAAGAAACTTCAGTTGTATTTAAGTATTGTGCTTGTCTGTCCATCCCTTCATTAGCCACTCTATGTCCACTCAATAACTTTTTGTGTACTGTATTGGTAAGGAAAGATGGTCAGGGCAAGAGATGACATAAATTGTTTTGATGAGATGAGGTCAAGATAATAGTTAAACTAGTGTAATATCCTTTTCCCTTTCAATAACATGGGAAGTTATTACCCTAGCTTTGTGAAGTTTGGTAGGGACATTGTCCATGTTCAATAGATGCCCTATTGAATTTGATATAATTAGGTCAAAGGTCAGAGTGATACGTAATGGAAAATCCTTGTGAGGTCAGCGCCTTGAGAAGTTTAAGCCTACATTTGTGAAATTTTGTAGGGATATTTTACCCATGACCACTGGATGACTCCTATCTGTAATTACGTCAAAGGTCAAGGTCACATTGACACAGTGTAACGTCTTTGCCCTGTCAATATGGCCTGTTTACTAGTAAGCTCGGAGATTTTATGAAAGAAAATACTGGTCATTAGATTGATTAATGTAGGAGGGCAGGTGTAAACAATTTCTTATGTGAAAAGTCCTACATTTCTCAAGGGATTTAAACCAAACTTTCACATAACTTGTTACCAGGCTCATGTTGTTGGGGCTTTGAGAATTATTGATAGAAATTGCAAAAATTTGGATTTCAACAAATTTTCACAGAACTATTTGTTATTTAAGTGACATATGCCCATCCAAGTGTAAATGATGAGTGAACAGGTAAAAATCAAAATAACTTGTCATTTGACCATAGTTGTGTTCAATTTCATATTTTACATAGGGAAATTTCTATAAATATTATTCAGAATATATTTTTTAGTCTTGAAATTAGTGAGGCAGACTTTATAATTTAGGTCATTTGAATATTGTATCATAAATAATTTCATTATCAATTATTGATCAATCACCATTACTGTATTCAGTCTTTTGAAATATATTTCTAATTTAATTCTCCTTGACAGCGAAACTGTGAGCATAAGTTTACTTTATGTGCCCTGCTACATATTGTTTGGGATTTCTGATGTAATCATTTTTTGGGAAATTTTAAATGTGTGACCATTTTGTTCATTGTTTTCAATTGTAGTTAAGTATGTTTCTCCTGTAAATTACAAACACAATCATGCTATAACTTTTCCTTTAACACATTAGGTTTATGTAGAAAACGGAACAAGAATTTTAACGAGCTGCTTTTTTTTCTCTACATTACAGCAAGATTTCGAGACCTACAAGACTGTGAATGTGATATCAAAAGAAATATTTGAGCAGATAGTGCCCCAGGACAAGGTTGAGAACCAGGAAGTGCCTCCTCCCCCACCAGCCGCTGTTACACCGTCAGGTATGTTATATCATTATAGTGATTATATATCTACAGTCTGACAAGAAAAAACTTGGCAGGGCTATAAGCGGCTGTTTCGCTGTCAGACATTGTCATAATTTCAGTGGTACATATAGGAAATATGGTGTTGCATAACTTCTAACCTAGTTAAACATAAGAAGGATATTTCTTTAATATCTCTATGCAGAATGTTTCTAACTAACAATGTTGTTTTATTCTTGATCTAAAGGTGATAAAAAATCAAGGGATGTAGAATTAATTGGCAAACAGTGCATTTGCCATTTCAGTAAAATTTTCGCTTGGCAAAATTTCAGATAAGAAAAAGAAGTTTGAGGATTCTATTGATGTAAACAAATTATGTTGGTGAGAACAATGTTTAAAAGAATTTAGTATATTTCTCCAAATAGAAACTGTGAAAGTTCCAAGTCCAAGAACCACAGAAGATGTTGTAGCTAAATCACTGCCGACGTATGTACCAAACACACCTGGTAGAAGGGATCACTGTCCCCGAACACCACGTACACCTAGACAGCGCAATGACTCTGAAAAAGTCCGATTTTATCCTGTCACGAAAGATTCAACCAAACCTCCTGATCCGCAGGTATGTAAATATATTTAGTTGAAGGATGAATTTTTTAAAAAGTAAATTTTCTATTTGTCAGGGTAGATTTTTTTTTTATGAATTTATTAAGGTCAATATTTTGTATTTAGTGTTGGATGAACCCTCAAACTGTTATTGTGACCAAAAAACACTTTTAGATTAAAATTATATATATATATATCTTTGAAGTTTGGTGTAATCTGTTGATTAAAATTGAAATAATGTTGTCTTTTTAGACACCAAGAAAGCGCAAGACAAAACATAGTAACAATCCTCCAGTAGAGGGTCATGTAGGTTGGGTGATGGACTATAAAGAACATCGTCCTTCAAGGTCCAGAAATAACTCAACTTCATACAGGTCAGTTGTTTTGTTTTACAGTAAAGCAATTTGAATGTCAAATGCTGGTGCTGGAATATTTATCTTAACTCTAATCTTGATAAATATCCTAAAAGGATGTGTCTGTCTATCAATCTGGACAAAACCAGTAATCCTGTTTAGGAAATAATGAAGATATATGTACTAACTCAATAGCACATTAGTAACATGAGTAGAATCAGGTGCTGCACACAGGCTATGGGTAACAAATTCTTAAGCCAAAACACATTTTACCTGTAATTAAACTAACCAATTGAGCATTATTAAAATAAGCTGAACGTTTCTTATATTTATTCATAATGGTGTAAAATTTTGTTTTTCAAAAATTGACCGAGGCCATCCTTTAAAAAATGTTTGTTTGCAGTAACCCGACCCAGAATTTTCAAGGTGGGTAGGTAGGTCGATTTTTTAAAAAAAAATTATTGAACTGTACTCGCAACTAGACATGGAATTTCAAAATACTTGACAATATTATATATGCTTTGATAATCTGGTAACAATTTATAAATTGATAACTGAATGCTAATTTAAGAACTACATTTAATTTCTTCTACATGAACCTTTCCTTTAGATGGGTGATGCCATCTTGGATTACATTGTGTTAAAAGCAAAAAGGACTTTCAAATAAGGCAATGGTACGGCATGAGATATTTAGAAAAAAAAACTATATCCAACTTTATTTTGGTAGTTACATTTCTATCACATTCAAACATTTAACTCATATAATTTACAGTCAGTAATCATAAAAAAGGCTTTCAGCTCAGTAACTATAACATTTGCCAGGTTAAGTTGGACAGCAAGGTTCCCATAAAATCTAAGTCAGTGGCATGACAGTGACAGCAGAAACACACTCCATTGTGCTGCTTCAGCTTGCTTGGTTAATGCCAAAGATTTGTTTTGAAGACTATCTGGGAAGTTACAAATATAAACCAGTCAATGACCCACAAAGAGTAGACTGTGTCGTCGCTGTGTTTTGAGATAAGAAGCGGTGAAACGGAAGTTAAAGATGGAAAACCAAATGTGTACTTTTCCATTCTTAAAATACCAAATGCTAAATTTAGACTGGAGATTCCAAACGTCATACTTTTCGTAAGTTTGAGCTAAATTGTGATTTTCCTGAGCCAATTTAATAATTTTGGAGCCACTTTGCTCATTGGCTCCTGCCAGCGCGAGCCCTGTCTTCAAAAGAACGAAAAGAAAGCACAAGGCATAATTTTTTGATGACAAAAAATTAAATAAAAAATTTTTTAGACCATAAAAAAGTTTTGAGTCGGGGCAAATTTCGTGAGTCGGTCGCGTTACTGCAAACAAACATTTTTTTAAGAATGGCCTGAGGATAAATATGAACACATAAACTAACATGTGATGTTTTTTATTACAGCGAGTGTGATATGGCATCCAGTTACGGATCATACGGCAGTTACAGCAGCACTCCACATGCATTCCCGAACTTCCAACACCCTTCACATGAGCTGCTCAGTGAGAACGGCTTTGTATGGCATGTCTATCATAAATATCATGCTAAATGCATGAAAGGTAAACTTCCTTATGTCATGCCAATTATCTAGCTAGTATATGTTGTCATTATATGTAATAAAAATATATGTTGCTACTGGAAAGTGCAAGTTACAGTTCATGCCACTCTAGCCCCGCTTCAGCAGAATTCAACAATTAAACATGAAAATGGTGAAAATTTTGTTTGAGCAAGTAATTATGCCCCCATTTTGAAAAAAAGGGGGTATATTGCTTTGCACTTGTCGGTCCGTCGGTCCGTAGACCAAATGGTTTCCGAGTGATAACTAAAGAACCCTTAGGCCTAGGAACTTCAAACTTGGTATGGTGATTGGTCATGACCAGTAGATGACCCCTATTGATTTTGGGGTCAAGGGGTCAAAGGTCAAGGTCACATTGACCTTGAAAGCAAAAACGGTTTCCGATCAATAACTAAAGAACCTTAAGGCCTAGGAACTTCAAACTTGGTATGGTGATTGGTCATGACCAGTAGATGACCCCTATTGATTTTGGGGTCAAGGGGTCAAAGGTCAAGGTCACATTGACCTTGAAAGCAAAAACGGTTTCCGATCAATAACTAAAGAACCTTAAGGCCTAGGAACTTCAAACTTGGTATGGTGATTGGTCATGACCAGTAGATGACCCCTATTGATTTTGGAGTCAAGGGGTCAAAGGTCAAGGTCACATTGACCTTGAAAGCAAAAAACAGTTTCCGATCAATAACTAAAGAACCTTAAGGCCTAGGAACTTCAAACTTGGTATGGTGATTAGTCATGACCAGTAGATGACCCCTATTGATTTTGGGTCAAGGGGTCAAAGGTCAAGGTCACATTGACCTTCAAAGCAAAAACAGTTTCTGATCAATAACTAAAGAACCTTAAGGCCTAGGAACTTCAAACTTGGTATGGTGATTAGTCATGACCAGTAGATGACCCCTATTGATTTTGGGGTCAAGGGGTCAAAGGTCAAGGTCACATTGACCTTCAAAGCAAAAACGGTTTCCGATCAATAACTAAAGAACCTTAAGGCCTAGGAACTTCAAACTTGGTATGGTGATTGGTCATGATCAGTAGATGACCCCTATTGATTTTGGGGTCAAGGGGTCAAAGGTCAAGGTCACATTGACCTTGTAGGTAAAAACGGTTTCCGATCAATACCTAAAGAACCTTAAGGCTTAGGAACATTAAACTTGGTATGGTGATTGGTCATGATCAGTAAATGACCCCTATTGATTTTGGGGTCAAAGGTCAAGGTCACATTGACCTTGTACATAAAAACGGTTTCCGATCAATAACTAAAGAACCTTAAGGCCTAGGAACTTCAAACTTGGTATGGTGATTGGTCATGATCAGTAGATGACCCGTATAGATTTTGGGGTCAAGGGGTCAAAGGTCAAGGTCACATTGACCTTTTAATTAAAAACGGTTTCTGATCAATGACAAAAGAACCCTTAGGCCTAGGAACTTCAAACTTGGTATGGTGATTGGTTATGACCAATCAGATGACCCCTATTGATTTTGGCGTTAAGGGGTCAAAGGTCAAGGTCACATTGACCTTGTAGGTAAAAACGGTTTCTGATCAATAATGAAAGAACCCTTAGGCCTAGGGACTTCAAACTTGAGATGGTGATTGGTCATGATCAGTAGATGACCCCTATTATTTTTGGGGTCTATGGGTCAAAGGTCAAGGTCACATTGACCTTGTAGGTAAAAATGCTTTCGGATCAATAACTTAAGAACCCTTATGCCTAGGAACTTCAAACTTGGTATGGTGATTGGTCATGACCAGCAGATTACTCCTATTGATTTTGGGATCAAGGGGTCAAAGGTCAAGGTCACAATGACCTTGTAAGTAAAAACGGTTTCTGATCAATAACTCAAGAACGCTTAGGCCTAGGAACTTCAAACTTGGTATGGTGATTTGTCATGACCAGCAGATTACTCCTATTGATTTTGGGACCAAGGGGTCAAAGGTCAAGGTCACAATGACCTTGTAAGTAAAAACGGTTTCTGATCAATAACTAAAGAACGCTTCGGCCTAGAAACTTCAAACTTGGCATGGTGATTGGTCATGACCAGCAGATGACCCCTATTGATTTTGGGGTCAAAGGTCAAGGTCACATTGACCTTGTATGTTAAAACGGTTTCCGATCAATAATAAGAGAACCCTTAGGCCTAAGAACTTCAAACTTGGCATGGTGATTGGTCATGACCAGCAGATGACCCCTATTGATTTTGGGGTCAAAGGTCAAGGTCACATTGACCTTGTAGGTAAAAACAGTTTCTGATCAATTTACTAAAAACGCCTAGGCCTATGAACTTCAAACTTTGTATGATGATTGGTCGTGACCAGCAGATGACCCCTATTGAGTTTTGGGTCAAGGGGTCAAAGGTCAAGGTCATGACCAGTAGATACTTTATAACCCTTATTAATTGTTTGATCACTGGGTCAGACATCATGCATAATAACCTTATCACATGACTAATTGGCTGCTGATAGGGGGCATACATGTTTTACAAACATATCTTGTTTGTATAGTTTTTTCATGACTGTTAGATTACAGTTAAATTTAGAAATATCAATTATGTTAAATGAAGACATCTGTCAAGTGATGAAAATAGGTTTTGCATAGACACAACTCAAACCAGAGTACTTTATTGTCTGTAATCTTGGTGGCTATACTGAGACTGTGTAGTCATCGTAAGGCCGGACATATAACATTGACATGCTCCTAGTGTAGGGTTGGGTATTTCAGGGGGTTGTAGATCTGACCTTCCTGGGATTTACTGGAGCATTGTCGAACAGAGAGATTTCTCATCGGGTTGGGAATGGATATTTTAATGGGCAAAACTAGTGTCTTTGATGTCATATTTAGTAATCTGATGACAGAGTCTTCATTATTTTAGTTGATTATAATCAGTTGATTGTTACTGTAGATCATTAAGTGTTATTAAAGTTTTAAAGCAGCATGACTCCTGATGAGCCAAGTGTTTCGATAAAATAAAGTTTGAGGAAAATGTACTAAGATTTTAGGAAAAGTAAAAAGATTCAAGATTTAAGTAACAACTTACATCTTATGTGCAGTTATGATTGATTTTTCAGTATTTAAAACCATATTTCTACTGCGTTACTAACACAGTAAAGGCAATTTTTCAAATATTTTGTCCTGATTTTGGTAATTTATGCGAGTGGTGAGTGATGTATGTAATGTGTAAATTGCTTTCTTTTTGTAATTTCACAATATTTTACTTTAAATACATTTTCAATTTTTTCATGAAAATAAGCACGAGTCTGGAGGTGTGCTGCTTTAATATGATTTAGCTAATTAAGTTATTGCATTTTGTGTTATTTCAGAACGTAAGAAGGTTGGAGTTGGTTTATCACAAGAGATGAACACTTTATTCCGGTTTTGGTCATTCTTCCTACGACAGCATTTCAATAAGAAAATGTACACAGAGTTTAAAACTTTAGCAGTAGAAGACTCTGCAGAGGGGCACAGGTTAGTAAAGTTAAGACCGTCCAGGATTTATAATTGGCAAAAGGGTCTCTTTGGCCAAGTGGCTGTGATTGTTGAATTTGAACACCTTGCCTCACCCCCATTGTTGGTTAAAAAAGTCCTGTGGATAATGGATTCTAATGAATGCGAAGAGGGCACAGATATTTATACTACACTTGTATGATATAAATTTGGTTGTTCTAAAATTTCATCATTTTATACAAGTTTGTAACCACTGTAGTACAGTGATGAAATTAACACTGGATTTACTTTAATTTAACCCTTCCAGTGCTTAATATCTCTAAAAGATTTATGGCTGTTTCAATTCGGACAAATCCATTATTCATTTAAGGGAAAGATTCAAAATATTTACTGAATAAATAGCAAAACAGTGCAGAATATGATCAGATAGCATGGAAGTGCCAGAGGATCTTGGTCTGTACTGATCCCATTGTTAGATTCTGAAGCTGTCACAGGCTATGATGTAATAGTGGTCTGTAAATAAGGAAATATATTTGAATGAATACCCAGCTTTGAAAAACGGCTAGGAGAGTCTGATATGTTTTTCAGTTTGTAAGCCCAAATATATATATCCAGTATTGTACGGAACTTTGATAAAAAAACCTTACTTTATACCATTATCATCTTTGTTTTGTTAGCAATTATAGTTTTATTCTTCACAATACACTGTCTTATATTTGTTCCCTCATGTTTATTATAGAAGTATTACGAGACAGCACGGTAATCTAGAATGTCTTATAATAAGAGGCAGATTCTTAACCTTTTCACAGTGTTTGGTCTGTATAAAAAAAATTCCATGTAAATGCTTGATATGCAATATATGAAGAAGTCTGGTATTGCTTAGTTATGTAATAGGAATAGAATAGGTTACATTATTAAATCATGTGCCTCTATTTTCTTTTCAGATACGGTGTTGAATGTCTATTTCGGTATTTTAGCTATGGATTAGAAAAAAGATTTCGACAAGATTTATTTAAAGATTTCCAGGAAGAAGTTATACGAGACTATGAGATTGGTGAGATACTGTATTATTACGTTATATTATGTATAGGTTGTTAGAACCTTGAAGTAGCTGCCTATCTGGCTCAACCGTAACTGTTTACAGCGGTAACAAGTGTTGCATAAGTTACCTAAGTGCTGGATATTCATGTCTGTGATTGCAACCAGTGTTTTGTTCTTTTTCTTGCATATTACACAGAAATGATGAAAAACAAAAAATTCTAATTAGCGCTATTTTCTTATGGAAGCATATGATTTTACAGCTTTATATTTCATGACAGCAAAATGACTCTGTTCAAAGCCAGAGACGGGTTCATAAAAGCAGCAGAATGATGTTAATTAAAGCAGGTGACTCGTGTCAGCACACTGGCAATCACTTGAAAACCCAGTCTATCATGCTTAATATATTTTTACACAGATAAAGAAAAGGCTTTTGTATTAAGGGGGAGGGGAAGAAACTTACGTCTAGATTAATATTCCATGTTAAACTAATTGTCATGTATGAAAACAGTTATGTAGTTATGTAAGGAGTAATGTAAGAAATGATTAACAATGTTTGATTAAAATCTACAATGTATTTGTACAGCTATAACAAATATTTGTTTCATCTACAGGCCAACTGTATGGTTTAGAAAAATTCTGGGCATTTTTGAAGTACTCCAGGAAACATGTTGATGTGGATCCCAAACTTAAACAATGGCTTAGTAAATATAAAAGACTAGAGGACTTCAGAGTAGATGTAAGTTTGAAACCTTTGAATTGTTACATAATATTCTACTGCATATTCCAATTTAGAATGAGTACTGCCAACACCCTGGTGTAGTCTGTCGGACCAAACTTGTAATTTGCTTGCTCAAATTATTTCAGAATTAATAATATTAAAACAAAGTTATACAAGTCCATTTTACAATCATACAAAGTCACAATACATTATCATAGAGGAATGTCTAAACTTTTATATTGCTGTTTAAGATTCTTTATTCGTGAAGAAATTTCTACTTAACAGTGTCATACAGGAAGTCTGAAATGGTTTGAATTCAATCTTCAATAAGTATTTCTAAAAGACAGTTGAGGTTGTCCTTAATGAATTGTTTGTCACTTCCCTCGGATATTTTTGGGTTGTGTTTATAGGTTTGTAAATTCTCAGAAATCTGTATTTTTGTCTGAACAATCATAGTGATTACATATCACAATCATAGTGATGGAGGACAATGACTATAGTGATACAAAAGAAATAGTGTGTTGGCAATTCATAAAGCAACAAGGAAACACTGTTTTAGCACATTTAGGTTTTAATTTTTTCTCATTGATGGCTTACATCGTTTGATAAAGTAAATATTGCTGTGCAATGGTAGGTATGCTTTCCAGAATGATGATTTTTCTCTCTCTTTCAGAAACTAGTTTAAATTTATTTTCTCAAGTTAGGAATAATTATTGATTTTTGCTCCTGGTATTTCTGATTTAAATGGTGTCATTGTTTTGTGAAAACTTGTTTCTTTTCATATTTTTGAGACAAATTAAGTTACCTGTATGTTTTCTTTTATACTCTACTAGTGTATATATGTTGCATTTTTTAACTTCAGTCTGTTGAAGAGGATACACATATAGTGCATCACTCCAGCCTTTCTTCTACTGGCCATAAAGTACGTCATAGCTCAGGACAGAGTTCTGGCCAGTCAAAACCCTCCCATTCTAAGTCTAACCAATCACATGCCAGAAGTGGAAGCCAATCACAGCAGTCCTCTCATGGTAAAAACAGTTCTAGCCAATCACAGCAAGGTTCACACAGTAAAAGTTCAGATAACACTAAAACTAGCCAATCAACTGCTGGAAATAAAAGTGGTGATAATAAAACTGGCCAATCACAGCAATCAGCTAGGAGAAGGACAAATTCAAACCAGTCACACCATAAAGGAACCTCGAGTGCATCACATCAGTCTAAAGGAGCTAGCCAATCGGAAAAGCCAACACAGGATACTGCACAGAGTAGTAGCCAATCAAATAAGGCCGTAGAAAAGAAACCTGATGGACAAACTAAAAAAGCTGAACCTTCAAAAAAAAGTACTGCAGAAAAAGACAAGAAATGATTTAGCTTGTTGTAAGATAAACGGACAAAATATCCTGCAAAAATGAAAAAGAAAGACATCTTATATGTTTATATATGTGATGAGTGTTTGATTTCTTTGTATTTAATGGGAAAATAAAAAAAGGGTTTAAATCAAGAAAACAATTCTGTGATAGAAGGAATATGTATTAGTACAGACATTTTGAATTGAAAAGGAAAATGAAGAAAATGGAATGCTAGCATTAACCTCAGTTTATTCTTGTTTACTAACTAGACTCTTTTTTTCATACCTTTATGTAATGTCTTAGTTACAATGTGAAAGTTTGATGAAGTTGTGTTTTGGCAGTCTTTTAAATTCATATCAAAATTAGTTAAATCAAATAATAAGTAACATTTTTTTAGAAGAGTTTGACAATTCTTGTACATAACCAATAAAACTTATGTTTGAATTCTTATCTTAATATTGAAATTAAGGCTTGTATTATTTTACTGGAAACAATTTGTTGAAGTGTCTTTGACCATAATAAAAAGAAATATTAAAACATGATGTAAGTTTGACTTGCCTCAAACAGGACAATAAAGGAAAGTTTTTAGCTTGGTAAGCAGTGACGTTTGGGCAGGCTTGAGTAAAGATAAAAATGCATATTTATGAAGGTGTAGCAATGAGAATTTTGTGTATTTGACAAATTTCATTATTTTTGTTTCATTTAACAAGGCATGTGCTAGTGTTTAAACTTTCAAGCTTGTTTATTATAATTATATACCCGTCTCACTTAGCTAATTCCTATTTATTAGGAGAAATTAATGTTTCAGATCTCTCATGACAGTTACTATGTTTGTATGTTCTAGAGACTTTTCATTAAGATATTTAACGGTTTGTAGAGTACAACTTGTACAGTTTGTTGAGAAACATTTCTGTTCTAAGTTGTACAAGATATTTGCAACAAGATTGCAAATTCAAAGACATTTAACTTGTATAATGTAGCTCCCAGTGCTCAGTTAATGTATAATTGATAATGACTGTTAGACAGGTGTAAAAAGAAATAATCAGATATTGTCATTGATAAAGTAAAAAAATCTTTTCAACATCTGTCTCCTTCCTGGCAGTTTGTATCATATAATAACATGGGTAAAATACAATCTTAGTTATCCTTTTCAACCACTCTTTATACATGATTTTTATAGGGGTAGGAATAAAAAAAGAAACTTAGTTTTGATGATCTTGTGACAGAATTAAAGTACACTAACAACAACTGTAATAGAGGTGGTGTGAGGGGTTCCATAGCTTAGCTTGTCATTAACTTTGACTTCCCCTCACTGCTGTGAGTTTGAATCCAAGGATTGACTTCCCCTCTCTGCTGTGGGTTTGAATCTAAGGGTTGACTTCCCCTCACTGCTGTGGGTTTGAATCTAAGGTTCTGCTGTGGGTTTGAATTCAAGGAAGCTTTGTAGGTGGCTTACGGATAGTTGGTGCATCTTCTCTGGTGCCCATTATTACCTTAAAAAGATATAGGGAGGGGCATCTGAGGTTTTCCCACAACTGTAATGCTCGAACGTTGCCTTAAGACTTTTCAGTGCAACTTAACACCTAAAACTGACCAGAAAGACAGTTGCAGTTTTCTATTTCTTAACGTACTGGAACTGACTGAGTTGCCTTTCCCTTCAAGTTTTATATTGGTGCCGTGTGACCAGGCTGTTTGCTGTTGGTAGCCAAGCTTTTGTATTTACGGTATGGAAATACCCCTTAATCTTCAAATGAACTGTTCCAAATTCAAAGGAGGGCAAATCCACAACACACTTTTGATGGGTTAAAGGTATCTATCTACACCTGTATATTGATGTCATTGTGAGGCTGTACACTTCTGTTATGTTAGTTAATGAGCCATTGATTATTCTTGTTAATGTATGATGTTAAAACGTAAGTGTTGCAGTTTTGTTGCAGTTATCTTAAGGGGAAACCTTGTGGCGAGGACAAACTGTAATATTAATGTCATATATTTGCTATTATATACATAAAAAAAACAATAAAAATTACAAAACCCCACAAAAAAAGTTAAAAAATACCCAAAAAAAAGAGAGAAGTATCACCATGAGATATGGTTTGATGGTGTTTTTTTCTTGTATATTAAACATTACTTATATTTAAATTTTTTTATTTTTCTTTATAGAAATGTCGCTAAATGCATTTTTATTTTCCACTTTTTATTGTTTAATCAGTAAGATTATTTTATATCAACATGAAGAATACCAGAGTCCGTCATTAATTAATTGGACTGTTAGGTGAGGTCTTCATATTCCTTTAGAAACATTATTTCCATTTCATCACTGTTATTATTTAGCTTTTATTTTTTCGATGACAGAAGAGCATATTTATGAGCTTGCAGTAACATGAATGAAAAAATGACTCTGATTTGCCTATATGATTATTTGTACATGATGGTTTCACTAAATACATGAAATAAATAGGGTGCTAAATTTGTAACTGAAGCAATTTAGGGACTGAAAACTGCTATGAAGAAATACTATATATCCAATTGAAAATGTAACTTAGTGTTTTTGATATTGTTCCTATTGTTCTTTCTACATTTTTACTTTGATGCCTCTTTTACCTCACATTTATTTTATCATTCAGGTTTTAAATCTAATGGTAGGGATCATCTAATATTTCACGCCCTTTAACCTTTAGAAATGCCGAGAAAGTTATTAAATTATGTCCCATGATAACAGTTAAATACATTTTCTTTTCTGTGTTTTTTTTTATATCTTTATTTTCCTTGTTGTTAGTGACTGTAATGTAAAAGCTAACTAATACATTTGGTTAGCGAGTGAATCGTGTGCTTTTCTGATTAAAGATATATGCATAAAGTAACCATTGTTATATAGTCTATGATACGTTTGTATTTAATTTGTACATATGCAATGAAATTGAATGAAAGCTAATCTGCTTGACTGGTATTCCAAGTTGTTGGGTTTTTTGTCTCTCAATAAGTTTTATTATTGACATTTTATAATATGTTTATACAGCTCAATTTTGAAAAGAGATTCCATGTGATACAGTGAATATTCTCAACGTACAACTCTAGTTGAGTACATTTTGAATACTAAATAAGTCTCACATGTTAATCATCTTATATTTCCGTTAACTTACTGGAAAATAAAAGGTTTTTCTAAAGGGCAGAAGTGGATTCAAGTCTTGAGGAAAGAGAGAAGAAAATTCATTATGTCTATAGCAAAGCACAAGTTAATTTATAAGAAAATTGGCATTTAACTATGAAAAGTTTTAAAGAATAAATTTAGTGTATTTTACATTATGTATTATGTATTAATTTCAAACTTACAGCCATATTTTACACGAGAACATATTGTGCATCTCACAAGATCTCAGCAGTTGCTGTATAGCTCTGTATTATATATAGATGGATGGATTTGTAACCAGATTTATAATAGTTAATTCACAGAGAGTGAAGAAGATAACCGACAAAAATACTGTTATATGTTCAATAATTGTTGAGTTTAATTGATTGTTAAAGATTCTGTTACACTATTTTGTACATAGTCCAGTACTGGTTAAAAACCACTTGTTAACAATTAGTATCAGATATATTGCCATAGTAACACAATATAGTCAATATTTCATATCCTTACCTTGGGTCTTTCTTTACGATTTAGGTTGAAAAGTTGGTATATGACCTAAGTTGATCTTGTGACATAAAACTAACAAATTAAGTTAATGCTGATTTTTGTTTTCACACTAATCTGTAGAGTAAATTTGATGGAAACCGAGAAATGCCTTCCCAGTTGCTTCCTTGAAAAGTGTTTGCTTTATGATTGCCTGTCAAGTTATTTTTAACTCGCAAATATTCATTATTTCAATCAAGTAACATTTTGGCTACAATGTATTTATAATATCTATATGACTTAACTTGCAATAAATTTGTTATAAAGAAAGAAAGAAAAGAAAACATTCTTCTTAAAAAAAGACATACAAAAAGATAATTTTATTGATTATATATGTATATAAAAAAGCAGCTAAACTGACTAAGGTATCCCCGATTTATTGTTTCTTTTATAGTATTAACCTTTTTATCTTGTTTTGTTTAAACTCGGTGTTGTCATTATTCAGTCATGTGGTACGAGGGATGTAACCTTGTATATAGTTCCATTACAATTCCATTTTTCACAACATTTTGTTGTTTTCTTTCGCAAGAATGTGCTTTTTTCAATTACAGATCATATCGTATTGTATATTTGCATAATTTTCGGTATTGTATTGAAATATTGGCAACAATGGTATAACTTGTACCATTTAGTTCAGATTTGTCTGTGCAATTATTGTTAAAAATATGTAAGTGCTTCACTGGCTTTGCTTAAAGCATTGATATAAATGAAGCACTTTCATTCAGTGAAAAAAAAGGGAGAGAGAGAGAGAAATTGCACTAATATTTATAACAAGAGTTGATTATCAGTAACTTGAGCACATGAAAAGTATAAATGTTGTTACAATGTTTTATAAAGGTGCTTTCCTTGTGAGACGATTGAGTTGAGAGTATAATATTTGTGCTATATATATTGTTTTCTTATTTCCGATGTGTTCTCAGTTTGCTTTGCAATTTTGATATATATTATAATGTGTCAGTTTTACCATGTTGGGCTTTTATTTTTTCTAATAATCTGTATATGATAATTGTTTTAGTGTAATTATTTTATTGTACCTACTAAAACCACTTTATTAGAGTTACAAATTTAAATGAGCCGTATCACGACAAAACCAACATAGTGCATTTGCGACCAGCATGGATCCAGACCAGCCTGCGCATCCGCGCAGTCTGATCAGGATCCATGCTGTTCGCTATCAGTATCTCTACTTGTAATAGGGTTGGTAAGCAAACAGCATGGATCCTGATCAGACTGCGCGGATGCACTGGCTGGTCAGGATCCATGCTGGTCGAAAACGCACTATGTTGGTTTTGTCATGACGCCGCTCAAATGTCTCCAGTAAACAAGAATTTGTGTTATTCAAGTTTCATGCTTTATGTCAGGATCTGAATTTTTCTCTTAAATCTGAAAATTTATATTTACCAGGTAGATAACCGAAGGTGTGTCAGGTGATAGACTTGTATTGCCAATAAACCATTATTTACTAAAGTACTTCAACTTATTTTACATTAACACACCTGGCAATGACAAATTTCGAGTTAAATTTTGAAAATTTGATGTAAAATTCATGATGTTATTTGTAGAAATACAGGATGATTGTTTATTTTTTTCCTCTAAACCGTAATATTTGTATGTAAATGAGAAAAATAGATTTATTTCTAAATGATTTCCATGTGGTAATGGAGGCATTTCCTCATGATTAATAGTAAAAGGTGTAAAATAAAAGTTAATTAATACAGTATAAACATGTATATTTGTTTCCCCCTAATTGATTTTTGCTTCATGTGTAGGATTAGGTCATTAAATTCTCAAAAAAATCAAAACATTTGTTATTGTTTGTTACTTCATATAATACTATATGTATATGGAGAGTGTCTGTGGCAGAGTGCTAAAAGTTGTTGACTTCAAACCACTTGCCCCCTCAACACTGTAGGTTCAAATCACAAAAGGGACTCTCGATTCTTTCATGTGAGGAAGATAACCAGCTAGCTAGGAATGTCGGTTCTGCTCGTGTCTGCAATAATGCAAGGAGGGCCACTTGAGGTCTTCCTTCACTAGTAAAACTTGAAAGTCACCATATGACCTTTACAGTGTTGGTGCTACTTGAAGCCCAACCAAAAACAAAGTGTAAGTGTATTGATTGTGACTATAGTTGCTTGCTTCTCTGCGTTTGAATCTTGCTATAGATGCTAAATTTCACATGAATAAGATATTTCTGGCTTGCTTTCAGTTCTACTTAATTGTCTTGTTAGTGCCCGAAATATCTGTCGTCGGAGATACTCTTCAACAAGTTAAGCTTAAAAATTAACTTACAGTGTTGGTGAGACTTTAAACTGACCAAAGAACAAGTGTTTCCTGCATGTGTTACTGAAACCTAAATGGGCTATCAAAACCCAGTTCTAGTGTCCCTTCATTGCCTTAACTCGAAATTGTGTAAAAGATAATCAGTTTTCAACTGTTATTAGTTAGGATTATAGCAACAGTTGTACAGTTGTTAAATAATTGCTTTATATTTACAAGAAATATGATTGTACATCACTCAAGTATCAAATGTAAGAGTTGCAGTGGCTTGTATATGGTTCTCCCCATTTGCTGTTCCTTCAATGATACATAGATGGCTGTCTTCCTTCATCAGTAAAAGCAGGAAAGTGTCCATTGGACCTTAATTATCAGTGCCGGTATGATTTGCACAGTTTTTATCAATACAGAGATTTAAATTTGTGGCCGAGAGATTAACGCGTAGGACTAGTAGTAATCTAAGGATTGTGTCGTTGGTTCAAATCCTGTTGGGCAAGTTGTTGTTTCCTTGAGCAAAAAACTTAACATTTATTGCTTAGTACTGGCTGGTTCCAGGAACAGATTCGAGTGTTTTTAGCTCACCTTGCACAAAGTGCAGGTGAGCTTTTAGGATGGCCAACCAAATGGCGTCCGTCGTCTGTCGTCCGTCCACATTTTAAATATTCTAAGGACATCTTCTATGATACCGCAAGGCCAATGTTAATGAAACTTGGCAGGAATACTCTTTGTATGAAGCTCTATCAAGATTGTTCAAAGAATTCCATTTCATGCAGAACTCTGGTTGCCATGGCAACCGAAAGAAAAATCTTTAAATATCTTCTTTTAAAAAACCATAAGAGCTAGAGCTTATATATTTGGCATGAAACATCTTCTAATGAGTGTCTACCAAGTTTGTTCAAATAAAAGCCTTAGGGTCAAAATTGGTCCCGTCCCAGGGGGTCATTGATTTTCCCTATATGCATATAGTAAAAACTTAAAAAATCTTCTTTTAAAGAACCCAAAGAGCTAGAGCTAAGATATTTGGCATGAAACATCTTCTAGTGAGTGTCTACCAAGTTTGTTCAAATAAAAGCCCTGGGGTCAAAATTGGCCCCGGCCCGGGGGGTCATTGATTTTCCCTATATGCATATAGTAAAAACTTAAAAAATCTTCTTTTAAAGAACTGTAAAAGCTAGAGCCTAGATATTTGGCATTAAACATCTTCTAGTGAATGTCTACCAAGTTTGTTCAAATAAAAGCCCTGGGGTCAAAATTGGCCCCGCCCCAGGGGGTCATTGATTTTCCCTATATGCATATAGTAAAAACTTAAAAAATCTTCTTTTAAAGAACCCAAAGAGCTAGAGCTAAGATATTTAGCATGAAACATCTTCTAATGAGTGTCTACCAAGTTTGTTCAAATAAAAGCCCTGAGGTAAAAATTGGCCCTGCCCCAGGGGGTCATAGATTTTCCCTATATGCATATAGTAAAAACTTAAAAAATCTTCTTTTAAAGAACCCAAAGAGCTAGAGCTAAGATATTTGACATGAAATATCTTCTAGTGAGTGTCTACCAAGTTTGTTCAAATAAAAGCCCTGGGGTCAAAATTGGCCCCGCTCCGGGGGGTCATTGATTTTCCCTATATGCATATAGTAAAAACTTAAAAAACTTCTTTTAAAGAACCGTAAGAGCTAGAGCTTAGATATTTGGCATGAAACATCTTCTAGTGAATGTCTACCAAGTTTGTTCAAATAAAAGTCCTGGGGTCAAAATTGACCCCGTCCCAGGGGGTCATAGATTTTCCCTATATGCATATAGTAAAAACTTAAAAAATCTTCTTTTAAAGAACCCAAAGAGCTAGAGCTAAGATATTTGACATGAAACATCTTCTAATGAGTGTCTACCAAGTTTGTTCAAATAAAAGCCCTTGGGTCAAAATTGGCCCCGCCCCAGGGGGTCATTGATTTTCCCTATATGCATATATAGTAAAAACTTAAAAAATCTTCTTTTAAAGAACTCAAAGAGCTAGAGCTAAGATATTTAGCATGAAACATGTTCTAATGGGTGTCTACCAAGTATGTTCAAATAAAAGCCCTGGGGTCAAAACTGGCCCTGCCCCGGGGGTCATTGATTTTCCTTATATGTGTATAGCAAAAACTTAAAAATCTTCTTTGAAAAAACCCAAATAGCTTGAGTTTAGATATTATACATGAAACATCTTTAAGTAAATATCTACAAAGTTTGTTCAAATAAAAGCCCGGGGGTCAAAACTGGCCCTACCCCAGGGGTGTCATTGTTTTTAACTATATGTGTATAGTAAAAACTTAAAAATCTTCTTTTAAAAAACCAAATGAGCTAGTACTTAGATGTTTAGCATGAAACATCTTATTATGGGTGTCTACCAAGTCTGTTCAAATAAAAGCCCTTGGGTAAAAATTGGCCCGGGGGGGGGGGGGGGGGGGGGGGCTATATACAGGTGAGCGACCTCAGGGCCATCATGGCCCTCTTGTAATAAGCTTGTAGCTTCCAACACCATCAAACTAAAAACTAAACTAAATTGAAAATTATTTAAGATGGAGTAATGGTTCTCTTGCAATGCACCCTATCTAATTATTTCGCTGGAATCACTATTTTTGGTATACAGTTGCTTAAATATTTAACATTGATCTCCAAATGCGACATTGACCTCGGATGTAGGGGTGCCAATGTCATTCATGACGCATCATCTTATTGTGAACATCTGTGCCAAGTTTTTTTCAAAATCCCATGATGGATGAAAAAGTAATGGACCTAACATAAAATATACATAACTTCCATCAATGTTGACCTTTGATCTCTAATTGGAGGTCCGGGTCAGGGTGTTCTGAATGGCTTGTTGTCTTATTATGGTGACAATTGTACCAAGTTATTTCAAAATTCCTTGATACTGTAGGAATATTTTTTCCTGGTCTTATTCCATTCATTGAATTTAATAATTTAAGCATAACATTGCATACTTCAATTTTTTTTTTTATCATTACAGGATGTCCTTTACTATGTGAGTTTTAGTATTTCATTATATATAGACACAAAGTTTTTGGTATTTCATTTTCTTAGATACATGTATTTGATACTATAAGAGGTTTCAATCAAGTAATATGTATCATAGTCATACTGTGGACAATATTAATTCAACAAAGGCCAGCAATTAATACAGATAACACACTGAGGATTTTGATGACATTGTATGTGCATAATATCCTTATTTTATTTATATTAAACATTCATGTAGTTTCATTATACTCTAACAAACAAGTATAATGCCATTCCAATATCACCCTTTCTATTTTCTTGTCTGGAAGTAATTAGAAAACTTGTATCTAAAAGAATTATCTGACAACAGAAAAATCAACACAAACTCTTCTTATCAACTTTTATTTCCAGCCATTAAATAAGATGGCACAATAGTGTGTAAATTTGTGATGTCAAATTATATATAAGATACATATATATGTATTTACAGACATATATACATGTATATATAGATAAACATACAACAATACATTTGAATGTGATAATATGACAACATGAAAACAAAACAAAACACTGACAGCATCACCTGATGTATTAACAAACCTCTAAATTTATCTTCTATTGTAAAAAACTATCTAATTTATTGATATGAAAAATAAATAGGACCTCAATTTTGATTGCATTATCATATAATATTGCACATGTTCAGATGTAAAGTTTAATGTTACAAAGAAAGCCATATGCCTGAAGAAAGTTGGGCCCAAGCAGTTAAATATGAACATCTGAACTCCATGTGCAAAATCATGCATCAATGCCTTCAATATTGATATATAATCCTCTCAAATAGTTTTGCCTTGAAAAATAAAAATAGAGTGTGAAATGGTGGAAAAACAACATTTTTTTAATCATCAACAATAATTGGATGAAACATTCTGTTGTTTCACTATAGATCAGTTCTTGTTTAAGCATTGCTCTGAAAATGTATACAAAAAAACTTACAAATGTGGAAATTTTTAACAACTCAGTTTTACTTTTTTCTGATATAATGGGTGTTCATATTAATTTGGCATCAATAAAATTCACAACTTTTCTAAAGAAACCACAATGATAATGAGAATTTGTCAAACACTTTGCTAAAGTCTGTGACATATAGTGAGTATCTGTCACAAAAAATGGGCATCTCTAGGACAGTGTCACATCAAATGAGCATCTGTCACAAAAAAGGGCCTCTTAGACACCTCTTAGACAATGTCACATCAAGTGAGCATCTGTCACAAAAAGGGCCTCTTAGACAATGTCACATTGAGTGAGCATCTGTCAGAAAAAATGGCCTCTTAGACACCTCTTAGACAATGTCACATTGAGTGAGCATCTGTCACAAAAGGGGCCTCTTAGACAATGTCACATTGAGTGAGCATCTGTCAGAAAAAATGGCATCTCTTAGACAGTGTGCATCACATCAAGTGAGCATCTGTCACAAAAAAGGGCCTCTTAGACAATGTCACATTGAGTGAGCATCTGTCAGAAAAAATGGCATCTCTTCGACAGTGTGCATCACATCAAGTGAGCATCTGTCACAAAAAAGGGCCTCTTAGACAATGTCACATCAAGTGAGCATATGTCACAAAAAGGGCCTCTTAGACAATGTCACATTGAGTGAGCATCTGTCAGAAAAATGGCCTCTTAGACACCTCTTAGACAATGTCACATTGAGTGAGCATCTGTCACAAAAAATTGGCATCTCTTAGACAGTGTCACATCAAGTAAGCATCTGTCACAAAAAATGGGCATCTCTAGGACAGTGTCACATCAAGTGAGCATCTGTCACAAAGATGGGCATTTCTAAGACAGTGTATGTCACATCAATTGAGCATCTGTCACACAATTACCTTCTGTCCAACAATGCGAACATCTCTCATAAAATGTGAACTTCTCTCACTAAAGTGTAAGACTATCAAATAAATCAATCATAAAAAGAGGAAGTTATCACAAATAGAATCAAATTTACATATTGTATCCTCATGAATAAAATTCTCATATACATTCTCTTAATATGAAGAATTTATTTAAGTTATTAAGTAACTGTATAAATATATATGAATTATTTGCTTTTTTATTTCAGTATGAATGTAAAATACTGTGCACACTTGACATGTTGGCACTTCTTTTATAAATGATTTACAAACACAATATATACATGATATAATGAGATCATTAACTAAATCTTACATTACAACATATTGTTTGTCTAACTAACTGATAGGCAACTACCTTCATACTTGATAATGATACAATTAACAGTCTAACAGCTTCTATGGTTCTGTCATTTAACATGGATAATGTTTGGTAGTTTACAGAATTAGAAATGCAATATGACCATGGATTAAATGAGTTCTGCTCCAAACTGTTTGCAAAAAGTTTACAATAAGGGACATATCTTTTTGAATAAAATTAGACGTGAACCAAATAAGATATGTAAAGTTGGACCTGATATTTGACATTTTGAAATGTATCATATAAATAGGTTATAACTGTTATATTATAAGATGGTAGACAGCATATTTTTTCAAACTGTTCATAAGATTTAATATTCCCGTAGAAAATCTGTATATACAATTTAACCATTAGAAGTAATAATGGCAGCCCAGTCTAATCATATTATATACCATTAGCTCCTTTCATTTAGAATGATGATACTGACAAGTAACTCTGACCCTGCTGAAATTGTGTTTGCCCAGCTTTGACTTTGGAACAATTCATTCAATGTTTAGGGAATGTCAGTTTAAAAACAACAAAGGTTGAACTAACCATAGTGTAATGCCTGGTAAGACCAGGTGGTAAAGGTTTTCAGTTCCTGCAGGATCAGGGTAAATGGTTTAAATTTAAAAGTAGGGCAAACTCATTATACATGTTCAACAGGTTGCAGCTTCAAACATAAAAATTAATACCTATATAACACTGAAACAACACATAAATATATCACTTGATAATGTCATTTTAACAATCAATAATAAAGCTAAATTAATTCACCTTTGGTATATAATGTTTATCAAATTTCAACAATATAATTGTTTCATCATTAACATACTCATAAAAATGTAAGTTAAACATTTGAAAAATCTCAACTTTGACATTTAAACAGTGAAGAATATTTTCTAAGAAATAGTAAAATTTATTTATGCTATATTATTGATCAAGATATGGCAGAGTTTGGATGAGAGAAAAATAAATTCACAAGTGACAAGCATGAGCAATTTAATTTTTCTCACCTGACCAACTACTATAGCCAATATTTCAACCACTAGTAAACATACTTATAATGTTACAATTTCCATTCTCCTTAATACAGCAATCTGTTGTAATCAATATTTAAAAGGCAAAACAAGGAGGTAAAAATAATCAGATATGGTGACATCTACCTGATGCTAATAATAAATATCCATATTCCTTAAGACAGGCAAACAAAATATATGCATGATTTTATAATAAAACTTGCAATCATGAAAATTCTGCTGGTGCCATCACAACTTTCAAAATTGATACGGAATATAACATTTCAATATCAAAGGGTATAACCCTACAGGTGGAATGCTCATACTTGACAATCCCATAAGTGTCCTATTCAACTTAAATATCAATATGCCATAATACAAATTGCAAAATATGCAGTAATACTTCACTTGGCCTGCCTGACATGCGAGTATTTAAATACATTTATCAATAATTTATTATATCATTTTACTATATATATCTTATAATTTCATCTTCAGTTTATTTTTGGCAAGATAAAAGACCTATCTAGACCTATTCATAGCTAAATATGAGAATATGTGCATTAAAAAATATCTCTTGAAATGATATATACATTTGCCACAGTAATATTTGGAAGGTATATGATACACTTAATGACCTATATACAAAATGTATGTAGTTTATCTTGCAGAACTTTTTAATCATCAATATCTAAAATGATAAACAATGTAACTATGTGATAAAATCTTTATATCTTTAATTAACACACCACAAATACTGAGACACCCAAATAAAAAAAAAATCTATTTTTTATCACCCGTATTGAAACAAAATAAGTTATTAAAATGGACGGAAGAATAAGCAAGTCACAATTATATGGAAATACAATGTAACATAAAACAATAGCAAAAAGAATGAGACTGAATTAAATGAGCTGTGTCATGACAAAACCAAATTAGCGCGTTTGCGACCAGCATAAATCCAGACCAGGCTGCGCATCTGCGCAGTCTGATCAGGATCCATGCTGTTCGCTATTAGTTTCTCTACTTGTTATAGGGTTTGTAAACGAACAGCATGGATCCTGATCAGACTGCGCAGGCTGGTCTGGATCCATGCTGGTCGCAAACGCTGATTTATGCTGGTTTGATTAAGAAATAATATATCCCAAACTGTGATTTTATTGCTCAATAACATCACTGTTTGGAGTTCGGATGCGGGGAATTATATCACGAGGGCGTAGCCCGAGTGATATAATGATGCGCATCCGAACGACAAACAGTGATGTTATCAAGCAATAAAATCACCGATTTGGATATATTATTTCGATTCTAACACGACATCAACAAATAAATGATGCCGTACATGATAATTAGATAAACTGCGCCTGATTGGTTTCCGTACTTATTTTCAGCGCGTCACATTTTTAGTGGTTACGTCACATGTATAACGATTACGTCACATATCTAAATATAGAACGTCAAACAGTGATTTTATAGCATAATAATACACACTTTCGGTTCTTCTATGTTCAATAGGGCAAAATGCGGGTCGTGTTAGAATATTGCTTTTGTCATGACGAGCCTCAAATGTTGCAACATTAACGCATTTAATGACATACACTTTCCTCCACATACAATTTATTCTCTTCTGAATCCAATATACTCTTATTAATTAATATCTGAAAAATTGATGTATATATATAATGTGTACTTCAAGTGTTCTACATTGTACAGATATATTTCTTGTTTCCTCTAAATAAATACAATGATGTAACACAATTTTATAAATCTGTCATTTTATTACACATGCACACTTATTTAAAAATATCAAAAAAAGAATAAATATACTTTATGATCTAATAATTGTTTCCGGATTTTCAATTACCCAACAATTCTTTCTTTTAAAAAATTATCATAAATATCATCATGGAGTGTATAAAGTCACTGCTGAGCTTTAAGGTTAATTAAATAAAATAAACATTTACAAGGTAGTAACAATTAAAGTAGCAGGGGGGAAAACAACATAAAAAAAGACTAACAGAAAAGATAAATTATAGGATTATATAATGCGAGAAATATTGTAAAAAAATGCCATTGCATATGATATACAATTATTAAACAAAATAAAACAAACCCATTGACCAAACAGGAAAAACAAAACTATAATGACATAAATGGAAGGTTGTCCTCAGAAAATTTATGCTGATAGTATGAAATTTGTCACTTTGGAGTATTTATAACATCACAAAATTTATTAAAGATTATATCTAACTATACATTTACACAAATAAATTTACACCTTTCTGTTTTTCTAACATATAAAAACACACACACATTAGTAGTTCACGGAACTATAAGAAATCTTTGGCAGATAGAGACTAGGTCATGTGACCAATGCAGCAAGGGTCATGTGACGTCTAATTTGATCACATGATTACTTTTAAGTAACTCTGCAAGACAAAAGTTCAAAATGTATATAAAAAAATATTGAACACATAGAATGATATGGAATTTTTTGCAGTGCATTCTATAGTATCTTGAGAACAAGTGATGGGAAGTTATCATTGAAAATTGTGGTATAATAATTGAATTGAAAAAAATTATTTTATCTTTATTCATAAACATTAATATATGGATAACATGATAGACATAAAAAGTAAAATCAATGTTTCATGATCTCTTTCTATTTTTCATTAAAACTGAAAGCACTTAATAGAAGGAAAGTGACAATCACGTCATTATATGGCATTCAAGAATTTATGTCCCTCATCCCCCGTTTGTCTATATATCCCCGAGATTTGCCACTTTTTATAGGTTTAAGGTCTGATTCTCTTGGAGAGATATACATGTCACTATCTTCACCTAACACTGACTGTGGTCTAGACATCCAGCCAGAACGTATGTCAGTACCAGACATTGATGCTAGATATCGACTGTCAGGTTCTTGTTTACTGTGTCCCTGATATGGCCAAGCCGGGTCCGGATTTAAATAATGTCCGGTCTGACTACCAGCTCTACTTCCATATGTTTTGTTTAGAGGTTGTAATCTTGCTGTCTGTAAGGAAAACATTTCATGAATCATTTGGCAACAATTTGGCACTTGAATTATCTACATCTTAAATAAAAATATGACTACCAAGATAGTTTTCCTGCTATATGTTACACTAATTCTTGTTAAATTGATCAACTTTTAACTGTTTTTGGATTTTATAGCCAATCAAAACAATTATATAGATTTCGAGAAAACATAATGCTTAAAAAAATAAAGAAAAAAACTGTTGGTGAATATCATAACAAACAATAAGATACAACTGAAATACATTAAAAGCTTACTTTATCTACAGGTGTTTGAGTCATCTTTCTAAGTGCCATTGTCTGTTTGGCAAATTGCGTCTTTTCTCGATTATCTACATCTTTTGACATATACGTTTCTCTGTTCTGAAGTGGCTCCCTTGCAGAGATTTGACCATCAGGTAGTTCCTCGTCTGGATCATAGTCTAAACGTGAAGCTCTTGATGGATTTATGAAGTGACGAGACGGGGTTGCTCTACCAACATTTTCATTGTCTCTGTCCATTAATATCTGTATAACAAGAATATACATATAGAATAATAGTAATGTCTGTTATAAAAGATGTTGCAGTATGTTAATACAAAATTTATCACATGCCAATGACTTCAAATATTCAAAATCAAGTTTTACACTTGGTTATCATAATTGTGTTATAGAAAAAAAATTCTTTTTAAGAGTGCATCTGATGAATGATTGAAATTTTGTTATCAAGTGAAAATATTAAGACATGCTATCTTGTTTATGTACACATATTTCTTTCATTCATTTTAAATTTTAGCAATATTGATTCACATATTGTTTCTGTCTTTTTGAAAAATAATATCTTTTGAAATGCTATCTTAAAATCTTCCAAACTACAAAGCTATCAAATGTATAACATCTATAAGAAGAACTCAAAAAGCCAGATTGTGGTGTATTTTTGCACACAAAATATTTAGAGATTTTAAAACCCATGCTATTATTAAAGGTCTATGAAAGTGACCACCAATCATAATCCAAAAGACCTGACTGGGTGAAATTACACTGAATAACATTTCAGTGGTTACCAACTCATGAATCTGCATACAAAACTTTACCAAAGTATTATGCCAGAACCTGAATGCCATTAAATGGACTAGCACTGCACCCCACTATTTTTCTTCAGGTCAAGCTAAAAACTACATTTGTAAATTTCTCACTAGCCTTTTTTTATTATTGATATGAATACCTGAACTATTTTCTTCTTCTTTTTCTTCTTAGCTAGTTGGTACATAGTTCCTGATGTATGCCAGTCATTGTTGTCCCTCCTGATAACAAAACAAAAATCATTCCTATCTTCATATATGAATCATGTTCCATGTTTTAAATATATATTTTGATGGCAACTCCTAACATCTCAATGTTTTAAATCTATTTTTTTTTAAGAAAGAAACATACAATGTATTCAAAGTAATTACAAAGAGCCTGAAAGGATTGCAATCTTACACATATTAAGGTCTTATATTTCTTATTGTCTACAAAAAAAAATAATCTGAAAATATCTTTGAATATCAATTGTCTTTTATACTGAATGGTATACAACACACTAATTATTTTAGACTCAGTCGAGTGTTATGTTATTTTAGACTAACTGTATAAAATTGTACAATCTTTTATTGAATGGTATATAGCACACAAATTATTTTATACTCAGTTGAATGTTATGTTTTTTTAAGACTAACTGTATAAAATTGTACAATCTTTTATTGAATGGTATATAGCACACAAATTATTTTATACTCAGTTGAATGTTATGTTTTTTTAGACTAACTGTATAAAATTGTACAATCTGATAGCTGTTTACAAATTGCTTCACTTTAAATGGATTTACAATTAAAAAAGTAAATAATTTGGACAATTTAGTTTTCTACAATGAACCGATAAAAAGTAATGACGCACCACGATGATTCGTGACGTGCCCCCTGTTGTCGTGAATGATACATGTCCGGACTATCATTGTAGTATGGCTGTACATTGACATACTTCGTGTGAGATCTTGTCTGGACAGGTGGCCCGCCCACGCTGATGTTACCATGTTCACGATGAAAACCCAGGTCTGTAAACATATATAAATCTTTATGTTAAACTAGCGCCAAATATGACCAAAATAAACCTTATAAGAATGGCAAGTTCTTGAAATCAGGAGAACATTTAGTCTTATTTAATTATGTTAAAACTTGTACATGCTCTAAGGGCAAGTGTATCTCCTGAAATGACATTAATAAACATCACATGATTGTTATGCTCCATATTTTACATCATATTCTTAAATCTAAAAATCTGATATAAAATAAGGGGCATAACATGATTATTAAACATGTTTTTTTGTAGTAAAAGACTTGACATCTTTGTAGTGAAACATAAATTTGAATAAACATGTATCTATACATGCTATATATATGTATTTGTGAAAGATTGTCAATAATTACTGACTTAAACATATTGTCTTGGTCCTTTGAGTTTCTCATAGAAAATAATGATAATGTTATGTAAAATATAATAATTATCAATTATAAGAAAATTGAATCATTCCACTCTAATTGGTTAAATGTTGAAATTATCTTTCCATTTATTAAGTAACAATTTATACAGGCTAAGTAAAATTGTAATAAACAAAATCCACAAATCTACCAGAATCTACTAAATCTCCATAAAAGGGGTAAAAGGTGTGCATGCAGTTTGGATGGAATCATGGGTAACAAAGGGTGTTCAACAAAGATAGAAAATTTAAAACATAAGATAAATAACAGTCAGGTGTATGTGAGCAGCCTGCTCTTAAAACTTGAAATATGCTATGACCCTTAAAAAATTATGAATAATTATAATAAAATTATATTTTTCTACTAAGTGTCAGTTCTATAAAGGAGTCACCTAAACCCTTGCAACAATTCTAACTATTGTCACAGTTACACAAAACAATGAAATTAAAAATTCAACACGTTCTCTGTATTCTAGCTTTAACATTCCTTTATTCAGAATTAATAGCAATATCAAGACTTCCACCAACCTAATCCTAATCATCTATTATGGCAATCATGACAATGAGACCAGCATAACAAAAAATGCACCACTTTAATCTATGACAAAGTTCAATAATAACATAAAATAGCCCAGTTACACAATAATAAGGAGGTAAGAATGATATTTGTATTTTGTATCAATAGGAAATACCTTTGTACTACAAATAAAAATGAAACAGTTTGAAGGACATGTTGTTAGTAGGAATAAGGGGTTAAAATAAGACTGTTAAAACAGTGAACAGAAGGTAAGGGTAGGGAAACACTGATGTGAACAAAATTCACCATAGTTGTGTACAGGAAATAGGGGCTTGGATACAACTATAGATCATAAGTTGTTGTGAAGAAATGTATGAGGAGGTCAATACAGTTGTGAAATGACTGGACAAATCTTCAAGACACTCTTGTATGAAGACCCTCTGTGTCTTTGGGGTTTCAATATGACATTAGGACAGACAAGAAAATCAGGGAAATGTTAAATAACACAGTACATAGGATAACACAGAGAATTTAAGAATTAAGGAGTTTACTGACACCAACCACTAAAATCATCATCATCATTACTATCTCTGGTTAAGTTTGATCAAACAGTGAAAGTCTTTCAAAGCTATGATAGAACTCACTAAAGCCTAAAGGCCGTGAAAAAGTAAAAACTAAATAAAGTGAACAATAAAAATGTAAATGATGACTATGATGGACAAGATGATGATGGCGATGATAAAAATACAGATGATTAAGATAGAGGTGATGGTCATGGCAAAATGGTGATTTTTGATAATGATAACAATCACATGGAAATGATGCTGATAATTAAGAAATCAACTTTGAATAAGAAGATGATGATAATGACGATGATAATAATGATGATAATGACACATGCATCTAGAGATACCATAAACACTGCAATCATTGCTATATAGTTGAAAACAGTGAAGAAAGAAACCAGGTGAAGCAATCAAAACAAACAGCAGATAGAGTAAGGTGGATGTTTTGGGGGGGGATAAGGGGACATAAGCCAGTCTACCTGTCCCCGATTCAACTGATGATTCAGAGTCACGACGAGTCTCTGAAGAAAGAGAGCAAGTAGTTTTCTAAATGATGATTATATCAACAGATCATTAAAAAAACATAAACTTATACACCAGTCAATAACTCAAGATACTTCTCTCACAATTCTATCAATCATTTCTATTTTATATCAAGTTATAATAACCTGTCATACTGTACACAATTATATGATAACATCTATACAATAAACACCAACTATATTGTGTTTAAAGTATCTTTATACAATCATTTTCCTGTCAAAGATATGTTTATGACAAATCATTTAGATATATAGATGAATATTTATTGATACAGGAGAAGAAAATGCATAATATATGACCACCTGTCACCTGACAAAACATGCAAACAAAATGCGTGTTGCAGAAATAAAACTGTGATTGTCAGTAGCAGCCCTAAAAATATTGATACCGGTATATCATTAACTTATTAAAATCACATTTTTTTAAATGAAAATAGCATTTTTTTAGAGGAAGAGATCTACTGATGATGTTTGAATAATTGTAATACAAATGGTCACTTAAAATAAGATGCATGTAACTACAGTGTATATGGTTAACTCATTATAATGGCATATATTAAAATTGCTACAGTCATAAAATGTTCTACTATATATATTATAAATAAAGAAAAAGTACTAGAAGTCTGCATGCATTGTATACATATATAATGTAACCAAAAGCTTTATAATATATATATATATCGCGCACACCTACATCTACTGAAAGTAAAACAAACTATATTGTAACTATGAACAAAATACAGCAAAACTCCTTGTAACATTTCATAGAGCAAAACAAGAGGGAAAAGCACTGCTGTAAGTTAGGCTAAAACGTGATATATACTGTTATTTGTGAATGAACAGACGGACGAGGAACGATAAACACTTTTTCTCCCGTCATCCACTGACATACGTCGTGAGCCGTCAGAGTTGAAGAAACTCGACTCTCTAACCATCTGTGGTCCATCTGCTGCTTAACAAGAATGGTTACATCTTAGTTCTACCCTTACATACACCGTTATATTATTAGTTATAAAGATATGTGACAGGGTATATGACCCTATAAACGGCTGTTTGCAATTATTAAGGCTTGGGATAAATTGCAAACAACCATTTATATACAGCCATATAACCTGTCAAGAATCTTTATGACAAATTTATGATACTGCAAACTTTCTTTATTACAGAAAAAATAAATTTATTTATAAATTGAATGCAGCCATGCATACAGATTATATAAACGTCAGGAATATTCAATGAAAAACGACGTTACAGAAATGCAGTATGATACACAGGAAAATGACAGACATATATGTCCTAATTCTTTTAAACATTACAATCACACTGTCCTCAATCATTGTTTGTGTTTCTTACATATGAATTACACTCATGTAAAAATGTAAATCCTTTAAACGTGCCACATTAACCTAACTTTTAAAAAACCAAGAATTAATCAACAATAGATAAATGTAACATCTATAAATTTTGTGCCGGACCAGTACTATCTATCCCAATAACCAAGACTTAACAACAATGCTTAGGTCTCTTAAAAAAGCTGTTATATATTACATACTATATATCTGCTGCCTTTATTCTTAATATTTTGATGCAAAAAATAAATTTAGCAATTGTACACCTAATCATGCAATACATTTTTTGATTAGAGTTACAATGTAAAGTTACTGAAAAGATGGAGCAAGTTTTATATGATGAGTCATCGACTATAAGTTATGTAACTGTTAACTTACCGTAGTACTGGTTTTTGTTGCGTGTTCGTGTGTCCTTCATGTTGTACCCTCCACCATAGTTGTTGTTGTCACGATCAGAACGATCTCTGTTGTATTTATTGTTGACACCATCTTGATTCTGTAACTATAGCAACAAACAAAAATAAACAGTGATCATTATATCCTTACCCAACTAAATATCTGAAATGGACTTACCAAGTCTTTCAATCTGGACAAAACCATTTATATGTTTAGGGGAAATTTCAAAATACTGAACAGTGCTGACCAATCTATAGAGTCACAATGTTTTAAATATATTTGTCTCATTTCATAGTACAAAATTGAATTAATTTCAAACAATAATACATTTTATAATGTGTGGGTTTTAATGAATACTTGTCAATAAAAGATGCAAATACTATAAAATAGTAATAGTGGTAAAATAGGTTAATCCATCTAGCATACATGACCAGTACAAAATTAATATTCCCTATTTTCAACATAGTAGCTACTAAACTTGTCAAAGGACCTCATCTAGCAGGCCTCGAGGTTATAAACTTTTTACTAAGATCAATCTCAAATCTCAGAATTCCATTGGTCTGTGAACATTCTTTGCAGGTTACTGATCAATCAAGTGTCTGTGATCTGAGTTTGGACTTGAAATATAACCTTGGCCCCATGTTTTACATCATGTTTTTTAGAACTGTTTATGGGATTCAATATCAAGATTTACAAATAACAGCAGTCAAAACTATTCAGCCTGCTATGATATTAGTCTAACACAGATCTGCTAGCTCGACTGTTTCTATACTAATGGTATACACAGTCTGTTTCTTCACCAGCATTTAACATTAAATTAGCACCTATTTGTAATTTTTGTGTGTGTGATTATAACTGTACAAAAAGTAAATCACTTAAGTATTTTCCAACTTTATACCAGCCACTAAATACACATAAAGAAAATAAATTTAAGAAAATTCAATGTTTTTCTATTTCATACTATATATGGCATGTCTTATTAATTCAAATATAAATGTCACAATTTTGGTCTACTGAAAAAATTATTGCTGTATATTTTAAGAATAAGCTATTTTAACACTAGCCAACCAGATGTTTTGATAATTTTGTTTTTTTTAATTAAATACCTTGATGTGGAATTTCTAAATAAGAAAAAAAGAAAAAAAAAGAACCTTACAAAATAGAATTTCCAATAAAATAAAATGAAATTCTTTGGACTAGATTTTTCTTTATTCAATTTTCATGCTATAACCAGCCAAAATATCAACAAAAAAGGTAAAATAGTGATGTTTCATTAATTCAATGGAGATACTTATAATGAAGGATATAATATTATAATATTCTGCTGATTACAAATACTTTATATAATGCACTATTTCTAAATTCATAAATGTTATATTCTTAAATTAAGAATGCTTGACAAGCCAAATTATTATTACCATAATAAATATCAACACCAGATGTCAAGTTATGTTGAAAAAAAAAATCACATGTGAAATAACATTGCATGCATAGTAAATCCATTTACATTGTGGGAGGTATACATGTATATTAGATACATATTGAAATAAATACAATGTAAAACATTATACTAGTAATTGAAATTTACTATAAACTTTTCATCAATCAGTATTGTACATGCACAAGTGTTTAAAACATGGGAATCACAGTACATGATAAAATATTACTGTAACAAATCTTTTGACTCTTAAAATTTTACTTTATGCAATGATATTTTACAAATGCAAAGAATATGCAAACATGTTTTACATCTCATAATAGATTGAAATGACATAATATGTTTTATAATACTGCATGTTTGCAATTTCATTTTTCATTGGATAATTGCGATGTTTTTAAAATCTATAATAATATTATACACGGCTGCAGCTGAATTATAAATTTATTCATTTTATTTTCTCTGTAACATAGAAAGCCTGCAGTAATAAAGTTTCTTAACAGGTTAAATGGCCACATATAAATGGTTATTGTAATGTAACCCTTGCCTAACATGTAACTCTGGTTATATATTCAAACAACTGCTCATATAGGGCCATGTAACATGTCAAAATTTTTTTATAACATATAATATAAGTTAACTAACATACATGTACAAAATAATATTTCTATAGCATATACTCTATATATCCCTAGTGCTAGTGTTATTTAAAGAAATAATATATAAATAAACTATTTAAAATCACTTCTCAAACAAGTTTAGCTTGAAGACCAGTAGATATACCAGCTACACTACCCCTAACTGAATCAGTTCTCATCTTTGATTAATATATTTTATTTACTGTTGACTTGCTCCAAATTTGGAACAGTGCATCGTGATTTTAAAGGGTTTTTGATAATAACAAATTAAAATTGACCACACATGTAACAGTTCAGAGTTAGGTCAAACTGCACAAATGTTCATCCTTGTCTAATTTTATAGTAGTGGCACAGGTCAGTTTTAATATTTCCACTAGCATTGTATAGGTTATGTTTTAATATTTCTATTTATCTTGGGTACAAGTAGTACATCTCTCATAACACATGACTGCCATCATTTCTGAAGGTATGCCAAATAATTCAACCTATCATTAAACCTGTTATCTAACAAATAAAATGTTCAATACTTGAAATAAATATATTTCACTTAATTCATAAACCTCTTATTCAACCTGATCATTGTTTCACTAAAATAATGCTGAGGAAAAAAAGTGATATTTCCCTTGTATTCACCAGTTAAGGAACCCATTCATTAAATCCTAAAATATTCATCTATCAATATGCCAAGCTTTTAATAATACCTGACAGAAATCAATTGTCCGCATGTTGAACTTTATTTTTACAATAAACGTGCTTGTTGCATTGTGTGAAAATCTTCTTTAATCATATAATGCTTATATTCAAGGTAAAGTCTAATATTCTATTCATGCATATACAGGCTAGCTATGATACAAAATCCTGGATAATTAATATATAATGATACTATACACATGTTTTTTTCACCTACTTTTGGGTTTCTTGATTTCCTCTTAGCAGGATAATAGATATTCTGCAGAGTTTAAATATTGACAGAGTTATAATAGAAATGTCACCTACACTTAAACAAGAGTTATAAAACACCAAAATACTCCAGCCAAAATTATACATAATACAAAAACCTTTCTTAAATAAATGTTGTTTTAAAAACGTTATTTAAAGAAGTTTTGTTATGTATGTAATCATAGGTACATTAGTAACATAAACAAATTACTTCTTTATTACAATGATAAAGCAAAAAACTTTGTACTTAAACTTAATAAAACTCTTAAAACCATGTGCAGATAAGTCCAATTTTGTCAATCAAAAACAAATTTCTTAACATAGAATAATTGCTGTAGATAGTTACTGCTAGATGAATCTGAGATATATATAATAATAGACAAAGCTAAGTTAGTGTATGACAATATAAACACAGCTAACTTTACTGGTCATAATAAACAATAAATTTAAATATCTTATACATCCTACTAAAAAGTACTTAATAAGCTGATGATTATTTGTGTGCTAGAATAAGATAATTATATACATGTATGAAGGACTATTTACTGAGACATTAATAAGGAAATAAACTAAATGTACCTTCAGCCAATGTTTTTCAAACTTTAAATAAAAAAATATTACAATGACGTAAATGTATGAAAACCGTGGGTGTACAGCGAGTATCTACAGATGTTAAACTATTCTTCTTTTGAATGCCATTAAAAGACATATTTCTCTTTTAACCTGTCTTAAACGTCTTTGTGTATAGAGATAAAATTATTTCTGCACCATTATTTTCATAAATATTTCTGTATTATTTTCAACTTACAAATGATTTTTCCTCTTTAGCGAAATCAATAATTTATATGAACATTTACGAACAGTTTGAGGTATAATAAAGTGGGCTATAAATCACTATACGGAACAATGACTTGACGGGACCACATATTCAATTAGTTCAATCATTGCTGTATGGTGCAACAAAATCTTAGTTTGAAAAATAATCAATATCTACAAGTAAATGCATTTTACTTGTAAAAAATCACCGACGTATACAGTGATTCATTACAGCGACCTACATAATTATGTATATTTGAAGTATTAAATATAAAATTATGACGGTTATATATTTAACAGCAGACTGACCATCACACAGCAGGTTAAACACATATTAAACTACAAGTAAAGAACTAGGTTTAGATTTAGTCTCTATATGAATTAGAATATTTATTTATATTTTCATATACAAACTGATTTTGCCAATGCCCTTGTAAATGATTTAACAGAAATTGAAGATAGATCTGTATAACAGACACAGAGAAACACATAACGAGCTGACAGATAGACCAGTAAGTTTTGAGGCAAATATAGATTATGTATTACCTTAGCATCAGACAGTCTATCTGTTATCGTTCTTACAAACGTCACTTCCTGTTTCTGTTGTTGTTGTTGTTGTGCTTCTTGATTTTTTTTCTGCCTCATTGTACTGGACTTGATTCTCTGCAACTCTTGCTGTAATGTCTTGTCCAGAAACTGTGTCAAATTAAATAAAGAATGACTCATTGTAGAAAAGAAAGAAAAACAGCAATATACAAGAAAAAATTGCTGAAATAATAAGAATCTGAACAAGAAACATTTGAACTCTATTTGTGCAAAATCTTGAAAAATCATCAAATACAACAACCAAATTGTAAGATTTACACAAACCACTTTATAACTTCCTTAACAAAATATCAAGTAAAAGAATTTAAGAACAAAAAACTAAGAAATTAAAACCAGTAGTTTTCTTCAGTTTATTCATATAATTTTTTATCCAACACTTAAATAAAACCGCAAAAATTATTATTATTTGCACCAAAATATTTTTTTGTGTTTAAACTAGACTTGTTGATATAAAGGTAACATAATGATGCAAGGGGACAAATGTATTAAAAATCTTGCTGTTTTCCAAGACAATGACATTATTTGCAAATTGCATACTCAAAGCAACTCCATCAACTCCATTATTAATATTTTAAAATTGATGATAAAAACTCTGTTATTAATTAATATAAACACATTTTTTTTAATAAATACAAACTAAAATTCATATTCTACAAAATGACATAAAGATAAATGAGTAGGACCCAATATTACCATTTTGATTTAGACTGATCTTGGCACAACAAAATTAATGTTAAAGTCTTTCGACTGATCAATACAATAACTCTTGGTTTTTCCTTTACATATATAATGAACTGTAATGAGTGTAAATGTAGGTAAAATTTTCTGTTTACCTTCCTTCTTTCTGGACTATCTGACTGTTTCTGACTATATTCCTGCTCCTGATTATAGGGGGCCTCTAAATTCACAGTAAACGTATTTGTTCGTGCATTTGAGGGGGCCTCCCTAGGGGTAAGAACTATTGGCTCAGGGGATTTACTTTTTAACTTTTGTTTATTATCTGTCACTGTTTTAGAACTATGTTTCCGTTTAATATATTTAGACTCACTAGGAGTGTTGTCCATCTCAACATCATTATCGGCATATTGCTCATTGTCATGCTCAGACTCCATTTTCACTTCTTTATTACCTTCAATTAAATCACGGGATCTAAAATCAGGGAACGTAGTGTTATACTGGGTGTTAATGTGACGATTTGAAACATCAATGTAAGACTTGCCATGTCGCGGCTCTTCCTCACTATTATTAGAATTATCCACTACATTATGATTAGAAGCACTCTTTTGAGATCTGCGCATAGTTGCAGATTTACCAGGAGTCCGTGTTCGCTCTTTTCTATGAGTTTCTTGATCTTCTCTTTCAATTAGAGCTTCAACTTTCAGTTTTTCATGTTCAATTTGCTCACGTATTGCATTTAATGCCATTTTTTCTGCATTTGCTTTTGATGAAGCATTTTTAGCTTGTTTGATGTATTTACTTTGTGACGTTGGATGTACACCATTTTTCTCTCCTTCTGAAATGTCCATTTTTTCTTCCTGCCTTTCTTCTTTTTGATCTGGTAATAAACCTCTTTGTTTCCCTGAGCGAACGGTTAAATTTTTCAAATTTTCGCTGTAATTGAATAATAAGGCTGTATGAAACCAGGTTATTTATGAAATGTTAATTTTTAAACATTCCACAAAGAACAGATATAGATGTCAAATAAATTCAGAATAGTCATAATCTATGTCAAACTTTTCAAATGATTTAACAAAAAGAATTTCATAAATTTTAATTTCTATCTTATTAAATAAAAAAGAAAGTGTAATGAATATATACTTCAACTGCGATTAAATGAAGCATTTTTACTTAAAAAGAATTAAGAAGTATCTTTCCACTGACTTTATTTCTTCAATACATATTTATTTCTTCATAATTCAAACAAGATTAAATCTTGATTATTATCTCACCTATTAACATGATCACTGAAGTCATTTTTGCGTTTCTTGCTGGAAGTATGAGAATCTATATGTTTTACTGGGACATGATTTCTATTAAGGAGACGTTCAGTTTGGAATACTACATGATTCAAACATTCTTCAATTGTGAATCGATCACTTGGCTCTAGGCGTAGAGTTTGCTGAAATAATACAATTAAAATCATTGAGTAAAAACAAATTGTACTAACTTACAAACTAATATGAAAATTGCAATAAACCTATGTCATTATCAAATGGAACCATTTCGGATCTTCTTTTGTCAAAATGTTACAAAATAAACTGAAAATATACTTCTATCTCCTGACTTAATTATTAAGTTTAATTTAGGTCTTAATTTATTTGTCATGTTATTTATCATATATAATAAACATGTATATTAAAAGAATATAAGCGCCAACCTAGCTGGGACTGAAAGTATTTACCTACCCCAACAGTATAGAACAAAACCAGCCTGCACACACAGTCGGACCAGGCTCTATACTGTTGGCTTACTAACTCTAAATTTTCATTTTGATACCGTCAAAATTGATAATGGGTAGTTACAAAATAGAAGAAGCTGAACAAGTCTATTTAAGTAATACAGCAGATTGAAAAGTTGAATTGTCAGTATCAGTTTAAAGCTGTATAAGAAGTTATCTAGATATACTTACATTCATAAAGTCTATCATTACACTACTGAGGATACCATGGTAACGCTTCTCAATGCTCTGAGGTTTCGATACAGAAGGAAACTGTAATAAGAAAATTACATATACTCAAAATTTACATATACACAAAATTTGCAAGGAAAAATTTATATCATGAAAATTGTTAGAATTTTTACATAAAAGTTCAGGCATATCAATGATAGAGAAATACTAGACAAACATAGAAGGTAAGAATTCAATAGAGATAGACTGTAGAGATGATAGAAAGAGAACAAGGAAAGAAAGTTGGGAACTTACAACTGTGATTTCCTGTAAAAGACAGAAAGAAAAAACAAATAGTTGGATAGAATATAGAAAGAAAGAAAGAAAGAAAAAAAGAAAGAAAGAAAGAAAGAAAGAAAGAAAGAAAGAAAGAAAGAAAGAAAGAAAAAAAGAAAGAAAGAAAATTATGAGATTGAATTAATTAACAGTAAGAAATATACAAATCATATAGAAACATAAATGAACATGAAATTATAATAAAATTTGATTCAATAAGTATCTGCTCAGTCTAAAAACCTAGCAATTGTTTCATCATTTGTCAAAGTGTAAAGACATGTTTTAGATTAGATCTTTCATTATGTCTAATAAACTTAGCATTTTAATCAATTTTTCTGATGTTGGTCTTGATCGATGTGACAGTTCTTTTTATCTTAATGTCTACTGTACAAATGTATTGCATAAAACAGTAAGAATATTTCATAATAGAAAAGTGAGAATGCACTGCTACTGTGATGAAACCTTAAAGACTCTCATAAAAATACTTTAACAACAAAGTCCTTTAGTTTCTTTGATTCTAAATTATTCATATTTTTCATAGGTTTCTGCTTTTAAAAATCTAACAGCATATTATCACGAGAATTTTCCATTATAGATCAACATGTTTTCACAGGGTTTCTTTTTCCTTTGATGAATATTATCTTAATGACTCACTTTAAGCCCTGAGAATCTAGCATTATTATAGAAGAGGTTCATCTGATCTGGAGGAAGTTGTCCAACAATCTTCTGTATGACATAGAGTTGATCTATCTCACTTTCTCCAGGGAATAATGGCTGACCATCAGCAAGTTCACCTAATATACAACCAATTGACCAAATATCTACAGCTTTCCCATATGGTGCCCTAAAATTACATACAAGTTAATATATGTATAAGATAACATATGTAACAATTAATCAATGACTATGCATATTTTATCAACAAATATATCATACGCTTCACAATCTTCAATTCTTATAAGCAAAAGTGGCAAAATTACCATAGGGAAATAGTAATATAAGTTGGGAAGAATTAAGTTCATATCATATATTTACTAATAGATTATACATGTACTAAAAACAATGATAAACAATACTTTTATATACATGTACCAACCATGATTACTCACAGAAGAACGAGTAAGACTAAAATAAGGATTGGAGCACCACACTAAATACCGTATTCTGGTATATACCGGACAAGGCGGTTGAAATATTAAATGCTAAAATCTTGCCTTTTCACCCAACGGAATGAGCTTACAAAGGACTACTTCATCTTTTCAGAATGATTTATGTATGATAATGAATGAAAAATGTAAGAATCAGTGAAAAAAAAGGTATTTGTCGATTTTGTAATCATGATTTCCAGTACTGCTCCAGTCCTGTAATGAGTTAAATCCCAGAATAGCACCTTTTTATTTGCTAAGTGTAAGAAAACAATATCAACCAAGTAAAAAAAAAATTCAATTTTGGGGTTATAAGTAAAACTGACAATAAGTATATACCATATAGTAACTTATATATGAAATATCATCAACACCAACTGTCTACAATTCAGTACTGTAGATAAAATGTTTTGTTGTTTTACTACAAATGGCCATCTCGGAAATGATACAATTAAAAAATACATTTCTTGGAATTCAAACAGAACTAAAACCTTAAAACATATAGTAAATATTGATAATTGCTCTTCAGAATCTGTTTCAACATTCAAAACCATTTATGCATCATTTAAAATCAATAATAATAAACAATAAATAGCTTTGATATTTAACTATGATTTTGACACCTTTGATACAATGCTTGAAACAGAGTCTCCATTCATTATTAATAAGCAACATTCCCTATCCTTTACAACAAGACATTGTGTCTAATGTCACTTATTTGTAAAGAACTTCTGTATCAAGTTACTGTTATTGATTTCAATTAATGAAGTTACTGCCTGAAGACAAACTTTGTAGGTAAGATATGTACAGAATAGTCTTTTTTTACACATACATTGTGTCATCTAATTCATAGTCAAACATCTCATAGGGTTAAGTGTATTCACAGTACATAACATGCACCTTACATTATGAAGATTATAAAAAAAATACTTAATAGTTCCTTATATATTATGCATATAACCCAATTTATCACTTACAATGAAATAAAGCTAGCATACATTATGATATGGTGACATGTGGTGTTTCATTCATGTTATAGCTGAACAGGACTAGATTTGTGCTAATATTCATGAAAACTCTTGAAAGATGTTCCAATGAGTAAAAAGGTTGTTAAAAGTGTACAAACTTAGTACCCCAGTACTTTAACCTAGCCAAGGCACTACCTATCCAGAGATATTACCAATAACTTGTCAAAATATGCAGCTATTTCTTTTACCCAGTAAGGCAGTAAAATTTTGGTGATAAAACAATAGGATAATAACTTGTATGATTTTATGAATGTCTATTTTACTCCCCTAAAGGCGTGCTGCTATCTGCAATAAATATTGTATTCAACATACGAACAACAGTTATCATGCCTCCCTATATTGAAACAGTTTACAATCATACAAAACATACAAGCTGAAACTTTAACAATGTTAAATATAACAATGTAATATACATACCCAAGTAACAGCTCTGGAGATCTGTACCATCTAGTGGCTACATAGTCGGTATAAACCCCTGTTGATCCCCCATTTATAGTGCGAGCAAAACCAAAATCACATAGTTTTAATGTGTCTGTATTACTTATAAGTAAGTTTTCTGGCTTTATATCTGAAAATATATTTGATCAGTCTGGTACAGTCTTAAGAAATTTGACTCGTTCTTTCTGTGTGAGTGAATTATAAGCAAGAGGGCAAAGATGGCCCTGGATCGCTCACATGACCCATCGAAACTCATCCATGCAATTACTTAGACAAGCATCCTGACCAAGTTTGATGATGATTGAGGCAAAAATGTGACCACTAGAGTGTTAACGAACAAATGTGGATGGATGACAGATGATGTATGACGGACATTCAACGATCCTAAACGCTCACCCTGAGCTGGCTCAGGTGAGCTAAAAGTGATAAAAAAAACATACAGTAAAAACTGACTTATATTTTCATGCAATTAAAGGAATGTCTACTATCCATTTAAAAATTTTTAAATGATAATAATGATTTATAAATTCAAAGATCCTTTTGTGAAATACGAAATTTTTTTTTTAAAAAATGTGAAAATAAAAAAATTAAAAGAAAAACAACAAAGAACCAAATAAGAAAAGGAAAATGGAAGCATTGAACTAAAATAAAATGAAAATGTATTTCATCTTTACTTGTTTCTTGCCTTTAATTGAATGTATTAATGTGATATGAAAGCATGAATCAATTTTCGATGAAAATGCAGTGGATTTAATATATCAATTCATGAAAAGTTTTTTTTGTGATTTATTGATATTTAATGACAAATTGTACTAGAAAATTCCTCAGTGTTAAATACTGCATAATTAGCATAATATAATTTCACAGGTACATGAACTTTACATTGATACTAAAGGATAAATACATTAGCCTGATGAATTAATTAGCAAATCCTATTAACACACTGCTTCAATAAAGACATTCAAACACAATCTTGAACATTTTTCACACAGAAATGCTGTGAGACTAATAACAAATAACTCATTCTGTTCAAATTATAACTGAAGATTCTTAAACTGTAATGTGGGAAAAGACATGAAATGAAACTAAATGAAGTCCATTCCTATATGCTAATCTTCAATGAAACTTTAATCTGTAAAGTGTCTTTTCATAGTGATTTTTTCTTTATTTGCGTTTAATATCACATCAATGCTGGTCAGATTTTACAGTCATTTTCTTGTTTCATAAAAACCCAAGATACAAACTTGAACATGCACCAGGAGAAGAACCACTAACCTTTTAAAGCTGATACACTTCAGTTTTTTACATCTGGGATGGAAAAAAAACAACAGGGGAAAAGAAATGGGGTGCATGATCAAAATATAGATTTCTATAAATTGTAAGGTACTATAGATATGAAATTACCTCTATGAATAATGTCATTACTATGACACCAGTGTATGGCTTTACACAGTTGGTATGTATAACTGCGAACTTTCTCTGGAGCTACACCATTAGCCTGTTCCTCTAACAACTCTAACATATTCTGAAATTATAGTAGTACAATTTTCATATAACAACAAGTTTGCTTCAATATTTTTTTAATTTCAGCTTGATAAAGGAAGCTTATTTAAATTACTTTTGTGTCATTTGTTTTGGACTAACAAGTCCTTGGTATCTTGTGAGAAGACATGGCTATATTTAAACAAAGGCTCAAACCAAATCATGTAAGTGTTAGCCTGAGTAGCAGAATCAATGAGTCTGTAACATTATCAATTGTGACTTTTTGAACTCTGTATTTTTTAGCTCTATTTTACAATTGGGTCATTGCTTTCTCATGATAAAGCATATTGGTAAAATTTCCATTACTATTTATTCACAAAATTAATATTGTTTGTATACCCCCATAAACTGGATAATTAAACAAATGTTTGAAACTGCAAATTATTTAAGTATAACTGGTACAGACTGTCAAATAATATATACTCAAATATGTTCAGGAGACATGCCCCTAGATACAATTTCTAGCATTAAAAAGACTTAAGAGATGAACGTTTACTTTTTTGTGATTTTCGTGCAAGATGCCATTCTGTAAACTAGCCTGTTTGTTTGTCAATAACACAAAAGGACCTATAACTTGGACCGCAATGACCATTAAATGCACTGGGACATACTAATCAATTTATTTATCTGATCACATGTGTCTATCATGTTGTCACAGTATCAACATTGGTCATTAAAATATTTCCTCTTTCTATGTAGGGGTGTGGTAATAAAAATGTCACCATTCTATCAAAGACTTTCTATATGAAATACAAATCAATAGCTAATCAATTGATAAAGTAATAGTAAACTGTAAAACGCCAAGCTCTGCTGCATGATAACAGAAATTGAACTGTTTATACGGGCCTATATCTAATAAACAGACTCGTATTTCAAGTAAATTGCGTTTTAATGTTAAGGGGTAGATTAGACGATAATTATACATAATTGAATGGTGTTTTTAATGCCGGGGACCAAATTGCAATGGTTTGCCTGTTTACAGACAATTAATCTGACAGGTTTCTCCATTACTGTGATAAATAACCTGGAGCTGCAATTGTGAAGAATGAATAATTTTTTTGGATAAAAATAAAAAACTTCCCATAATGGTAGGTATAACAAATACCCCGGATTCACATAGCATTCTCTGTTATTTATATCACTTTAGAACAAAATGCTTCATTAATGCACATAATCTACCGAAAAAATAATTTCATGCCCAGTCTGTTCATTAGTAGTTTTAAAATGTCAAAGTAAGCAATTAAAGGAGCTGCACTGAGAACCAAAAACCTTAAAACATTATATTTGAAATTCTTACATAGATCAGCATGTGCACTTAAAACAGCAATAATATGTAGAAGAAAATGATGAAATATAATCATAATTGAATTGAAATCTTTTTGGGGGGTAATTCTTGATCAATTTGTGTTTAAAGTATTTTTCACTTCTGGGTCATTTTGCACCATTATTCTGGACAGACAGAGACAGCAAATGATATGAGATTTTGCACACAAGATATCTGTCCAATCTTTCGTCAAATAGTACACAAATCTCTAAAAATAAATATTGTCAAAAACTTAAGTTGAAAATTCAGACTTGAATGTAGATGAACAACGAAGAGTTGGATTATAATTGTTGGGGGCTGCATTCTGAGAAACTTAATGATCATTAAGCATGCTGATAGCTGAATTGACTTAACTATTTACAATTATATCCTTGAAATAACAAAACCATGTCTTATAATCATATTAAATATATTTTGAGAAAAAAGATATGGTCGAACAATAGAAACTAAGTTACTTATGATTAACTAACCCTTTCAACATATTCAAAGACAAGATAGAGTTTCCCTTTCCTTCTAAATGCCTCTCGCAGTTCCACAATATTTTCCTGCTTGAGGGAACGCAACATTTTAAGTTCCCGTAATGTGGTCCTACGTACATCATCATTTTCTGAAAGAAAAAAATAAACAAATATGTGATCAAATTCTTAAATTTTTAATATTAAAATTTGCAAAAACTAATCACAGGGAGTCAGACAGGATGACTGCTGTTTAATTGTATCAATGTAGTTTGTGTTTTTCTGTTTTTTATGCTTAACATATTTGTTTTGTCACATCTTGGCAGTCGACGCACAATAACTTCCTCGATAACCAATCAGTAATTACGAATTTTTCTGTTAGTGACTTTACTACAAATTCCATATAATTTCTGAATCAGTGGCAATAGACAAATGACCATTTGACTCAATGTCCTATATCAACTCTCTAGTAGAAATTATGCCTTACTAGAGAATCAAACAAGCTACCCCTGGACTTGTTCTAATTTGATGCTCTCCCTTTTGATCTATTTAGTGAGCAGACTAATTAACTATAAAAAAAAACATGTTTTAAAGGAAGTTTTGCATCCTTGTTCAATTCCCAAAGGACTATTTCTCATTTTTTATTACATGCTTAGAGTTTCAGTATTTTTTCTCACAAACCATACGATTGTTGGCCAAAAAATCAGCTAACTTTCTTTCAAAAATTTCAAGTATAAAAGCATATTTGCATCTAAAACACTATCATTATAGATACGTGACATTCAGTTTACTAGATATTGTAAGATAAACACACAGATTTGCTACAATTTTTACAAGCTGCGAAACTATTTATAAAGCACATAAACACTTTAAGGTTCTTGTATAATTTGTTATCTGCTACCTAATAAGGTCAGAATACAATCATTGTTGTATAAATGATTCTACCTGAGGTATATTGTATCTTCTTACAATCTTTTATATCCAATCAATACAGAAGTACAATTTTTGTACAGTCATTAAAGGAACTAGTATTGACAGTATTGTCAACATATATTTAGAAATATAATTGATAACTTTGTTATATTTTACAGTATAATCAATTACGACTGATTTTTTGTCAATGAATTACTATATAAAGCATTAAAGATAAGACATAAGTTTGAGTTATAAATCAGGATTAATTCTCTCTTGGTATCATGTCAAGGAAGAGCTGTTTGAAATGATAGAAAAACAATTTATTTTAATGGGATCAGTCTGATTATTTTAGGTATTTCTGCATGTATTTGGAGAGAGAGAGAAAAAAACTATGCCTACACCCGTAGTCCCTGAAGGGTACTACACAGATAACAAGTTTAAGTTTATCTTCACTTATCTCTCAATACTTCAGGATAAAAACAAGACATCTAATATAAATTATATGGAACACTATGACACTCTTTTCTTTCTCGATATTTATGTTTTTACATCAACAACAATAATTTATTTATTATAATATTGTTTCAGCAACACAAAATAAATTGTGTATCTATTCAGCATTTAATAATTAAGCATGCATTTGAACAGATCAAACTGATATATAGTAACAATTTTATCAAGGATTCTGTCAATTTAATGTAAACTATCAAATAGCATAAATATATAAAATGTTAATATCAGAAGTTTGGACATTTATCATTTACTTAAATAACATTTTATGTTCTATAGGAAACCTACAGTCATTTATAAACAAAAACTTCTCTTTAAGTAACTGTAATTCAACAGTATATAAACATGATTCTGTATGCCCTGTACAAGTATAAACATTCAATATTTCACCTTAAGCAGTTAAAGATTTGAAGTACCTACACAGTTTAACCTTAAAGTTCACTACTTAAAGACACAGGTAAATATTATTTTTGGTTAAATAGGGTATTACTGAATGGTTTAACAGTTTTATTTCGTGTAACAGCATGAGGTCTATAAACCACCACACTGAATAACAAATAGTCTAAAATACAAATTGTAAAAAAGGGCGGGTCATGATTAACTTTCTATAAAAAGAAATCTATAATGGACAATCATGCAGTAAAAAGTTCATTTACCTATAGTAGGGCTTGCAAATGTTTGAAATGATCTTAAAGACCAGTTATCATTTAGTGAACACATTTTCAAAGCCAGATCATTTAAAAAAGCTTTATATATACATTTGATACAATAATAGGGCATAAACTTTATTATAACTTAAATATAAGATTTCATAAATAATTCCCAACTTCAAAGGTAAATGTCTGTATAAATCATCAAATCTACAATAAACTTTTATTTGAAGTCCAAGCAGCGGGTTGTTCATAATGAGGCAGTATTTCACAAAGTTAATAAATCATTGGCATAGTAAATAGGAAATGCATGATGGCCGAACGATTATCCATGCTTAATTTTCCATAGTAAGAAAAAATTCAATAAAATGCTATTATTTATATGTTGGAAAGTGGCCCTGTAAACATTAGGGTCAATATTAAACGTTCAGATCGATATCATGTTTTACAATGATAAATAAAATGTTTTGGTTAAGTGTTTTATAAGTAGAGATGTGAGTTGACATATTTTAATAATCTTATCGCTAGGTATGTAAAAGTTACTAATTCAGTGACATATCAGGTCTTGTTTTAACCTAAATCTTATCATGTACTTCAACTTTTAAGATTGTGTGCATCTTGAAATCGCTGAAAGATAACTTGACAGGTCAAGTCAGAGTGTAACAGATTTTTTTTAACATATAGAGGATATTTGTTTGTTTTGCATGTAAGATTGAAATATAATTTCACTGAGTGAACACCAGATGCAATATTTTCACGAGTGGCGTAGCCACGAGTGAAAATATAATAGCTGGTGTTCACGAATGAAATATATTTCAATCTTATATGTAAAACAAATAAATTTTCTTTTATTTCATGCGTTTTAAGTGATTTTAAGTAATTTTTACTGATTTTGCCGCGTAACGTCGCGCATTCTCCTTCGTGACGTCATCACATCATGACGTCACATCAACAAGTTTGAAATATAGTTCTGTTAAATTTCTTTAATTTTGTTGCATTTTTAACATAATGTATGGTGACCTCAACTTTCTTTTCCGAAAGAAGCAAAATTTACGCATGACGGCATTTATTTTTGCCTGTTATTCCATTCAGTTTTGATTTTCTTTTCATCCGCATTCAGATATAGTCCGGCTACAGTGAAAATTATATTTTATAAATTTCACTAGTGGTTTATCAGAATATAATCATCTGATATATTACAATAAAACACTGGAAAGCATGAAATAAAATCATAATTATTCATATCATCCACAATAATTTCTAATAACTAACTGAATACTAGATCTTTATTTTCACTATAAGATGAAGTATGACACCTTAGGAAAAGAGGCAGTCATCAAGATATATCGGGCTTGTCAAAAGTTTTTTCCTTTTTCTATATTTAATATCAATATTAATTTTTATCCAGTGATCAAGATAATATAATGAGTAGTTTATCCATATAAATATATACATGAGAAATTCAATTTTTTTTGTCAAGGAATTGTTTTATTAAAAAATTACAAAACGATGATTTCCCCAGCACTTTGTTTTTAAACATATCAATTTAAGTCTATTTATTCAAGAATCTGGTAAAAAATGTTGAATAGTTACGTCTCACATTACCTGACTTTATTTATAAAGAAAGGTGAGGCATTATGACTACCTCTATGGTTACAATGAAAGCATTTCAAGACATTGTTCCTTCTCTTGTAATTGTATGAATAAATGTGGATACCCTAGAGAAATCAATCTCTAGTAAACACAGCTCTAACTCGGCAATTACCAGCTAATCTATGAATGTTTAATGAATCAACTTCTCACACAATATACATTGATTTACACACAATGCTGCACAATTTATACATAAAAAATGATAATACGAATCAAAACATGTATAAAACAGGCCAGTAGTACCGTCTACCATAACAGATAATTTTATGTTTTGAAGTCTTTTATATTGAGAAATCTTTTTTTAATAAATTGTAAAAATAATCTAGGTAATACACATGATATCTTATTTCAAAGTTTCAAATTCTCAACCTACATGACCCAATACCCGCAAGGGGAAAACTTGCATTAAAAAATACTTAAAAAAATAATAAAACAATTTCACATTTATTTCACAGGCTTTTGAATTTTTCAAGGACTCTTAGTATAAGAAAGATGGCGACAAAAATCTTAAATATTATATGGTATCCAATTTCATAAGACAATATTTCATGACTTTTCAAACATTAATGTCTTCTGTTATAGGAATGTATCTGATAGAAATTATTTCATTAGATTTACAAGTACTTGTTTTAACTTCATTTGACTCATATTATTAAAAAAAATAATTTTGTCATGTAAAAATATCTTTGCAAAATGACCTAACATACAAACAAACACATGTCTATCTTGTACCTACATAAAACTGGCTATTTCATTCATCTGCATCAGTAAGCATTATAAAAATTCCTTATATATAAAAAGACTCAATCAATGTTATTTATTTCATTATAGCATGTATTAGAGAAGGGAACTGTTGAGAGGTGATGCTGATACAATGACAGTAATAATGGACAGGAAGTGCAGGCATGTTGTATGCGGGAAGGTTTAATACAACAACATGATTACATTGTAAACACTTTATTACCCATTAATGAGTCACATATTACTTTACTTTCTTTCATATAAACATTTAATAGCAATTCCAAACCAGTGCAAAAACTGATACAATTTTCTGTGAATCAATAAACAGTGGAACTAAAGGTTGGTTTGTGGTAAACAGTTACAGTAATGTTCATAAAGTTGATTCCAAGTCAAGTAAAGTTATATCTATAATAAAGTATGGTTTACCATATGATAATACAAGCTCCGAAGAGCTTTTAAAGTCCACTATATTTAATGATTTAATCATCAAATTAAGATAAATTAACAATGAAATCTTCATGTATACCAAGAATCCTCTAGCAGTTAATATGAAAAATAGAAATTATAACATTACTATAATCTAGCTTAACACGCAAACTATTCAGTCATAATGAAACACAAAATCATTTAACAGATCAGACATGCAAATATGGCTATAATATGCACAATGCTTTGTTCTGAAATTCAAATAAAGACAAATTCATTTCTTGAATTTAGCAGGTTACATGTTCAAATTTGATTTAATTACAGCAAATGTTGGGTACTATAGTTAACTAAGAGATAACAAGTATGAGTAGAGATAACAAATATTGACACTTACCTTCTCCATCCTTAAATTTTTTTACAGCAACAAGTTCCCCTGTTTCCTGAAAATAGAAAAACAAAGGTATATTTAACAGATATACAGTTTATGCATTTTTCTCCTAGTTTTCATAATGGCAGTAAGCAAACAAACACAGATAAAACTTTTTATGCTTTGGAGAGAAAAAAAACAACAAAAAACAAGGTTCAAAAAATTATGTATTTTTTATATTGTGAAGCAGGTATAACTGTTGGTCACTATTTTTTTTTTCTAACAATGTTTTTGGTTGGGTTTTTTATGTTGTACCACAAGAATCTGATAGCTTTCTCACATGAAGTAACATGGAGACTTTTGCACAGCTCGAACCTAAAGCATTGAGAGGCAAGTGGTTTGAAGTCAACGAACTTAACCACTCAGTCACGGACGCCCCTTGGTCAACATTACTCAAGAGGGTAATAATTTTGTATTGGCTATCATTTAACAAAAGAAATGACAATAAATAAGAAATATTCACTACATGTTTAACCAATTTGATTTTTAATTAACCTCAACCTTTTGTGTAAAAGATGGTGGAAACGTCCCACAAGATGGTACTGGACCAATTTCCTAAAAGTTGATTTTTTTGTTATAAAAGGTTATACTGTAAAATTATTTCAAAGCCTTGTCAATATTTATTTATGAGAAAAAAATCCTAATTGCAATGGTAATTTCAGATAAATAGCAATGACGCTCAGTGTAAGGAATTTGATTGAAAGTTATCTATGTGATATTATATATACGGAAGTTTTATGAAAAATCGTTTAATAGCAAAGGGGTCGATTTTACAAAATGTAAATATTCAATTATCAATATATGCACTCGAACATTCCTATTGAATATCTATAAACAGTGTGATGGCACCCCTTCAAAACACTTAAACTTTAAATGACAACACTTTAAAAAAAAACTAAAAATAAATACCAAGTTTTACATACAAACATGCCCTTAACTATTAAGAACAATCAATGAAAATATTATAACTATAAAGTTGGTTTATTTTGTGGTAACAGATTGTGTTTATTTGCCCAATCATTCAATATATAAGTCTAATTCTTTAGCAAACCCATTAAAGTTTTAAAACCAATAAAAGTCTAAAGTTAATCTTTCAGTGAAATGTAGATCAGAATTAGGATAAATGAAATGCCACAGACTTATGTACAAACAGATTACTTTCATTCAATTATTATCAAAGCTGTCCCTCTCTATATTTTAAGGCTTTTATCAATGGGGAAAAAGGTATTTGTTTATAGACTTTATATAAGGACAATACATTAAAAGCCGTGGGTATATTAACTTTATATTGCATGATATATTATTATGCATCAAACTGAAAGAAGTGTGCATGTAAGAAATTCTGGTAACGGGAGATACTGGAAGAGTTGTGACAACAAAATAAAAATACATATACATGTAGCTTAAAGTTGAAGAAATAGTTTTTATTGAGCCTGTTTATGCAAAAATGCAAATTGCATCATCTCTCAATTACCCAGCTAGCACTGACTTAAAGAAGAGGTAAATCCTCAATACTAAAACATTTGAACTTTTGTAAAGAATATAGGAGAAAAATGAATATGTTGTTCATAATTTGAAAAAAGTTTGCACACATTATATAAGATAAATCAACTTAAAAAAAATAATTTCACTACATGTATAAAATGATTGGTTCAAAACTTATGTATATAAACAAATCATACCCTGCAGTATGTACTAGGTTTAAAATAAAATTCTTATCAGAGGAACATTGTATGTATTACATAACAATCTTAAAACTGAAATTTTTCAAAACAACAAAAATGGAAAAATATGTTTTTTTAATGTTTAAATTTATTGATTAGTTAAAATATATTGATTATATAATGTTCTAATTGATTCTTCCTTTTGCAGTATACTAGACAACTACATATGATCAAATATTATGATATTGCAATGTTAGTTTAACAAGCTTTATTCTTGTTTTCATTGGAAATCATTCCACAGCAAAGTTTAAACAATCTGATAAACATTCTATTATAGTATATTGATTCCTTGAGTAAACAAATTTCAGCCGTAAAAAATGAACAAAAGAATGAACGTGTGTTGACCATATTATAGCAGAAATTCAAAACCAAATCAAAACTAAACACTATGCTTCATTTGTCTCAGTGTTTGCCTTTACTGACAATTAGCTTTTCTCTTACAGAAAATTGTTACTTGACGTCATAACTGTGAAAGTCAATGAATTTCATATGTAATGACCTTTAGAATAATCCTTAATAATATACACTGAATGTAATTCTAATTAAGGCAAAACATTTATGTAACTTTTGTAGCCTATTATTATTTTCTCTACAGATCATCTGACATATTTTCAATTATATTTTCAAATATTTAAATCAATTATTCAATTGATTCGGGCATTAGATTATTAAATTTTTCATGCCTCAGTTTAATGGTAAGTATTATGTAAATCTTTTTCATCCGATATATTTAATAATATCCATATCAAAATTCCTACTCAAATAATTTATATCATGCAATATTAGAATAAAACTTTAATCAAATAATAAAAAGGAAATATTTTAGATAAGATTTTCTATCAAATGAACAGTTTTTGAACATTATTGAGGATTTTTTACACTCCAATTTCACTTGAAAAGCTGAGATTTAATATGAATTTCTTTCTTTTATTGTATTTACTCTTGTTTCACCATAAATACTAGTATGTCATGGAAGATTTTACACAATATGGAATAAACAGATTTATTTTACTCTATCTACCATCTTTATTTGGTAAATCGTTTTATCTTATTGAATACTTGTACCTTTTGTTATAAAGCCCCAGTATTTATCAGCATTGAAGATTGTATAGGTTATCTATATTGAACAGTTGAAATAGATATTCTCAATATAGTATGCATTCCTATAGGCATAGTTTCTATACTAGGTCAAAACATTTAAATCTGTACATCACAATATTAGAAATTGTACCATATTCAATTTAATTCAAAGAATTTTATTGCTGTTACATGTATTTCTCTTTCAATATTACTTGGACAAAATATTTGACCAAATTAAAAGAAATGTAAACTTAAGTTTTCTCAATTACAACTATCAAATTACAGGATGATTATAATTGATTACAAAATTTTAACTTTCTTAATATATTTTTAACAGACATAATCTAAATGAAGTGTTCCACTGTCTGATTGCAAGCACATATTGTTACACTTTTCAAACTTAAAGATGAACTTACCTTATGTTTGCATTTCAATACCACACCATAGGCTCCTGAAAGAAAACAACAGAAAATGCTGTATACACATACAAGATACATTACAAGATGAATACAATAATTGTTTCTAATACAAGATATAAAAGTCTTACACATTTATGTGAACAAATAGGTGTAAAAATAATTATGCCTCAGGGGGTAAACAGATAAGAGTTGAAACAAGAACCTCATTCTGACTTCTAAATAATAAATGACCTTGACCTATAACTTTGTTTTCAAATTCTATTCTAGGATGTCATCATCATATCTTTGTTGCTTATCAACATATTTGGGAGAGAACCCATATGTTTAGAAGCACATATTGTTACACTATTCATACATATTGTCATATTTTAAAGATGAACCTACCTTATGTTTGCATTTCAATACCACACCATAGGCTCCTGTAAGAAAACAACAGAAAATGTTGTATACACAAACAAGATTACATTACAAGATGAATACAATTATTGTTTCTATACAAGATTGTTCATTATAATGCTAATTTTAAGTGTATCTATATATTAAAGTCTTACACATTTATGTAAACATGAATCAGGTGAAATAATATTATATATCACAATGATGTTACATGTCAGGTTTTTTTTGCTCTCAACAAGAAAATATGAATTTTTTCTTGACAAGAATATTGGTACTGTGAAATCATTTGTATTCGTGGGCATGAAATTTCGTGGTTTTATCAAAACAGGCATTTTCGTGGGTTCTTAAATTCGTGGATTTTCATTTTCTTGTAAAAAAAAAATAAGTAATGGAAAGTAATCTTTCACTTAATCACTGCGCTGTTTTACTTACCCCGTGTATATAACACAGCTCTTGTCAATAAATTTAATCCTGGCCTCTGGCAGTAACACAATTACTGCCGATAATTGACTGCAATTAACACCTTTGTGTGACATGATATGCAGCTCCATTATATGCCCCTATAATTCGCCAATGTAACATCGCATAAATTATACGACATCTGCCAATTTTTTAACCAGCCAGTGAAAAAGTTAACACCCCGAATTAGTCCAAAACTACACACTACATCACATCGACTGTGTAAATTTATATGCATATAAATTAATACCAGTAAATGGCTCACTACAGTTACATACATGTATGTGTGCATCTAGTGTAAAGACGACGGCTTCTTTGATATTTTCGGAATAGCAGTCACACAAATACATATTGAAAAAAATATATTTAAATGGATCATATAAACACTAGTCGTTAAAAGTTTTATCGGGGATAATTAATGCACTTGGTTCCCATATTTACTCGATTATGTCACGTATTCTGGCTAACACAATCAAGTAGCCTACAACGATCAAGTAGTCCCCTGATGTTTACATGCGACGAACATTTGTGACAGCAAACTGAAGACATACAATCGATTTTTCTTTCAAGTTTCTTAAATATTGCAAAATTAAACTATTTATGGATTTAATTTGTCACTGACCTGATTATAATATACATTCATACCACAAATATCGGCCGGAAAAGCGCCGACGCATGTTGTGATATATGGAACAGAGACATGGTAAGAAGCGTTTGTTGGGATAAAATTTCGTCGGGTCTTAAATTCGTGGATTGACCTATCCACGAAAACCACGAATTTTTTTTGCTCTCAACAAGAAAATATGAATTTTTTCTTGACAAGAATATTGGTAATGTGGTAATAAGGAAGTCTTACAATCAGCAAAGTTAGAAAATCTATTTTAAATCTCAGTGACCTTAACCTACATCTAATGAAATGAGACCCTGCCAAAGGACTTAGTTCCATTGACTGTATCACATCAAATATCTAAGATATCAGTAAGTGTATGAGTGTGATATATGAGAAACAACAGTAGGTCACTGAGACTGAAGGTTGGAAGGATCTGGAAATGCTACGGTAATTAAGAATTTTAGTGGCATTATACAGCAGTGATTATGTTATACTTCTATATCCCAAATTTACCCTTAAGCAGTCAGTCATTAAAGTATAGTAACATAAATGCGAGACAACCTTGTGCTTGTAGTTTGAGAAAAGTCAATATCAACATTGAGATATAAGATCTTCTCATAAATATTGTATCACATGAAAAAAGATTAAGTGTCTATGTCTATAAGTTCCAAATACTTTCTTTGTTTGCAACAATGTTGCTGGGTATATACAAGAAAACAAATGCATAATTATGATGTCAATGTCCTCAAGCTTTTTTATATCAGTAATACAGTATCATTTGAAGACACTGTCACATTGTTTTAAGTCAATACTGAACATATCTCAACAGAGTGTGAATTTTTCATAAAGTGAAATATGTTTCTTACTCATAAAGAAAATTTCTTTTTAAATTTCATCTTTAAGATTTGATCAACCAGTGAGAGATATAACTCATATCTCATTAAGTAAACCAGTTGAGTAGGTCATAAATCAACATAAAGTGAATGATTTTATTGACTCTAAAGAACATTTAATATCTGCATTTTCACATCTGTTCTTACAAAAAATTTTTACTAAGAAACAGTCAGTCAAATAAGAAATCATTTAAAAACAAACAAACAAATAATTAAAAAAAAATCCTAAAGGTATAAGTAGTACTGTAGAATTCTTGGTAATGCTATAAGTTTATTTATTTTTTTTTTCAATCTGTTTATCTACATAAAAAGTTACAAGTTTATAATTGCTATAATTGACAATACATAGATTGATCTTACCTTCGCCCACGACCCCTACTATTTCGTACTTGTTCATCACATTACACCCCACACAGGCTAAACTGCAACTTTCCTGAAAGATTATAACAGAAGAAACATGCTCAATTAAATGGATGTTCTTCTACCAAAATTATTGTTTACAAGAAATTGCCTACATATTTACAAGCACTAATTACCTAAATACATAAAATTCATGTATTTACTACAGACAGTTTGTCCAAAATTCTTTAAATTTACTTTTTTTGTTAGATTCTATTGTCTAAAATAATTAATTTCTGTTCAAAACACTTCCTGCCAAAAGCACAATGTCATGCTTGTGTTATTATTTCAGTATTAAGCCTGATTTTATCATGTTTGTGTCATGCAAAACCCAATAAAACTTCACATTTTCTACATCAGAACTATATTATTCCTCACAAGATATTGTTAACGTCTTCAGTGTCTTCAATAAAAAGTGGATGGCAATAACAGTGGTACTAATCAAAATCTTGATTTAAAAAAGTACAATTCCAAAATATTATACACAATTTCTCAATGTATCAGTAAAATTAAAATAATTTTGAGCAGAAGTACAAGATGATAAACATTCATTAAATAAAATTTTTTGGGTATATTTATTAAAAAATGTCAAGATAAAAAATTTTCACATCACTTCAATGTTAGATGCAAATGCTCAATATTTCTGTAACAAGTTGGACATTTGAATATCTCTAGCAAACATTTCATGTATATTCATAAATGTTTATACATTTAACATGTTTAAGCTGGACCTTTTGTTTCTTTAACTTATGAACCCCAAGTTCAACAAATTGAAGTATTTGTACAAGATAAACATAAATGGAATCAACATTTGAAGATAAAGTTTTGTGTGCATTATTTGATAAGAATATGTTTGAAAGAAACATTAATCTGACAGAAAGCTGTTACCATACTCTAAATACACACTTGAATCTTACAGAAAATTAAGCAACAAAGTAAAATTCATTCTAAATTTGAAGAGACAACACTTTAAAACTGATTGATTACTTTTATTACTGTCAGATATAAGCACAAGAGTTCTGTATAACAATAAATGTCTGCTTCTAATATACAGACTGAAATTCACTAAATGTGAGTCGCAACAGTTTTATAACAGAGTTAAACCAACTTAAATGTACAGAATGTTTATCCTAATCTTCTTAATAGGCAAGTCAGGGGTTGAACTTTGGCACTACCTTTTTCTATAGTATTGAAATACATGCATGTTACCATGTTTAAATACTGGTGTATAATTGTATTAACCAATTTTTAGAAACAAATTTACAATAAATATTTATAACAACTTTAATAGCAAATTTTAATAGGCATATTTTGTAAATTTTTGTTGCAGCAGTGTTGAAATTCCATACAGTCTATCATCTGATGTACACTCTTTACAACATATGATATTTTCTGCTGATTGATGAAGTGGGAAAATCTCATTATAAGGTTGTAGGGCACATTAGTATACTAGAGAACAATACAAACTTTAGTATGATTTCTGTGCTTTGAAATAATACTAAGAAAATTTAAACACAATTTAAACAACTAATGAGAAAGATCTCAAAATCATTCAAAAAATAATGTCACAAAAGAAGCTAAAATAAGATCAATTTTTTTTACTTTTTGTGGCACTAGCACTTAAGCCATGAAAAACTGATAATTTGTGGATTTCCTATTCCTTGAATAAAGTAATAAGCTTTACACAATGACAATACCTTTCTTTGCAAAAAAATATGTATAAAAATCAGGCAGCAAAGCAGTTTAAACAAAACATTATCAATAATATAAATATTAAATGTCAAATCTCAGTACAATACTATAACATGTGTATTATAAGACATGTTCCCAATATTGTTTACAATACCTTCAACTTTAATACAATGTTCACTTTCTTATCTAGAGTTTAAAATAAATCATTTTATCAACAATCGAACAAACACGTTATAAAACTGGGCCATAGTAAGCATGTGCATGTGCATGAAACTGATTAGCAACAATGCTGTAAGGTGTTATATAAGAGAAAATTTAATTTTCAGTCTGAAACTTAAGTCAAACAAGGTAAAAAACATTTCTGCATAAAATGCTGGGTTACTTAACAATTAATTAAGGTCCTTTACAACGACAAGGCAATGTAAGTTTAAATACAAGAGAAGCAGACTTGTCCCATATCACGTAGTATATTCTGGTTATGATTTTTTAAAATTAATTTATATCATGTGCTCAACAATCATCATTTATAGTCTTATTTTTGTAAATTCATTTATACAATTCAGTCTATGCTGATATTGTAAAATCATCTGATCACCAACACTTTCACGGACACTAAATAACTAGAAAATCCTAGTTAATATTTTCTTTCAGGTACTACATGCTTAATTTCTATCTTAAAACCACTAGTACACCAGTAGAATGCTTTCTGAATTGTATTTACATATGTATATGCAAATTCTACCTACAAATCTACTACTGTATGTCCTCCTAACTGATGATCAACTGGAGAGACATCATACAAGACTACCAATGAATTTTCTTTGACACTGTTGATATCTAATCACAATGGTACAACCAGTTATCATGCAGGACTCTCTCTCCTACTCTCTCTCTCTCCCTGTCTCGTTCTCTCTCTCTGTTAATGGAGAACAGTTCAAAGTCTTGAACCTTTAGATGGAAGAAATTTCACACTTAGTTTTTTCTTGTAAGGGAAATTTCAGGTACTTTTGCAACACATACAAAGATACATACAATAAATGTATTTAAAAAACATATAAAATAGTTTTAGTCTAGTGCCTTCATTGAACAGGTTAACTACATTGACAGTCAGTATACAGACAGGTTAATTAATCCTTATAATAATAATTAATAATAACAAGATATGTTTGTAAAACATGTATGCCCCCTATCGGCAGCCAATTTGTCATGTGATCAGGTTATTATGCATGACTTCTAAGTTCTGACCCAGTGAAAAAGCAGTTAATAAGGGTTATCTAGTATCTACTGGTAATGACTAGTCACAAGGTAATAATTATTGTGACCCCATAGGTTGTGTGCAGCAATTAAAGTTATTAAAAATCTTACCAAATAATATATACATAAATTTTATGAATCACATAGGCCTCATTAATGACAGCCAAGTTGTTATATTACATAAGACCTTCAAATGTGTATACCAAAAGCACATAAAAATATCAACCAAGGCAACTTTAGTTGTTGAGTTATTGGTCAGAAACGGTCATTAAGTCCAAGGTCACTATGACATTGACCCCTTGACCCAAAAATCAATAGGGGTCATCTACTGGTCATGACCAATCATCATACCAAGTTTGAAGTTCCTAGGCCTAAGGGTTCTTTAGTTATTGATCGGAAACCGTTTTTACCTACAAGGTCAATGTGACCTTGACCTTTGACCACTTGACCCCAAAATCAATAGGGGTCATCTGATGGTCATGACCAATCACCATATCAAGACTTTGAAGTTCCTAGGCATAAGCGTTCTTTAGTTATTGATCGGAAACTGTTTTCACCTACAAGGTCAATGTGACCTTGACCTTTGACCCCTTGACCCCAAAATCAATAGGGGTCATTTACTGGTCATGACCAATCACCATACCAAGTTTGAAGTTTCTAGGCCTAAGGGTTCTTTAGTTATCACTCGGAAACCATTTGGTCTACGGACCGACAAGTGCAAAGCAATATACCCCCTCTTCTTCGAAGTGGGGGCATAATTATATGTTTACAACTGCAATTGGAATTTTTCTTTGAAAAGGGGACAACAATGCTTTTTGGCTAACTTAAGGGAATGAATATAGGTATTAATAGTAATAAAAGGATTATCAACAGAAATGTTGTGAAATACCTTAGTAAATTTTAGAAGAACTAAAAAATCTCTCTGATTTTTCCAGTAAAAATTTATCAAAATTGCAAGTCCAAAACATAAACATGTAAATGGTATCCCTAATAAACACATAGCAAAACATAAAATACAAAAATGTCCTATAATTTGCTTTAAAGCTTAAGTTATCAAAGGTTTAACAATATGTTTGTCCATTTGCAATTACAAATGTACAAACACCTAAAATAAACATCTCGAACCGTTTATTAATGGATTTCAAATAAAATTATAAGTCTATGATGTCTGTAACATAAGGTGTTTACAGACTCAGGTACCAGTCTTTTTTTAACAAACTATATTTGTGCACACTGCCAGTGTATTAGTGAAAAATCATCAAAAAAATTGTTTTCTTCTTTTTGGGAAATCCAATTCAAATGCTTGCAACCATATAATTGCTGTATATGTGGTACATCCAAATAAAAGTGAATCAATAGGAATTTAACAAGATTTTAAACATTACTTTCAGATATGGAAATTGACAATCTGACTAAAGTTCAGATCAACTTATTTCTTACATGTAGATCTGATTACCACCATATATGTTTTACCTGCAAAGCCTATAAACGGGGAAGTCAGATAAAAAAGATGTGTTCATTTTTATTTTTCAATTTTTCCTTTTAAAGGTGTCATTTAAAGTATTTCATGCACCTTTCTGTTAATCTGGTTCCCTTTCCTGTTATGGTTCCAATCTTTTTAGAGGTAGGGTACCAGTCTATACAATCATTTCCAATGAGAACACCTCAGGTATTATTCTTAAACCTAATAGTTGCAATGGTACTGTTATCAGAATACCCCACCGTTTATCACTGAGTTACATAAAAAATGGTGACACCCAACTAGAAATGATACTGATGATTTCACTGAAAGGTATAGAATTTTATACATTGTTTCATTGTCTTTTTATTTTATTTCCTTTTATAGCTGCGCAAGCCAAAGCCCTTTGACTTCCCTGTTACTAAGTAAATCATATATATTCTAAAGATATTTTGAGGGAACTGAAAGATGATTTCTGATTTTGACCGTTTAAATTGACTCAAACCGAACTTCCAGAAAACCTAAAAAAAGCTAAATCCGACAGACCGTCTGAGTTTTTCAGGGGCAAGGGAGGACAAATTCCTCAGTTGTTGCTAGCAAGATTACTCTTTCTTGAAAATAGTGTTAGGTAAAATACCGTAAAAATTATTTACATTGGCTGATATTGTGAAATAAACAGATGGCTGATAGGTGTACAATTGGCATATACAGTACACAGTTATTTAAACATGGAGTGCTTGAAATATTATGATGGCGCAGTGTATGGAAAAAAGAAAATTAACACCGTCAGAAAGAAGTGAAAATAAAATAAAAAGAGTATAAAAAACCAGGCCAGATAGAACTTTTAACATACAAGAGCTGTCGGTAGGACAGCACGCTCGACTATTCTAAGTGCTTGATAGTAAAAGAGCCTTGATAATGTTAAATTTTTTAAGTTCACAAAAGGGCTAATTTTTTTTTATAAATTCATGTTATAGGCCTTAGAGAGAGTCTAATTATACATAACTGGCTTGACTATTCGGAAGGTAATGTCACAAGGGTGTTTTATTGAGTATTATAATACTAATTACCTATGAATATATAAATTTGACAGAAAAGGTACAAATTTTACAATTTTGCAATCTGATGTACCTTACTATAAATAAGTATTGTAAGTTTCAATTGAATATCTCAAGCAATAATTGAGATATTTGACTTTACAAAAAACTTTAACCAAAATTTCTAAGTTAAAAAGGGGCATAATTCTGTCAATATTGTAGGCAGAGTTATCCAACTTGTCAATCTGATGTACCTTGTTACTATAAATAAGTATTGTAAGTTTCAATTGAATATCTCAAGCAATAATTGAGATATTTGACTTTACAAAAAACTTTAACCAAAATTTCTAAGTTAAAAAGGGGCATAATTCTGTCAATATTGTAGGCAGAGTTATCCAACTTGTCAATCTGATGAACCTTGTTACTATAAATAAGTATTGTAAGTTTCAATTGAATATCTCAAGTAATTATTGAGATATTTGACTTTGCAAAAAACTTTAACCAACGCCGACGTGGACGCTGACGCCGACGCCGGGGCGACTACAATAGCTCTCATATTCTTCGAATAGTCGAGCTAAAAATGGAAGAAAGGGCGATAATGGCTGATGTTATGACAATGTAAAGAACAAAATGCCCTGTTCCGCCTAAGTTTCTATGACAGTGCCAGTAAAAATGTTGAAAAACACGAAAAAAATAATAAATAATTAACACATTTATTACTGGATGTACAAATTTGCGTATTACAACTGTCAATGATCATGAAATATATCAAGTATTCATGAAAAAGAATACATATCTGTCTGTGCAAGACAGAAAACGATCAAGAAAATTCTGTCAACTGATGGGAAGACATTACGAAAATTAAAGTCCGAGCACTGAAAGATTAAAATGCAGATCCAAATCAGGATGACGAATGTTTAGACTTTCAGGATGTACTGTTAAACTTAAATAAGGGATTGAGTTTAATTTGAAGGTTATTAAAATTAAGAGAAAATGTTGTTTACTACATTGCTTGTTTTCAAATTGCTGTACATGTGTCGAGCTGACAGATTTTTTTGTTGGTCCGACAAAATTCAGGGATTTGTCAGACCGAATGTCAGACTCTTTTTTCAAACTTTCGGCAAGACTGTCAAACTAGCAATAGTGTTTCCAATAAACTCTCTGTACATAAAAATGACAGTTAAGATTAGGTGGAATGGTTTGACAGTAGGTAAAAACAGTTTGTTACATGGGTCAAACCATTCACAATTAATTAGGCTAGCCAAGAAGTACCACTAAGCAACCTTACTTTGATAGCGAGCTCGACAAGCTGGCCCAAAGGGCCTGCTCGCAAAGCGAGCCTTACGGTAACGCGAGTACCTGCTAAGTGATGGTTTTGAAAACTTTCGTCTGAAGTACCGAATTGGACACATCGCAACCTTTCGAATTTAAGGATAACGATAAAAACTGAGGAATTCTGACTGAAAACGGATGTGTAGACTGGTCACCCGCGCACGTCTATGGGAACCATAATTGGACAGGGAATCAGAATAACGGAAGCTGTGTATAAAATATCGAATGACAGTTTTAAAACGGAAAATGTAAAATGAAAATTGAAGGCGCCATTTTGTTTGAAAAATCTGATAAATAAAAACAATTTTTTGTCGAATTTTGTTGTGAAAACTATCTAGAATGAAAGAAAATGGTCTAACTAAGAAAATGAATCCGAACACCAATATCTTTTATTCAGTCGTTAACGCTGTACAGATGTTTAAAGTATTGTTAACGTGACGTCACAATGTAGCTCCAAACAGCACGTGCAAAACAAACAAATCAAGTACGCTATTTTAATGTCGCAAACGTTTTAAGTTTTACATCTATTTCACTTTTAATAATCTTTATTTCGCTTGAAAAATTATAGAGTGAAATAAAATAAACAAAGTTTTATCAACGTTTTCAAAACTCGGTATTCATTTAACGACAGGGGCGGAGCCATATTTAACACAGTACGTGTAACGTCACACGCACTCGTCACTGCATTTGAAATAAGGAAGTGGCTAGCCGTACGGGCCCGTACGGCTAGCCAAAAGTTCTAGCCGTACGTGAGTCACGTACGACTAGCCAGTACACACTGTATTGGCTAGCCGTACGGCACTTTTCAAAATTATATGGTAGTCGAAAATGCTTATGTTATTTTATGACTTTAAGCGAGGATTTGTACAAGACCCAGCAATTGTCTTCGTATGTTTACTTTTTAGAGATTAATGGCTACAGTAAAGAAAGTATACGAATACAGTATATATTTTTGTCATCTCAAGACGTCGAGAAAAATTGAATTTGGTTGCAGTTAAATAACATCAATTGAAATAGTTTACAAAACGTTGATATTTTTTTTTGTTTCATTTAGTTTAATTTTCAAATAAAAAAAAAAAACGCCGAAAATAATTGTTGTTGGGCTCTGATAATTGCGTCAATTACCGACGGTATAGAAGTTTGTCCATCATTATGGAAAGTTTGCCTTAATTAAGGCTTATTAATTGATTGTGCTTTTATGTTCGATATTTAAAATTATCTATACTGTATTTGAAAATTATTAAATTATTTTTGCTTTTCACCGTTTTTTTTTCAGTATTCTTTTTATTTATTTACTTATTTATTTATTTAATTATTTATTCCCCTCCGATCATTATTTATTCGATCCATGTGCTTAATTAACAAAAATGATTTAACAATTCATCTTTCATACAAATAAAACAACAAATCATAAGCATGAAAATCAAGGACGTTATAACTTATAACATACAACTTTGACACTTTTATCAAAATAGATTATACAACGCCTGTTCGTATTCATTTTTTTACAAAATGGCGGAGCATCTTTATTAAAGTGAACACACTAGAACAAATCGGAGACACAAAATAACATATGCATTTTCGACTTCCATATATTTTTGAAAATTGCCATACGGCTAGCCAATACAGTGAGTCCTGGCTAGTCGTACGTGGCTCACATACGGCTAGAACTTTTGGCTAGCCGTACGGGCCCGTATGGCTAGCCACTTCCTTGAAATAAAAATGAGCGATTATTTCATACTATTTCACGTTAAAAGTACATCGAGCTCGCTTTGAGGCTTTGCCTTTTTCATATTAGACAACAAAACTACCACTACAGTATTGACAATAAATTTTCTGTGCATAAAATTATAATGACAGTTCCTTTAAGGTCACATTAAGAGTCAAATACCTTACCTAATGGCTATATTGGAATATATTTTATAACCGTGACAGAAAAACAAGTCCTCTACTTTACACTTCAAGTCAATATATTCCCTTTCTTCAATATTATTCGAATTTTCTGACACACATTCTTTTTTTTTCCACCAAAACAGCTTTACAAAAAAGCTACCAGTGTGTAAAGATGTTGTTTACAAACTACTCTGTTGACCGATATAATTTTATCAAACTATCCAATCCAAGAGTTATTACATTTTGTAATTTTTTACTTTTACTAACCAGAAAATAAGATACCTTATTGCAAAGAACCAAATTTATTTTAAGTATTTTCCTCTACATTAATTTTTTTATAAAGATTTTCCGACAAAGTAAGTAAACTTTCTATGCAATTTGATCTCCTACGACGCCATCGGGAATTTCCTTGCCAACATACCCACAACGCACTACGATTTAAACCTTTTTTACCTTCAAACGAAGAGCAACAAGGAAAAAACCTGTCGATACGGTATTGTATCCGTACACACTGAGAAAACTGCGGATTCGTTGATTTGCATTATTTATTGTAAACAGTCACATTTGAAAATAAAAATTCGAAGTACATATGTTTTCAAAAATGTTAAAATAGATAAATAAATATCATGGACACCGTTTAATCTGTTGAAAACTGGAAAGTAGTAATATCATAAGGAACCCTCAATGTGCCATTCCATAATTATCGCCCAGTTAAGGCACATGAAAAAAGAAAACTTATGGCGCAATGGAAGTGCATGCAGTCAGCTCTGATTTTAATCTCAAGAATGTGTTAGCGCTGACTACATTCTAAGGAATAATCCACGGGTAGACGGGACGTGGGGAAAAATATAAATGTCCTTTGATAATTGTACAAAATAATAGACTTAAATTGTGATAATGCTTTGATTGCCTGTTGTATGGCTGTACGTGTTGATTAATATCTAATGATAAACATTATTGGCTATTGTGTAAAACAGAACTTATCGTTTAGTTGTGCTCCTTTCTCTAGGGATTGGGCACTTTTTAAAAAATTACATAATGATGGTCAAAGACCCTGAATATTTTGAATTATCGTGAGCTGCAATCCTGCGTTTATTAACATGGTTCAATTTTATCAATATCTTTCATGTGATGAGGGTTCCACGCAATAGCTGAACATCTTAAAAAAGGTGTAACTAAAGATTTCTGCATTGCAGATAATTTTCTTGCTTTGAGGCATCGAATATTTTTGTTATGCATATGGTCATTGGGTTGTTTCTTTTATGATCATGTATGTGTTTTATTAATTTCGTCTAATTTAACTATGACAATTGTTAAAATTTCACTTGGCAGTAATGTATTTTATTTACGCTATCTCGTCATATAGAAACATATTGGGACTAAGAGTAGGATTTGGCGCGCCTGAATCCGTCTTAAACTCCGCAGGTGTGTAATTACTACTGACCGTACCAAGGAGTACTCCTCTATATTCCTACACATATTTCACATGTATACCTCTTGTGTATTGTTGCATGTTTGGTGTGTTCATATCCTGTATTGTTAAATTGTAGTTAGCGGTAAGTATTTCCTCTAAATTCCCCTATCATGTCCCATTGTGTGCTCTCCCCACTACCGTTTCCTTACACCTCAATCTTGTCCTGGTAGTTCTTATCAATTCACTTATTGTATTCCCTTCTATGTCGCTCTTATGTCCTCTTTCCTTTTTGGTTCGGTGCCTTCTGGGTGCGCTGCTGGTGTGACTGCATGGGATGTATCAGGGCAGCGTTCTGTTAACATCGCCTTGCATTGTTGATCTTCGTTCATTGTTATCTTTTTTTATTGAAAATATGATAAACATGATCAACAAGGAAAGGCGGCGTTCAATGAACGCAGCCCCAAATAAATAGAGAAAAACGGAATCCCTAAAGAATGCACAAAAAGAAAAAAATGAAAATGTTGCAGGCTTCGTTTGATTGAGTCTGTTCATGGACGGTACTGGAAAGTGCAAGTTACCGCCCCGCCCCTTAGCACCGGCTTAATGTCCATGTAAACATGAAAATGGTGAATTATTGAATTTAGAAATATCTGTAGATGTGTTCATACGGCGTTTATCATGGAACCTTCAAAACTCTGCAACACTGAATAATATCTGCAGTTTATGTAGGAAAATATTTAATGGTATAATTATTATGAAAATATTAAAGGACTGGTTAAATTGACAGCGGTGAAATGTATTGTATTGAATTTTGTCCTAGCACTTAATTATGCAATATTCAGTATAGCTACATGCACGTTGTTGGAAAGACTATTACATGTGTTCCACCAAGGTCTTGATACAGCGGTCCAGAAAAACAACATACATTGAAGCCTGAGTGCTTTGTCCTGTTTGATGTTCTGCTGGGCTTCTTTGTTTGGGGTTGCATTCGTTGAATGCCGCCCTTCCTTGTTGATCTTGTTATTCATATTTTGAAATAATTTCTCTGAATTAATCTGTGAGAGTTGATGATAATGTTAAAAATCAGGAAACACCTTACCAAATAAAGTAACTGATTGAAATGATATGAAATAATCAAAAGTTGATATACCATGTATGCTTTTAAATCCTGTAATTAACATATCGCTGAAGATTTACGTATGAACATATTTAAATTTGTTTTATAATGATGATTACCGTTATCCATCATGCTACATGCAGTATTAATTCAATTAACAGAAAAGTGAACAAGATATTGTCATGTACAGCCTTGAGATGATATACAGTACTAGACGCCCACAACAATTGAAATTTAAGAAACACGAGTCCTGCATGCTATACGATTTTGGCCTATATAATACCTTACTTTATGAAAAAAAAACATACACTCACTTTTAAAGTTTTCCCGGAGTGCACCTCCGGTAAACTAAAGTCGGCTCCAAATATTCCACCAAAAATAAAAATGTCAAAATGTTGATTTAGGGTCTCTGTCCCTTATATAATCATAAGTTTTAATTTTATTTATTTTAAAGGTGTCATCAAAAATTCGTTAAAATAGGTATGTTTATCATTTCTGGATAAAGTTTAGAATATAAAATCATTTGAAAAAAAAAGGCTTCACAACCTATGATTCCCTTTCCGCCCATTGTTTTCTCGTTTAGGGCACACGCATTCTATTTACTTGGGGACCATATGCCGCTTTTCATGGAATTGCATTAACGTGTCGAATTGAAGGTTCCGTGATAGCCGCAATTAATATGATTATATCTGCGGATGTTTCAAAATTCCAAATTTTAGTTGATGTTAACCCATTACGTCATATACACGCATTTTAACGCCTTTTTCACCCCCCCCTTTTTGTTGACTCAAATGATGAAAAAATACTGATTTAGGCCCCAAACACTTGTTTTTGTTTGAGAAATGTTGTTAAAAAAAGTGACCTCTTTTTCGGCGCGGCCCCCAAACAAAAGATACATCAGGGGGTTGCCAGAAGGGGGATGTGCCCCCTTCTGTTTGGGGGGGGGGGTTGAAGGGGGGGCGGAGTCCCCCTCATCGCCAAGAAAATTTTGGACTTGTGAGAGGCTGTAAATGACCCCAGATTGATTATAAGGTAACGTGTAACCAACGCTGAAAAGCATTTGACTCTATCTCAATCCATTGAGAAGTTGCAGCACTTTGAAATAAATTTTGATGGAAAAAATCAACGCAAAATAGTGATTTTTGGCAATTTTGAGATGTCCCCTCGTTGCCATGGTTACAGAAAATTTAAGCCTGAGCATGTTGTTGCAAGGGCAATGGTCCAGTCAACATTTGTGCCAAGTTTGATTAGTGTTGAAGCAGTTTTTATAGTATTATAGCAATTTGAACTTGTAACGGCCAGACTTTTCAATGAAAAACAGCCATTTTTCACAAAATGCTCATGAAGTAATGGGTTAATGAAAAAAATAAAAAATCTACAAAACAACAATTTTTCTTCAAATTTATATGACAGGCCATGTTTAAAACATGAAAAAAACGCGATTTAGGGTAATTTCAAGTATTTTCATCATTTTCTGTTAACCAATTACGTCATATACACGCCTTTTAACGCCTTTTCACCCCCCCCCCTTTTTGTTGACTCAAATGATGAAAAAAATGCCTGATTTAGCCCCAAACACTTGTTTTGTTTGAGAAATGTTTGTTAAAAAAGTGACCTCTTTTTCGGCGCGGCCCCCAACCAAAAGATACATCAGGGGGTTGCCAGAAGGGGGATGTGCCCCCTTCTGTTTGGGGGGTTTGAAGGGGGGCGGAGTCCCCCTCATCGCCAAGAAAATTTTGGACTTGTGAGAGGCTGTAAATGACCCCAGATTGATCATAAGGTAACGTGTAACCAACGCTGAAAAGCATTTGACTCTATCTCAATCCATTGAGAAGTTGCAGCACTTTGAAATCAATATTGATGGAAAAAAAATCAACGCAAAATAGTGATTTTTGGCAATTTTGAGATGTCCCCTCGTTGCCATGGTAACAGAAGATTTAAGCCTGAGCATGTTGTTGCAAGGGCAATGGTCCAGTCAACATTTGTGCCAAGTTTGATTAGTGTTGAAGCAGTTTTTATAGTATTATAGCAATTTGAACTTGTAACGGGAGACTTTTCAATGAAAACAGCCATTTTTCACAAAATGCTCATGAAGTAATGGGTTAAATGTTTACGGTAACTTTCAATTCCATTACCGTCTATGAACAGGCTCAATTTAACAGAGTTTGCAACATTTTCAATTTTGTCGGTTTGTGCGTTCTTCGGGGAGTCTTTATTTCTTTCTATTTTACTATTTTTCTGAAGTTAAAAGTCGTATTAGGCACAAAGTACCAATTTTACAGGATAATTGTGTGTGTAACTTGTGTTGTATTTTAATTTAAGTGTATACACCTATGTATCTACTGCATTTAGTTTACAATAGATGTTCTCTCGAGATACCTGTATGAAAAAATAGGTTTGTTTATTTCATTACGAATGCGCGAAATCATTACTAATCGGTCAGATCCTTAATGTTTTGAACAAAACAGAAACAATTTTTTTTATTCTGTTTACAAACAATATTCATGTATGTTAAATGACAAATACATTGTGTGTAACAAGCTTTTCGAGAATCAATCATAAGGTTATGGAAAAAAGAGAGCACAGATCAACAGGCAAAGGTCATATTATACATATTAAAACTATTATTTTACCCTTTAGAAATTTTATAAAACATATCATTACATATATAGCTTATGCATGTAGTACATTTTTTAAGTGAGGCTTTAATTCTGTCGAATTTCTGTCTGTCATTACGATTCGTCCGCATTTTCCAAAGCAGTATTATCTTCAAAATATTTTACTTATTCTTTGCACGGATAAAGTTTCGGCTAAATTTTCTTTTCTTATACGATACTATCTCCAGTAATACTGACACTGACTTTCGAAGCCTTTTCATCTACATATTAACCAGGTTTTCGACGTCATTCCTTCTTCCAAATGCTGTTTCAGGTGGAAGGTTAAGATCGTTAAGATCAGATTGACTCGCTATGCTTTAAATGATTATTTGATAAGGACATCTTGAAATATGAACTTAATAACTTGATTTTTAAATTGAAACTATCAATCATAGAAAGACAGAGTCTTATTTGTTTAGTTGAAAAATATATTTAAAGTATTTCTCCATTTAGATTAACAAAATCATTCTCTCCATCTGGCTTCTTTTTTGCAAGCTTCCTTTTTTGTTTGAGTTTTTCAGAGTTCTCTTTGTACTTTCTCCATATCTGCAGACCTTCTTCTACTGGAGGTATGAAAACAACTAGGACCGTTCCAAAAAACACCCAGTATTGAAATGTTCTTATCCATGTTTTGAATTGTCCGAGCGACAATTTCTCATATGAAAGAGCAATTGCTGGTACAACAACAGCAAATAAGGCGAGACTTATTCCCGCCCCAATACATGCAACAAGTTTGGCTTTACGAAAGATTCGATCCATTGTTTCAGCTGTTATAACGGGACCTGCGTCAATATCTCGCAGTTCTTCTTCATATACAAGTCGAAATGGGTTAAGGGGGTTATCAATATTCATCGTTTTTGCCCATTCTCTTTGTTCATCTTCTTTACTTTTTATTGTATGTGTACATAATGATACAGTGAAACATATAATTCCGCTGATAAAAAATCCACTGACCATTGCCACCAGCAGACTGTAATCCTGTGCTGTGTTCGTGAAGAAATCGGACAAACCACCTTCATATGTTGAACCCATTATTAACATCCCAGCAATAGAACAAATTAAACCAACTACACCACCTGAAACAAATTTATAAGTTATAAGATCATTACACAAGTATAATACATAAAATAGAATAAATACAGATACAGACAAAAAGATGCAGAAAAGAAATCTACTTACCAGCAACAACGCCATTAGAAGTTGCTTTCGACCATGTTATAGTCAGAAACAAAGGCCAAAGAAATGGACTTGTTATAACAGGTATGCCGAGAGTTGCCCAATTAACATTAATGCTAGTCTCAGAGATAAGAAGGCCATAGGGAACGATCATAACAACTACCCACACCATACACCAAGTCTGAAAAAACAACAACAACATTACAATGATATAATTATATCATCTTTTATTTGATACAAAGTTACATTGTATTTAATTACATTTCAACGACATTAATATTTTAGAGGTGCAATACCTTATATTGCCAAAGACCATCTTCATAATGTCTGTAAGCCCCATGCACTTTGCATTTATAATGTACACCAAACTTGCCACCATCTTCCTCCCGAGCTTGAATATCGTCTTCACATGCAGCACAGCCTATAGAAGATGGACACACACATACTTTCGTGTCATCATCAGTCGTATGATCCACCAGTTTCTCAAAGCCACACAAAATGCACGATGTTGGTGTTAAATTAGCACTTAAAAGAAAGAAAGAAGAAAACAATAGAACGGGAGTAAAAAATGCTTTATATACTGTGTAGCTGGTCGTTTTTAGATAAGTAAATCAAGTTTACTAATAACGTTATTACAATGCGTTACATTATATTTTAAAGCTATATTAGTTTTTAAAAGAATTAAATCCAAGAAGTCGTTCTGAGATGAGTAATTGTAGATTATACCGGAATGGATTAATGTATGTTTTATAGATATCATAAACAATAATGGATGACACAGCCATAACTTCTCCGGAACCTGTGGACATCAATGCCATCATTAACATGGTGAGTAATAAATATCCACCGGTGTCTCCCAGCAAAAAGTGCATCACAAACGGATTGATATAACCTAAAATGATTTAAAAATAAAGGATCAAGACTAGTTTGTGACTTCAGGTGATATACATTAATTACTACAAATGTTAAAGGCCAATGTGATGATGAAGAAGAACAATTTGATAAGAAATTTAGACAGCATTCACCGTTCTAGTACGAAATAATTGAATGTCAGGTATGCAGCTGTCCAAGTATTAAAGCATTGTTATAACAAGAGGTGCCAAAATGAAACATTTTACCCGGACCACAACCTTTAAAGTAAGAATAAGTAACAATTAATTGAGTAAATGATTGAGTATTGGCATGTGCCAATGAATTAGGAAACACATTACACACTTGTCTTTTAGAATAAGTGGATTGACTTTATCATGACACTATGAAAAGGGGAATTATACACGCACAAAAATAAATAACTGAATTGCTTTACTATGAGTAATATTTTTTACACCTTTTTTCAGGGTTATTTTAACTTTCCAAACCAATCATGTAAATATCAATATTATTCTGCTCATATTTTTGTGTATTATACTATACCATCAATGACGATTTGTAGCTTCATTATAATGAAAAAATAAAACGAATGCAGAGTTAGACCAATTTATGGTTATTTTATAAAAGGTTCACACGTCTTACCGTTATCTATTTCCGCATCACTAAGTAAATGAGTTCCATTCTCATAACTCATCGCAAAATAGGTCATGGTTGTCGTAAACGACATTGCCGTCGGTACAACGAACCACATGTAAGCAGCAAAGAAGAATCCAATTACACCTTGTGAAGGTTTGGCTGCAATCCTACTCTGCCAGTTTGCTTGATCACAAAAACTGATAGAAGTTGCCATAAAGATAATTACAACACCATATATAAGACCACTTTTGCTTCTGAACGTCAGATAGGAGTTCTGAAAGTTGCCATCTGGTCCTTTAAGACATGTAACGGCATTATACATTGACTCGATCGTTGAAACTTTCTCTATTGTCGTTGAAGGATAGAAACTTGTATAAATGATAAATACGGAAATTGCAACGAAGGTAAGAGCCGTGTTGAAGTACGATATGTAGAATGTTGTTCCCAAGCCACCAATCATACAATATGACCCAAATAAAACAGCAAGAATTAGAAATATGAATTCGTTATTGGAATCCTTGCTAAGAACTTTGATAGCAGTTTTTCCCGCCAACATTACACTCGTGCTGACAATGATGTTGGTGATTAGAGCCAAAATACAGAAGATTATGTGTGCTACTTTTCCAAATCTTGCATATGCGATCTGTAACATAAATTTTAAGTTTTGAAGTTGTTCTAACATTTCAAGGAGAAAAATACATCATAATATAATCGCTAATTGTTTTCACTGCAAAGTTTGATTACTTATTGTATCATATGTTATAAGAGTAACTAGCTACCTGGGGAAAGGTTTTAGCTCCCGGGGCACGAGTTTTTAAATAAAGTGATAGAGCTGGAAATAGCAAAATGTCCATTACGACTGCAACAGCTGTCCATAGGCTTCCACCCATTCCAGACTGAAAAAACGTTATGATAAAAAGATGTACATTTTAAGAAGCAATACTTACAAAATATATATTTAAAAATAAAAGTACTTCATTAGATATAGAACCTTTAAATTTATGAAATGCATCATATCTTTTCACAAAATATTACCACGGACTTTAATTGCAATTTACGATTGTGTGATATTACCTTGCTTGTTATAGTTGACATTTGCAGGAAGTCTGCAGGCCAAAGAAGTTGTGACGTCACTGTCACTGCAGTAAGACTGAGGCTTACACGTCCTCCTGCATCAAAAACTGTATCCAGACTATGTTCATCATGGAATACATATTTTCGTAACGACTTATAAACTCCAGCTATAAAAAGGGAAAATCCACCGAATCCAAGAAGCAAAAGTAACGCTATTTCACTTTTTTCGATCGACGGCGAGATACTGTAAATAAAAAACAAAACAAACTAACATCTTAATGAAACATTTCATCATATCTTAATGTGAATACATATTTTCTAAAACAGTGAATGAAATAAATTATAAATCATTTATTTTGTTTATGACTTTTATTAACACTTCCTGGTGGATGCATTATCTGGTAATATGACTTCATGTCGCATTGCCAAATATAAAACTGTTTGCTAAAATTGAATTGACAAAACGATATCTGATAGATTTTTCCCCTTTATAACAACATAAAAAATATACTACTGTGAGACACAGCAAGTACAGTTCGGAAGTACACTCACTGTTGGTATACATCTATACATCAGGTGTGCTTATCTTTGAATCAGCTAGGCGTGGTACTTTCGGAGCCGCAAATGTGCGTTTTTTGTACATTGTATGTTTCTATTCTACTTATTTTAAAACTGTTTGATCTTATTCTGGGAGAAAGTATTAATGTTATTAGAATAGCATAAACTTTTACTTGCTGGATCCTTCATGATTTGCGAGGGTTACCATGCAGCTTGGTTCACTAGTAGATAAGTCATTGGTATCCGGAGTAGTTTCCGCTGACACAAAAATAAAACAGCTGAGAAATGCGATTGTGTATAGAACTAGCTGAAATAAATAAAAGTACCATTAAACTAATGAAAATAATAAAAAAAATAAAAAACATCAAATAATTGCATGTACATGTATTACATGTTTTTGTCATTCATTACTTAAAGTTTTTTTTTAATTTAGTTACCTTCATTACGGCATGTATGTATGAACTGAATAAAGTAAACTACAAAAAGGCGCCTGAGTAAGTTAAACATTAAACATCGTTTACTTGTACTTTAAACAATCTCATTCATTATTCTCCATCATGATTTTCATCTTAAGTGAACACTACATATTAATTCAGACACAGTTGTAGAGTCGTCACATTGTCGTGCATTTGCACAGGCAACCTGTAGTTACCTCTCCACTAGGGTGAATCACCTGATGGTTTTGGCGTCTATTTTGTGCTAAGATCGATGTTTTTGATTTTCAGCAGAATCATACATATGACATAAACATTGGTATTATAGTCGTTTTTCCTTGACTAAAGACCTTTAAATGTTTCTCTTATTTTATCTCTTTTAATGAACACTGTACATGAAGGTTCATTGTACATTGATTGCGTACAGTTTCCAGCTTTGTTGGCAAGTGCTCTATGGGTATCGCATATAGATAAATTCTAACAGCTTATAGTTCTGAATGTCTCTTCTATAACATTTCTGGTGATATGTCTACCATTCGTACTTACCGGAGGTGGCATTGGATATTTCAAACATGAACAACACATCGCATTAATATTGCTTTAAAATTAAAAATCTTTTTATTTTCCATTCGGCTGTTACTTAAAAATACCTATTTGCAATTGCGCTATTCGCTACCTTTTCGATACGATACATTTTAATGATTAAGAGGAGTAAAATGGAATGAATATTAATTTAACCACTTTGGTTCTCAGATTTTATTGTAAGTAAACCTTTGAGGTTTCAATTTAGTAAACTTGTAACACAGTTTAATTCTGCAATGGGTTTTGAGGTAATGCAACTTACTTCACATAGTCTAGTAAACATGTAAACAAATACATTTTTTCCTTGAATTTATTTGGATATACATAACATAGGCTATCATTTATTAAACAAAATTCGGAAAACAATAAATTATATCAATTAATAATTACCATGTATTCTAAAAGGTAAAGGTAAAGGTCTTGTTTATTATAGTGTCATTCCTACTGAAAGGGCCAGCCATTTCTGACTTATGAGACACCTTTTGCTGCATACCATGTACCTCCCAACTCCTACCGCTTTTATATAAATTCATTGATAACACGTATATCTAGAAATTAATTAGTAAACCCGATGCTGACATTAAATATGTTATACAGTTCGTACATAGATTGGTAACCGCTGGTTCTTTTTTAGCCCTTTTGCAATTGACGTCATTAACGTGACTTCTGATTTAGAATGGCAACACGAGATAATACTAATGACAATTAAACTTTCGTGAAGGACACAGAGTGAAAACTATAGTGATTGTAATGACCACATTAATGCATAGGCAGCATTAAAACAAATGTAAAATATACATCAAACACAATCTAGGCTATCTATATACTATAGTAAGATTACATACACGTAGAACAAGCGAACGCTTTATCCATATAATGATCAAATTTGTAAGACAAATACTTAGACCAAAATGAAAGAGGTGAAGTATAACCATAGAGATATAATTTATATTACTTCTTATACTGTGCCCGTCTTGGTTCACGGTACTTTGCAACAAAGAAGGAAAACAAACAATGAACTTACTGTACAAAAATTGTCATAAGCTGTAACATTTAAAAAATTTCTGCAGAATGACACAATGAAACAATAACATATTCAATCAAAATAAGATTTAATGGTCAAGACATAGATCATAGGTCGGCCATTTTGAAAACAAAAAGACATCATTTAAATGACAATAATTGGGATAACATAGTTTTTCCATGTTTCAGTTAAAATTACTAAATTAATATTGCTCAGTTTTAAATATTAAGCTATCTTTACATTGTTACTTAAAATTGATTTCTTTTCAACAATATTGATCATTTAGAAAATGATGATTGTTTCTGACGTATGCGCATGTTTGAATGGACTATGGCGGCTTTTTGCAGAAATGGGCAAAATGTTGTTCTGAAAAAGCTTCAGAATTAAAATATTTTACACACAAATTTGTTGCTTAGGTGTATGACTAAATATTATATATGTCAATTCTGACCAAGACCAACCTTAACACTATTCATATCGAACTATGCCATTACAGTGAAATAAGTAATGACGCAAAATTAGTGATGTTGAGTATATACCAAGATTATTAAACATATTAACGATGAATAAGTCATTTCTTTATTTACAATTTAACATGCACGCCAATCAAAGATGAATTTGATCATAGTATGCTTGAAAGCAACACTACAATAAAGTTGCTAAAATATATAAAATCACAATATAAAGATACATTCTATAATACACGAAGCTGTATGGGATGTCTGCTTGTATATATGTAACACACAAGATAATGAAGTATGTTTACGCCATACGTTACTTGTTAATGTCTTACTCTTCGAATAGAATGGCTTTAGGAATAACTTCCTTGATATCGTAAGTTTGGAGAAATTTGTTAAAATCCTCCCCTTGAACCCACCAATGAAACCAGTGGTGAACTGTGAAGGTATAAAGTTTTTCTTTCCTAACTGCTTTACGACTTTCGAACTCTTTACATGATCGTAGAGTGTGTATATCAGTTTCCTTCGTTAAACCACATGCTTTAAGTTCACCAGCACCATTTATCCAAGAGGGATCTATCTTGTCCCCAAAGTATTGACCGTTCGGAATATATATGGCATCATCATTCTCTTCGTCTCTATGTCCTTTGAAGAAATATGGTGCATTGGATTGCGTGCCGTTTACTATAAAAACAGATACATCACTCCAGGTTATGTTATTGTATTTTAAATACATACCAGTGAGGAACGCAGGTCCTGTTGTAGTCACAGGATGGCCTCTGGGACGAGCAATCTGCAATTGCAAAAGAAGTCTTTCAAAGAAAGGGTGTTTAGGACGACATAGTAACACTGAAGTGGTCAATACAAATTCTTGTCGATATAGGAGACCGGCATGCTCGAACGGTTCAGTTGGTATAATACATGCATACTTGGTTGTTGTAATATTAAGTGATCGTACATTAGATACATCTAAGTCAGCATACACACCGCCATATTCATATAGCACAGCTAACCGCAGCAGATCAGATTTCTTCACATCATTCTCCCCGAAACTGTCATATATATCCACTAGATAGGGATGATATTTCCTGAGAAAGTTGTGCCCAGATTTATAAGTCCAAAATCTGTATTCCCATGTAGGGTTGTACTTCACAAATGACCTCATTGCGAGTAAGAAATTGTCAGGAATGGACGCGGTGTTGCAGATCTGATGAATGATATGAGGGATCCTGATTGTTCCGTTTACAACGTGCGGAAATTCTGCTGGCTCGCTGGGTTGATAAATAGGATACTTGAAGTTATGCAGCACTTCTAATCTTGGTTCAGCAAGTTTTTTATGTTCTAATTCTATTAGGTCGCGCACATTTTCTTCTTCGTTCATTTCTTCCTTCTTTAATTCTTTGGTTTTTGCTGAAAGGAAAACGGAAATTATAAAGAATAGTTTAGACTTATATAATTTTCTTCGTAAATAATGTTTTGCAATGAAGAAAAGAGATTACCATAATGCATCTTTAAGTCTTCTATCTTGAATATCTGAAGTCCACAGTACAAGAACATGCATGTCACTAGACACAGTAGGAAAAATGTTTTCATCGTTTGAGCGTTAGAGTTATACCACATCATTTTCTTCAAGCAAATGTGTTTTCTTATATTCTTTATATCTTTCAAATCAATACATTTAAATAACTCTCATTATAAAAACAAACATGAAAACCGCAAAAAACTGTTCACAACTAATTATCACAACTGTTTCCTTGTATTAAGTTTGTTTTTAAAGGTTAAATCTTTTAATATTCAATATAGTTCATGTCATATTTATATCTTAAAACAAGCCAACGGTTATTTTTCCATAAAAAAAATTTAAGTACAATAACAATTATAATGTGTAAATATTTATCAAGCAATAATTCAATTATTTGCCCCTTTTACACAGTAGAATAACTAGAATTGCAATATAACTCACGCGTTATATAATACCTAAAGAACTTTGATGCATGGTTAAAATCGTGAAATAACGAAATCAATGGCTATCTTTTCTAGTAATTTAAGGTCACCAATCGTTCAAGAGATGACTGTAATTTCACGCGTATTGCAGTTTTTGTTTACCATGCCCCCCCCCAACCATTGATCATTTAAACCGATTCAAATATAGATCAGTTTGAAATATTTTTTTCCTGAAATACGTTAATTGTAAGAACGATCTTAATTTCTAAAATCAAATTCTAGCACATTTATGATGAAAAAGTAAACATATTAATAAGGAACGAAAATAAAACAAGCCTGCGTGCTAGTAATTCCAAAAAACAAAAACAAAACAAAACTAATGACGACTAGAAGATAACCGGGGGTAAGCCTTTTATCGGCTGACCTTTATCTTTAAACTCTTTTTGAATATTGTGCAATGAAAAGTTAAGGACAAAAAAATTAAACAATAATGTAAGAGGTATTCATTTCCAGCACTTCTGAACTTCGAAATTTTCATTGTAAATAAGTCCAGAAGGGAGTTATTATTATTATTATTATTATTATTATTATTATTATTATAGTTTCCTAGTGAGTACTTTTCTGTAGCATAACAATGTGTATTATAACCTCTAAAGGCATTTTATAATGTTAATTCCCATTTGTTCCAACACTGTCATTTAAAAAAAGACAAATATTGGGATGGTGCTCCATGTATATCAGCTAAATACTTTTGTTATTTATATATTACAAATTCACAGAAAATAAATCAGATTATTGAAAAGACGAAGAAGTTGATATCCAGAGATATTGAAAATATGCTAGATTCCAAATACTTCACACTGACTTATGTTTGATCATCTTAAATCCTGTTCAACAAGAATAAAAGATAGACTTCAAAATTAATTAAAACAATGAAATATGTTTATCTTGGCCGAAGTTGGAGACAATTCTTGTTTCCGTCATTTTGATGGATAATATGTTTGTGTCTATGTTTTATCTTTTCACCTTTTTCATTCGTTTAAGTTTTGTTTGGAACTTAAGAAAGAAATAATCTTGTTCAAGACCATGCGTCAAAAAGATATAGCCTTTGGAATAATTTGTTTGATATGGATCCGCGGCATTTTCTTCGCAAAAGAATCAGTGTAAGTCCAGAGGTGAAACCAGTAATGAATCGTAAATGTAAAATGTTTCTCTTTTCTTATTGTTTTACGACTTTCAAATTCTGTGCAGGCACGTTTTTCTAGAAATGAAAGTGCATCCAGTGACTTATCAACACATTCTTTTATTTCACCATCTTCGTTTCGCAGCATGGGATCGACGTTGTCCATGAAATATTGCGAATTAGGTATATATATTCCGTCCTGACTGTCCTCATCTCGTGTCCCTTTGTAGAAATACGGTGAATTTGACGTAGTGTCAGCAACAGATTTAAGTAAATCCGATTTTGTAATGTTGTTGTATTTCAGGTACATGTGTGTGATAAATTCAGGACCAGTTGTACTGACAGGATCGCCATTAGGATCGGCATGCTGCAGGGATAAAAGTATTTGTTTGATAAAAGGATGCTTTGGTCTACATAACAGAACAGCCGTGGCTATTATGACTTCTTCCCCATATAAAATACCAGAATGTTCAAAAGGTTCTGGTGGTAAAATACATGCGTATTTAGTTGTTGTGATATTCAGTGACCGTAAATTCTCCACATCTAAATCAGCATAAACACCACCAAATTCATAGATTATCGCCATTCGTAGCAAATCAGACCTTTTCACGTCATTTTCCCCAATCTTATCATAGAAATCTAGGAGATAAGCATGATGCTTTATCAAGAAATTTCTTCCAGAACTATATGTCCAAAATCTATACTCCCATGTCGGATTGTATAGAATAAATGAACGCATGGGTTTTTGAAAGACTTTAGGAACGTTTTCATTGCTAAATATCTGATGGATGATATGAGGTATTCGGCATGAAGTGTTTACGATAGTTGGAAACTCTGCTGCAACGTTTGACTGGAAGAGTGGATACTTTGTTTGGTCAGCAGGGAAATACTTAACATTATCCTCACTGTAGTCATCTTGTTCTTCGGACCCGTTATTATGAAAGTACATATCATCTGCAAAAGAAACCATGCACCGATTGATTTAAAGTCTGATATGTAATGTAAAATTAATAGATAATTATTTTTCTCTTCAGAATGTAGTGGAATAGTAAAATGAATACGTTACAGATATACACTTATAATCAATTTTGTTGAAAGATAGTTACTCGTTGCTCACTGTCATTTAAAATATAAATCAAAGATTTGTCATATAAATGTAAAGTAAAGTTATATATTTTACTCACCAAATGGAATATGACGAACATTTGTTAATGTAAAACTTCGTAAAACTATGATGAAACACACGCAAATGATCAGGGTCAAAAATTGTTTCCATGAATAATTTGAGATGTCCATTACAAATACCTGCAATGTTAAACTATAATAATATGTAATGCGTCAAATTATGTACAGTCAATACTCACAACTATGATATCTGATCGGCGTAATTATGTTTTTGTGTTTTTGTTTACACTATAATCATTTCCTTGTGATTTAATGCATACTTCAGTGTATTAATCATAACGCGTCTATAATAACCAGTCCTATAAATGAAAAATGAAAATGCGGTTTTAGTTGAGACAATTTTTATAATATAGTTAATAATAGTATTACAATAAATGTCCAGTTTTTATTGATAGACGCTACCTCTTTAATTTATCTCCAACCATATATCTGCAAATATTACGTTTTATCTATATATAAAATGGTTTATGATAAAATCACTTTGTTTTGAAATATTTATGTGTAAAATGTTTCTGATAAAACCATTTTATTTTGTAATCTACATGTTATTTTCGTGTAAAATGTTTCTGATAAAACCATTTTATTTTGTAATCTACATGTTATGTTCGTGTAAAATGTTTCTGATACAACCATTTTATTTTGTAATCTACATGTTATTTTCGAGTAAAATGTTTCTGATAAAACCATTTTATTTTGTAATCTACATGTTATGTTCGTGAAAAATGTTTCTGATACAACCATTTTATTTTGTAATCTACATGTTATCTTTATGTAAAATGTTTCGTATATTACCTCTTTGTTTTGTAATATCTATATATGAAATGTTTCCGATATAACAATATTTTAACATCATAAACATAAAAAACAATTATGAGTATCCATGGCTTCAAGCCAAATCCTTTTATATTTAAAGACTCATATTCCGCGACGATTATGGATAAAATATTCAAATATTCGTTAAGAATGTTTGCTTTCAATATAGAAATTAAAGGTCGATCTGTAATAAGTTGTGTTGGCAGGTATATACAAGTATATATATGTATATATGCACACACGTGTTGTTCTTCTAAGGAGGTGTTCCATTTATTTTATCTGCTTATTTCTAAAACCTGTAAAATAGCGTGATGAAATCGTCAAGAGTTTAGTTTTTTTTATCTACATATATATACAGTCCGAATCATTATCATTCAAGAACATTGGACAATAACCTGTTGATTAGAAATCATTTAAAATGACCATTACAATTAAAGATATCTTTCGTTCCAAGAGTACATGCATCTGTATATAGTTTGACTTAAGGCATTGAAAATATTTAACATATAAAACATCTTTTGAAATTTAATTAAAGAGGAGGGTGATCTACAATTCTTCTATTATCAATATGCTCGAGTTGTGGACTGACTTCCTGAAACTATTTTATAAAATCAAGAAGAGGTGAACTCAGAACATTTAGTAAGTCATGATAGTGGTTTTTTATATCAAATTGTCGTTAGACTATAAGTGATTTAATATACTTTGCCGGAAGGAAGGAAAATATATTGATACTTCCTGTAGGCCAGGACATTTATGTTTTAAACGAAGGTATCATGACCATATATCGCAGCTGCCAATCTACAGGTGAAGAGATTATTATAAGAAAAGTTATAAAATAACATTACATGTAATTAAAGAGTAACATTTTATATTGTCTAGAGATGATAGAACTGTATTTACATATTTATGTATATGCATTTATAGTGCGTTTATTTTTTCTTTATTATTACATGTACATCAATTTCAATTTTTAAAGTCATCTTCAGAATGAAATAAACAAAGTTTTAACTACTTGTAGTTTTCTCGAAAACAATACACATGTATTACCTTTTGAATGCTTGATGTATTTAGAAATCACCTCGGGGTTTACAGTCAAGATTTAATCCTGAGCTTTTTATATGTCCTCATTATAAACGACTGTACCATTTTTGTGTGTGGATTAAATCGTTTTGTAAAAGAGAATAAAATGATAAAATAATAAATCTGATATCAGTTTCAAGTTCACAAATTATTTGTAATTTTCATTACTGACGCTTTCGGCCTAAGGCAGTTTCGTGATTTCGACTAAAACGTTAAGAATGTCGAAAGGTAGTTCATTTGGATCCTAGATAAGACTTTGACTTGATATCAGCTCTTTACATTTCCGAGATCTTGGCATACACATGTTATACTTGCAATATTAATATTTTCTTTCTCATTTGTTTCTTAATGTTGGCAATATTCAAAACGGAAGAACACGTGGCCTCACAAAAAGTAAATTCTTTTACTACAATGTAGACCATGCTAGTTTTTCAAGAATCCAATGTTTTAATGAAATAATTCTATAATGATTTGAAGCACACTTTATCGTTATAATTCACTTTTCGTGCTTTAATCTATCTCAAATTTTCTTCTTAATTTCACATTTAGTCAGAGGGATACTGTGACACTTCCTGATTAAGATCCCTGAATGATATCGACTTATTAATAGAAGGTTAATGACATTTAGATTGAAATGTTATATTAGGTAATTGACATATACATGACATAAAATAGAGAAAAATAAAGATCCCCTAAAGAACGCACAAAACGACAAAATTGAAAATGTTGCAGGCTCGCTTTGATTGAGTCTGTTCATGGAGGGTAATGGAAAGTGCAAGTTACCGCATCCTAGCACCGGCTTTAGCAGAATTCAACATTTAACTTGAACTGGTAACATTTGAAATTTTGAAACATTCGTAGATGTGTACATATAGCGGTTATCATGAAACCTTCACTGTGATAAGTTAGTGCCATTCGATGAAAAGCGGTACATCGTCCCCAAGAAAAAAAGGCGTGTGTCGTAAACGAGAAAACAATAGGCGAAACTAAATAAAATGTAATTTTGAAAGGGGGTCTGATGTAATGAAGCCTGTATAACACAGGTAATACGCCAAAGGACAAACTAAAAAAGCTGTTCAAATGCTGTGGATAATTTAATTTACATATTTGCATTTTTGCCCGACAAAGCATCTGTAAGCTTTTGAAACAAATATAAAAAAATAGTCGTAATTTCTTAGTAAACGCTCACAGGTCATATTTCTATACAAGCAAAAAAAGAGGAGTTTTTTTTGTAATGTTTGTTGTTTTGTTATGATTTAAATTAAAAAGTATCCAACTATATTGTTTTGTTTCCTAAAAGACAATATTAGATGCTTCGATCAAACGCCTGCCACGTCTTCTTACAAATTAAGTTTGAAAACGCAAGACAAACTGTCTGTCCAGTTTGACGTATTTTTAGCCACCACATATAAACTGTATGATATTACAAATCAGCAACACACGCACACACAGTCATCTGCCTGTCACATTTTTAGACACGAATCCCACTAAGAGCTTTGCATTCTTTCAGTTTTGGAAAAGCTATGTTAAAAGAGTTCATCATTGTGGGACTGTTAATATACTCTTTACATTTCTTTGTGAGAATAACGTTTAGTACCAGTTTTTATGAACTTATATACTTTCAAGAACGGTTCGGGTGTCTAGTCACAAATCTAGCTCGAAATGCCCCCGATTTTTTTCTACCGTCAGTCTAAAAGAATTTCCGGATTTCTGAGGGTCATGTTTTGCCTTGGGCCTAGAGTTACTGATTTTTTTTCTTGAGTTTACAAATCTTCAATTTTAAGCTTTGTTGAATGCGATTAATTATGTCATTTAAAGTGCAAGTGACTGCAGTTCATTCAATTTAAAAAGTCACTGAGTGTTGCTTACGTCATTTTGCACGTATTGTTATTCACTCGCCAATTATAAGAAAATAATGCTGAGTAGAAAGGCAGCCAAAATTCCATTATGACCGAATATAAATCTTGCCGTAATGGTCTTGAAATACCCTAATTTTGTTACTATATACATGTATTGTAACATAGGTATTAAGTAAACATTTTACCTTAATTGCTGTCAGAAAGATGGTCAGATACCAACAATGAAAGTGTTGAAGCAGTTGTTTTCGTTTTACAAAAGCAATAGCATGACCCGGTATTTTAAAGAAATGTTTTGTCAACTTGTTGACTGCCGGTGTATTCGTCAATTGAGCTGATAAGGTATTGGCAACAATGAGATGTACACAATGTACAAACAGAAAATCATATTCGTTTTGCTAATGCTTCTGGGTTAGAATAAAAATCTGGAAACAAAGTGATTAATCAAGATTATCATTAATCAAGAGAATCGCAGACTCGGTCTGTTTGAGTCTGTACATGAGGGATAATGAATACGTGCAACATCCCTCACGCCCCAGCACCGGCTTGAGCGGTACTCAATTCTCAACACTTAATAGTGCTGGCATAGTGGTAGTCGGCCGCCATTTTAAAAATAAAAAAGTATGTTTTGTGTCGACTTCTTGTCTTGTTTGAAATGATTCTTCGCTTCATTTGATGTATGTAACTTGCAAATAATTTCTAAAAAAATGCAAAATGGAAATTCTAGAGGGAGAATACTTGGCAGATACGGCGCTGTTAGAATCGCTTCATTAAGCCTTTTTCCTTTTTTATGTTGCAAGTAATATACATAAAATGAAGCGGACAAAATAGCAGCATGTACATACGTGTGTTTATCTTAATATCCGACGGAAAAGAACTGTATTCAGAATTTTGCATCTTACCCCGAATTGATATTATCATTTGACTCAAAACAATGCAAAAACGTTGTTAGATTGTTTATTTATATACATAATAAAATTTATCTTCTGTAAAGGTTTTTTTTATTTGCAATTGCTTTTTTGCTTGTCATTATTTATAAAGTACACAGGATGGAATGAAAGTCTTTATATGTATACGTTTCAAGTTGAACAGTTTTGCTTCAGGGAATGTCCACATATGGTACCAATAATGACTTGTGAATGTAAACTTCCTTTCTTTTCTTAACTGTTTACGTTTTTCAAACTCATGGCACGCTCGATATGTTAGTTCCAAATCTTTACCAGACAGTGCAAATTCATTTGGCTCATTACAAATTTTAAATGATTGTTGTGGTGAAGTTGAATCGAACAAATTTACGTCAATATCACCCATAAAATACTGTGAGTTAGGCACATAAACAGCATCGTTGTGATCTTCGGGAAGAGTTCCTTTATAAAAATACGGTGAATTAGAGCTGTTGTCCAACTTTCTTCTTCCATAATCGTCTTCACTTATGCTATTGTAGTTCTTATATATATCAGTAAAATAAAGAGGACCCGTTACGTACACAGGGTGTCCGTCTTTATTTGCTAGTTGAAGGTTGATCAGTGCCTGCTTGAAAAATGGGTGTTTAGGTCTGCATAACAATACTGCAGTGGTCAAAATAAATTCGGTTTTGTATATAAAAGCGCTATGTTCAAAGGGTTCTGTTGGTACAATGCATGCATATTTAATTGTTGCTATATCTAGTGATCGCCAATTCTTCACATCTAGATCTGCATAAAGCCCACCGTAATGATGTATTACGGCAAATCGTAATAAATCTGACTTTCTCACATCATTCCCTCCAAAGGCATCATATATACTTATAAGATATGGATAGTGTCTGTTGAGAAATTTTCTACCCGATTCGTATGTCCAGAACCTATATTCCCACGTCGGATTGTTTTCCACAAATGAAGAAATTGGGTCTTGAAATATTTCATAGATATCCTCACTGTGACAAATTTGATGTATGATATGTGGTATTCTAGTTGGACCATTTAGAACTGTTGGGAATTCCTCCGCATCATACGATTGAAATACTTCGTAACTTGACATATTTTCTTTCATGAAATATGACGTTTCTTCGATCTTTTCGTCATTTTCGAGGGTTTTCACTAAAAGAAAATAAGTCATTACATATTAACAGTATAAAATAAATTCTCAAACAAATATTATGTTATATTTTGTTAAGTACTTTATCAGTAACTCACAGTTTTTCTTTAAGATTGCTTTGCTAATTAAATTATTTAAGTATCCATATAAATTGAACGGTGAAAGCAAATATATGTTTAAGGGGTAATTTTCTACAGCTGCCACTCAGCATTTGACACTTACTGTTGGGAGGCATATAAGTATGAAAAAGAGGAGATCCCTTGGAAGCAATTATTGATACATCGCTTCATTAGTAAACATGACGGAGAATAGAGCAACATCGTTGCATATATTTATTTACTAATAGGTAAATATCCGTAGCAAATCATATAATTTTTTCTTTATACTTCTAAGTCTAGTTATCAATAGAGGGTTTGTCATCTTCATGGATAATTTATGTATCATGGTATCTTTAAAGGTGTGATAAACCTTAAAAAGATGTAAATCTCTGCTGAACATATAATTCTTTGTTTTGTATTTATTGTTTTTCTGTTGATTTTTTTGTAATCTTTACTTTATTAATTCATGCGAGAATATACAATGACTCTGCTGTCTAACAAATCCAATAACGACTCGTCCTACATTATATTCAGCATTTATTTCCCATTTCATTCCAAGAATGTATATACTTGAGGTATATGTTACAGATATTGAGTATATTGCTATTCATTTGGAGATAAACATTTCACAAACATAATAAATACCAGAGATTTAAAAATCAAATCGCCCTACAAGAAAATACATATTCTATCTACTCTGTAGCCTCGAACAACAATGGTAACTACAGATCTTTTATAAACCGTAGTTATATTATTTGAATTTTGTCAAAGCAATGGCTTACCCAAATTCCTCTTCAACTCCTTAATTTTGGTGTACTGATTTACACAGTATATCACTAAGAAAGATACACAACATACAACAAACACATTTGTTCTTGTCTTCGAGCTCCTCATTGTCTTCATATCTATGTTATGTGTGCAAAAATAATTGAAGTTATAAGCGCACTCCCTCTCATTATTGTTTCACTTAGTTTCATGTACACATAACTATCAATTAATTGGATTGATTAACACATATTTTGTTTGCATGATGTTCTTCATATCTTCTTTTTTCTTCTTCTTTTTTGTAACAGCCCAGAATGTCACATAAAAATCTTCATATGTTTACTTGAAAACATCGATCAATAATTTATTTCTACATGTAATAAATTTATACATGTGAGGAGACGAACCGCAAAATCATAAACTTAGAATGTTCTTTTTAATTTGAAAGTTAAATGCTTTTGATATAGCCTGAAACGAAATAGATGTGTTTTGATTTCAGAATATTTAAATAAACGACAAGTTAAATAAAGAAGATTGTCCGTTTGGTTTTGTGAATCATGTTTGAGAATAAAAAATAGTAAAATGAAAACGTTTTACAGAATGATTGCCGTTGCATAACACTTAAAGTTTGTTAAAACCTATTATATTGCCCTTTTGAAATGATTTATCAATAGTAATTGGTTCAGATAAAGATACAAACAGATTAAAAATTTAGACAAACTGAACATAACAAGTAGTACTGGTCCCTAGTCCAGACAGTCCACAATAACAACTATACGGTATAAAAAATAATCTGGAAACAAAGTGATCACTCGGAAGCATTTATCACAACAAAATTACAAAAGAATTGCAGACTCGGTTTGATTGCGTCTGTACATGAGGGATAATGAATACGTGCAACATCCCTCACGCCCTCTAGCACCGGCTTGAGTGGTACTCAATTCTCAACACTTAATAGTGCTTTAAGGTATCGCTTCAAGCTGATAAAACCGATTGTCCTAGCTGTTTTACCAAGAAAGACATTGCCCCGAATTTATGAATATCCTCATATCTTTTATAATTTTTGTAATTGGAGCGGTGGCCCAGTGGTTAAGGTGTCGAGCCCTACTCGAGTCACGATCATGATTCCAGTACTGATTAGTTCCTTGAAAGTGATAAATATAAGTTGCAAGACCTTGTTTCGTAATCGAGCTAAATAAATATGTTTAAATTAAACTAAACTATATTTTGTAAATGATGTCATAGCAGCAACAAAATTTTCTGTAAATTATCTAAATGTGGTAATTTTTTGACATTAGTTTTCTTTTGTAAAGAATGCAAAAATCCGCTAGCAGACATGTACTATTAATTCTTTTAACTGTATCCCTCTTCACGTAGGCCAATTTACATAAAAACAACTAAATCTCATATACCCTATAGTATAATCGTAACAACACCATAGGTCAATGACAATTTATTTATTGATTGACAGCCGATGCATGCTTACATTATCATACAATTTCATTCCTGGTGCCATTAAATATGCTTAACGTTATAAATAATAACAAAGTACTTTTTTTAATTTTGATGTAGCTTATTATAATTTTGATAGTGCATATTGTTAAATGTCCTTGAAGTATCGGGCAAAAATCTTATTAGAAAGGCAGTACTTCTAACAAATAGAATATACATGTACTAAATGACTAATGTCACATCCTTAATGGTTAGGATCAATGCCGGGATCAAAGTTAACTTGATAGCTTTGACTTACTATATTTTTTTAAAAGTAGACATCATATGACTCAAGGTACTTAAATTTGAGTTTTGATCAGAATAATATCATAACATTGAATTGATATTTCAAGATGATTACCACAGCTTTCTTGTTATTCAGATTATTGATGTAGGTAACCAAAAAAAATTATTATATTTGACCGAATATATTTATCTAAATGATAAAGATAACAAGCACTAGGCAAAAGAAATTATGTCAGCTAAAGCACCAAAAGAAATGTGTTTATTGAAATTGTTCCTGTAGAAATAAAGCAGTTATAAGCATCAAGCATAAATACGTTAAACAAACAAACAGGAATTTTCGATACAATTTCAATCAGCTTGCACCTAAAATAAACACACTGTCGCTTTAATTAAAACTTGCAAGCCACGAATCGTCATATTTTGTGTCAATTTTTCAATTTTCGTTTTTTTTTCTCACACGTGAAATAAGTTGTAAAGTCAACCATATTAAGGAACATCAACAATGTGTTTCAGGAATGTAGACTTTGAATCACTCTGTTAACGGGAGATGATTTATAACGGTACATCACTCTTTGTAGAACATAATAATTTTAGTAGTGGTTTGTCCCCTTGATAATGTTAGTAATGATAGCGAAAACAATGTTAATATTGATACACTTGAGGACCATGATTCAATTGAAACTGACGATAAGGATAAAGATGTCGATGAAGATGACAACGAGAATAATGATGTTGAAACGGCTAATAAAATTTGTAGTTTAAACTTTTATAAAACGATTTAATTTAAAAGGGTTTTATTGATTATGATAATGATAAGTGCGATATTCTAATCATGATACTTATAGTTAATTGTAATAGTCACTGGTACGTTAATGTTTACTGGCAGACAACCTATAGTTTCCGTTTGAACGCAATGAATATGATCAGGAAGTTTTCATAGATTGCCCAAGATTATATTTGCTTTGAAAGGTGCCCAAGATAATATTTGCTTTGAAAGGAAGTGGAGAAGTAGTGCCCTAATATAAACTACATGTCGCCAACTTCCATGAGCTGAATTCTTTAACGTGATTTTCAAATGGCTAAAAAATCCTTGGGCCTCTTTTGTTTCTTGTTTACATCAATGATATTGTAAGCGAAATATTTTCAAACATTTGCTGATGTCACGTGCTTGTATTAGTTGAATTTAATAAAATGCTTTAGCAACCAATCTTGTTGAGACCGAAAGTAAAAAAGAAAGAATAAAAAAACTGACTTTTTTCTTTTAATTCATCTAAAACGGATTTTTTCTAGGAAAGTGGCTAACTTTCAAATCTAACAATCACTTACAAATCAACTTTATTAATATAGTTACATCACAAACATTTTGATGTTACTCTAGCTTCAGAATATTTGCATAACCATAACCTTCAGACAATACGGAAGATTTTGAAATTTTACAACCTTAGTTATACTTTAAGATAAATAAACTTTTTGGGATACATTTTAATCACTGTATACATGAAAATTGTATCATAACACTATTTTACAAACGTACGGTTAATTGAAACTGTTGAGCGAATGTCTATATAAAACTGGATAATATATCAAGGAAGCAAAAGCCATGTAGGAATTTGAGACAAGTGTATTTGAATCTCAATAATGATAAAAAGCTTCATGTGCGCAATTTGGCATATATTCGCGCTAAACTGTATAGATTGTCAATATGGTTTATAGTTTCTCATCATCATCTTCTTTTTCTTTTCTTTCTTCTCCTTTTCCTCCTTCTCTACCTTCTTTTCCTTCTTCTTTTTCTCCTTTCTTGTCTTCGTATTTTCCTTCTCCTTCTACTTCTTCTCGTCTTTCTTCCCCTTTTCTTACTTTTCCTCCTCCTTCTTTGTGTGATTTAGAATATTTGACTGTCCTGTTTTCTTGCAATTCCACACATTCAGTATTATGTTCCTCTCGCTTATCTTTTTCTTGCTTTTCTTGTTTTTTATTATCATTTGCTTCAACTTTGTTTGGACTTACAACTATTTTGCTATCTTTATCCGATGATCCTCTTTCGGGTGCATCACAGCCATTTCGATTTTCGTTTTCTCCATCCTTTTTATGTTCATCTCTTATCTGTTTTTCATCCTCACAACTTAAACATGAGGATTTCCCATACAACAAAACAGTAATGCGACTAGAAATATCCAACAAAGTAAACCGGTAGTGCCGATGCAAAGTAAGAATATAACTGATACTTTATGAGAAGGGACGCAAGTTGTATATACAATTAGAAAGATAATGTAGTGACCAAACAAAGCAATAATTGCAACGATTTCGATAAGTTTAGCCTGGCGGTTGTTACTTGAAATTACGCTTGATTCGTTTGAATCCAGTTCCGCTTCACAATAACAGCAAAAACGCTTGAAACAATTACAGCAGAGATATTTAAAAGGCTTTGTTTCCTTCACACAGTAAGTAATATAGTTCAGTCTTTGTAGAAGCCTCTCTTCATTCTTCGAGTCTTTAAATGTCCTGTCTAAAGAAAAACGAAACTACAATAGAAAAATATCAAATTCATACAAGTTTGGTGGCCTATAATTATATTTCTTTTATAAAATTTTGATTATAATGTTGAAAGAGTTTTAACGACAGCTGTGTAAGAAGATACAAGTTATCAGTTTTTTAAAGAAATACTTCATACAATATATGATATAAATATATATATCAAAATACTGTCAGATTTCGAATAAAAATTCAACTTTTAAATGACTTAATGAACAGGTAAATAATCATTGTTTCCCTTGTAATATGTTCGATTTTAAAAATATATATACAATTTATTCAAATTATGTAGTAAACATATTTGAAACACAATAGTGCCAAATTGAGGTAATGCCATGGACAAATAATATTTACCAGTAAAATAAAGGAATATCTATAAAAATTACTTTGCAGGTTTTTAATTGTTTGATATCGTAAAGGTTGTTTTAACCGAAACACACTATACATCGTAATCAAATAACTAGACATCAAATAACAACACATCGGCCTCGTGATTGAAAACGAATTGAGCGAATTGCATCAGATAAACTTTTCCAAAATAATATCATAGTGAACGTTGTTGCTTATGATATTATCCGGACATTTATAAGATATATTTTATGCTACAACTTCTGTGACTTAAAATTTGTTTGTGAGATATTGACCGTGCGCTTGGGATCTGTTTTAATTACAGTAATTACAGACCTGCTATCTAATTAATCATGGTTTATCTATACGTTAGGACCGACTATACTATATATACAACAGTACTACTTTTTCTGGTAGATTATTTTTTTACAAGGTGAGATTTTCATACCAAAATTTTGGTAAAGAACGAACAACATAAACTGCAATATTTAAAACAGTTTTTACCCTTGTTTGGATCGTCACGTCTTGCCATTAAAGATAAAATGTTGGCGAGAAAGGCACAAACAATGAGGACCTGGTGAATGATCATCCATACATCAATAGCTCTAACATATGACACCGCTGGTATAATGAAATAAATGCCAACCCATCGGGTGATCAATGCAATAATACAGCCTGTATGTACTGAAAGACGTGGTGAAATTCTCTTTTCGTCAATGAACAAAGCCAGCCATGACACAAACAAAATTGCTACGCTTGGTCCGTATAATTGAAAGAAATGGGCACCACCCGTTCTCTCCATGATAATTCTTCCTTTTAAAGTAGAGTAGTCCCCAACTGAAATACAAATGAGCCGCGTCATGACAAAACCAACATAGTGCGTTTGCGACCAGCATGGATCCAGACCAAGCTCAAATATCATGTATAACTCTAACTGAAATAGTCAATCTATGTTGCATATGCGATTCTTACTGATGAGTTATATTAAATTATATATTTTAAAGACTTTCATACGGGTATTTGTACAGCTCTTCATGTATTTTGAAAACTCTCAAACCAGTTATTTTGATTCAGTGATCACGCTCACCTGTTCAATATTAAATTTTACTGTGTGAAATGAAGATTGTTTTATAAATTCAAAAAATTATTTGCTAACAATTGTAAAAACAACGACATATTTTCCCATAAAATACATGTACAAATAAATAAACCAAACAGGTACAGCTATTCCTAGCTTGTTAAATATTTTTTGCACAAATAAAAGTTTTCCTTATTAACTGAATTATCTAAGACTATACTTCATTAACGTAAACATTCTGTCTGTTACAGGTCTAAAAACGGTCACAAACATTCTCTATGTTCAGATAAAGTTTAAGAAATTACTGTTATAATAAAACGACGATGCACAGATAACCCAAACTAGTATACCAGTATATTTATTAAAAGTATCATCATCAACTGCTTCAGCTTAAAGCAGCACGCCATCAGATTCATGCTAATTTTCATGAAAATTTTAAAAATGTATCTGAATGTATAATATTGTGAAATAACCAAAAAGAGGCAATTTGCACATTATCAATGGCACTAACAAGCCATGTAAATTACCCAAATGTGGTCATAATATGCATAAATAGCCCTTTCTGCGTTAGTAACGCAGTAGAAATATAGTTTTAAATACTAAGAAAATCAGTTATTAACCGCACATAACATGTGATAGTATTACTTGAATCTTGAATCATTTTACGTTTCCTAAAATCGTAGTACACATTTCTCAAGTTTGATTTTATTGAAATATTTTTAATCATCTGGAGTCATGCAGCTTTAATGTGATTTTAATTTTTTACGGTGCACCAACAGACTTAAGTTCATATGGCGCCGTAATAGAAAACATTATTTTGGCTTACCTCAGGTGTTACAATCCTAATGCAATACCAGTGGTCAAAACCACTTCACCTGCTAAAGCTAAGAGATGCATGTACTCCAGAAATTTTAGCTCATTTAGTCGCCTCTTACGATAACGCACGGAACGCAAGGATAAACCGTGGATGCAATTCTGATGCTTTAACCCTTAAAAACAACCGCTAAGCCACAAGGAAAATAATGTAATGTAAGCTGCACATACCTTGATCTAAAAGGGGTGTATCATCATCACTATATTCGCCAACCGAGATGAGAAATTCTGTCATGTGTACCCCAGACAATTTCAATGGATTATCTTTCTTCCATTTAAGTATCAGCGAATCATTTGTGTAAGTAACTATAGGACAGAAATATTTTATGCTTTATCAAATCTGTTAAAAGCAATAGAAAACAAATATTTGGATTTAAAGAATACAACTTAAACTATAAAATTTTAAATCATATCGAACAGTCATATAATGTTTAATGTTGTTTTTTTATAATTTGAAAGAAATGTGCTTGCTTATTTGCGATGAAGTGAGCAAACACATTGCATAACATACTAATATAACATATAAATATTTTTTTATTTCTAACTATTTATTTATTATCATTTTTGCGTGTGTACTCGTATGTGGGGGTGGAGTAGTATTTTTCACATATTATTAACGACACCTCCATCTAAAATTCTGAGCAAACAACATTATAAGAAAATACAAGCAACGCGATTGTGCAGAAATGATTTTTTTAGTTTAGTTCAAGAGTTATATCAGAATACCAAATAACCTTCGAAACTACGTTAACACAAAGCGACATTCGTCATCTTTACATGATTTAATTATGTAATTTATTTTACAGCTGAGGCCAGAGTTTCTTTACCTTACTTTGTTCTGGTATTGAAAGGACACTTTTTTAAAAATAGATCCACGGAGAAAAAAATGAGTGATAGCTTGACAACATCTTTGAACACAGTAAAACACAACGCGAACGAATTATGTAATATACATGTATATTTTAATACTCACAACTTTGCATCTTCAATTCACAAACTTGTTCGTCATAAGGATAATACTTAAGATCGAAGGATGACCGTAAAGCCATTGATGTTCTTGTTGAAAAAAAGATAATAATAATAATAATAATAATAATAATAATAATAATAATAATAATATAATAACATGTACACGAAGAGAAAATCAATACATATTCGATTTACTCGGTTATCTGTTTCAACCTTTTAATTTCATAAGTTTACATGTGTTTGATTTGGTTTATGTCGCACCGACACAGTGTAGGTCATATGGCGACGTTCCAGCTTTACCGCTGGAGGAAGACCTCATGTGCCCTTCCTTGCATTATTTCAGGCACGAACGGGCACCTGAGTAGAACCACCGACGTTCCGTAAGCTAGATGGATAGCTTCCTCACATGAAAGAATCCAAAGCCCCTGTCGGGATTCGAACCCACAGCGGTAAGGGCAAGTTTACATAACGGTGCATACAATCTCTGATCTGTAATAATCTTCTTACAAACAATGATTTGAATTATATCCATTATGCAAAACTGCAATGTTTTATTTATGTTGTGGGATTTTATAAACATATAATTTATTTGAATATTAATTAAATAATAAACCTTTGGCTGTAGACTATTTCGCCATTTTTATGTATATAAACCATACTGTTAAATGTTTTTTGCTCGTTCGACCCTGGTGACCGATCCGTCAAGAAGTAAACATCCGGTTGCCATATTTGTTTTGTTTTACCTTCCGACAGCTCAAGTTTACTATAATTAGCCAACTGAGAATAATTTAGTCGTCTATCTTTCCACCACATTCGCAGGTACAAGTCAAAAAGAAATCCCTGAAAGTAGGTTTTAATGTTCATGTAAAAATATCTATTATTTCTGTTGTACGAGTTAGAATTACTTAAAAGGATTCTTCTTCGTCTTCTTCTTTTTCATAGGCAACGTCATGTAATGAAACAAAATAATTTGAATGATATTCTCGTCTATATGTCCCAAAATTTAAAATAAATAAACAGACTTTCAAAAATCAGACGACTTGGATATATGCAAACCTCGTTCTTATTAGATATAGCAAGAGTGAAAATAAAAAGCAACAACATTAAGATAACAGTAAATTTTATCTGAGAAAAAGTAGTCTCATGTCTAAAACTAAATAATTATTTTTGTTTCCGTATAAAACATTGATAATTTCTTCGGTGGCATAATTTGTTTTTGTGCATAATTGATTTTCTTTACATAAGAGTCAAAATGTAACTGAAAATGTTATCAGTCCTTTAAAATATTAATTAAGACATTAAAATTTGCCGCCTGCGTCTATTTTCAAATAATGTGAAAATACCAAATGTAAGTTTATCAAAATCCACTCACCGTATTCTTCTCTTCATTTCTTGCTATATCATATATGTCTACCTGCACTGTGACGATCGTCAGTATATCTGAAATAAAACAAGCCAGATGATTAAGCCAGTTAAAGTAAATGATAATTGATGAAATGTTATAACTGCAAGAACAGTCTATATATGTGCTACTAGAATACAATAATATCAGATTGACACTAAAAACAATATTAATAAATGAAAATCACAAACTTGGTTAATCTAAGTATGTTCTACAGGCAATGAAATTGAAATTCTGTCATGCCACCTGGCAAAAAGTACATGTAGTATACTTTTTTCAACAAACAAAAGCATTGGAACCAATTGTACTGATGGAAGCTATCATTTGCAGGTACTATGTACATGAAATAAAATCTTATAATGCACGTGGATAAATATATAATCAAGCTTATAAAACATTTTACCCGGTTTTACATCTTTCTTGTATGTTGAATTACTTCCGACTAAATGCTCGATCAAATTATACCTGAAATAACAAAGAGATGTATATACTAGACACATTAAATCAAATACAATGTACAAATGAAAATTGCTTGAAATTATGCATATTTGCTAAATAGTAAAAGAATGTGTATGGAATTTGTTGTAAGATTTATCAGTAACACTTGTTATTGCTATAATTCTTATATTTGCAATATTTTTTGTTATTCAAGAGATAAAAGGCGTCTTTTAGAATACGCAAGATAATAAATTAGTGACATCTGCTGGATCATAAGTTGTAATGAAATTGTAACACAGCATATGCACCCCCCCCCCCCCCCCCCCGTTACCGACTTATCAGTAGTTTTTCTCCGTGATTAAAATATTTGAATTAAGCATCATGTAGGATAGAACGATATATCATCAATAATCAATAGAGAGGGTAACAACTTACAAGTTACATTTGCCAATAGTCATATTCATTAAACAAGTTAAAAGAAAGAGAAATGAGTCGGCAAATCTAGAAATCTGAATGCATTTTGAACTCCTTCCTATGTAACATTAGCAAAATTCTCAATAAACTCCATCTTTGAAATAACTTACTTGCTTAAGTCTGTTTGAGCATAAAGTGTTGGGATTAGGAAAATCAATAACTTCATCTGTAACAAAATTTATAGTTGAAAAAAAACGTGTACAAAAGCAAAGTAAAAATATAAAATGAAACTAATTTCGGCAAAGTAAAGATATAAAATGAAACTAATTTCGGCGTCTCAGTAGTAAAACGTTCGGGCAGTCAGTAAGGTCATCACATAATAAGTAATCAACTTTCAAAAAGAAATATCTGGATCGTTGTTGTTTGTTTCATTTCAAAGTTAACATTGCAATTAACGCCTAGTTATTATTTTATTACCAAAAATGACCGTTGAAGAAAGTTTATTCAAGAAATTACATCATGTAAATAAAATCTTAGAATGACTATTAAAGAATCTAAGATTTAAGCTTGAATTTCTAAAATGACCAATAATGCTATCCTTTTTTATTCAGGCCATACCTTTGTATTTCATAGGCAGTGAACCTACGACCGAATAATGCCAAAGAGCAATGTCGATGATAAAAATAAAACGGTTAATGAAGACGTTGATAATTTTTTTAAAATAAAATGCATTTAACTTGACAAAAATTTATGATCATAAAAGAGATTGTGTTAAAATTCACACGTGAATAATATAAGCAAATACAACAAAACAATCCCTACATTTTGTTATTGTTATATTTGGGAGGTTTGTCGTGTACAAATAATATTCATAGCATACACATTATATTCTTCCGATAACAGACAAGGCAATGAAATAGGTATTTTATATCCTGTAATCGACAACGAACCTTTTTAACTTCACAAACTTACGTAATAATTATTTTTAACGTGCAATTGCGGCCATCCTTTGATGTTATTTCACCTATCTATATGATAAAAAGAAATGTACATAATTTTCATAACATAAAATTAACATGATTTTATACTTTTTAAGTATTTTACGAAAATCTGGATTCAAATAAAAAAAAATTGAAACATTTTAACCGCAAATAATGATGCGTTTTGAAAACAGTAAACAAAGTTATCTTCTATCTACCTAAATATTAAGAAAAATGATTGCAGCTTGATTTATTAAAATCTTCAAAACATCACACAGACTAGCTTAATACGGACAAAATTCGCTGCATTTGAAATTATTACAAATATAGGTGCAGCAGTGAAGTAGAATATTCTTCCTACCTCTATTTTAAGCTTCGACTAAATTTTAAATCCGCGCGCACCATTAATTTGTCGGAAAATTGCCCCTTTGTACATGTAATGTTCATAATAAGTAATACTTAGAAAAAAGTTCTCTTGGTTCATATTCATGTAACTCATTTTATCTTAGATAATGTAAAACTCTTAATAGAGTCTTGAGATATGTTGAATGCTGATAATGCTACTTTAATCGAAAGACAAGATGAAACATTTATACATTCGGATGATATAATCAGCTCGTTATCATAGCAAAATTTTTCATTAAGAATTCAGAATTGTAATAGTTGCATAATTATGTCCTATATCCTATATTTATTATCATGTCCCGTATATCACCGTTCAACACCATCAAATAACACTTTTTTATTTAATAGTATCATGTCCCGTATATCACCGTTCAACACCATTAAATAACATTTTTTTATTTAATCTATCACATGGTATTTTGATGATTTTAAACCAATATCTAATACACTTTTTAAAAAGATTACGTATACATGTACATCCGATATCTTACCATTTTCATTTACATTGTATGCTTTTAGTTTACAACAGATATACTTTTACATGCATTATATTCTACCCGTTCTACCTATTCCAATTTACCAATGTCCCAAATTTCAGGACCAAAAGTAACCGTGGACATATCTTAGTATAAAAGTGTTTAAAATTACTTTTTTGTTTAAATTGTCACAATCATACATGTTTTTTTTATATTGATATAAAAACGCTTACCCTTTACACATAGCTTGTGTACCATTCTGTTTATAGAAAGCTGTCTTGTAAATGTTAGAACAAATGTTTTATTTTATTTTCATTTGCAAGTGAAAATGTAAATTATGTATACCCCTTTAGGTTTCCACATTATTTATATCCCTTTTTGTGAAGTGTTGGGATAAAATATTTCTCTATAACAGGGTACTCGCCTGTAGCAAATAGTTTGTTAAACAATTTAACATATGTAAGACTGTCTATATCGTAAACGAAATAATCAGGAAAAAGTCTATCAGACCATGTTTTTTAAACTATTTTTACCAATTCTTATATGTATAACAATCCCCAATCTTGTTTTGCTTTTAGTTATTCCCGAATTTAAATGTATTGATCAACTTCATTATTCTAGGGGGCGTGGACGGTAACTTGCACTTGCACTTTCCAGTACTCAATCAAACCGAGCCTGCAACATTTTTAGTTTTGCCGTGCTGGGTTTTCTTTAGAGATTCCGATTTCTCTATTATTTCATTATCTATTTCATCATTTAGTATTTATAAATTAGCAAAGATATTTATAGCACCTGTATACGGTATTATGCAGTCCCGTTGTTCGACCCATTCTTCCAAGAAAATATTGCACACTGTCCTACTTTTCTTGCCAGTCATAGATTTAAGTTAAACAAAAACGATTTTTGGATCATTTTCTTTTGGTGTCAGTTCATCAAGATTATGTTTATTGTATTCTCGCATCTTCAAAATGCACTTGTTCATAAAAATTAATTTTGTTTTAAAATGTTCTTAATAGATTAATTTATGACCTAAAATTTTTATATTTTTTTTCAAAATTAAACCATTTTGGCGAAAAAGATGAAAATATATATCAGTATAAACAGATTAACTTGATACTATATTATCAATGCCCATTTTACATCTTTAATGATCAACATTATTTTTTGTCCAATCACATTGCAGTATTTTTCAATATTTTTTCTCGCGTTTTCTCATCATTTAGTAATAGTATGTTTTAACCTTACATTTAATTAATAATGCTGGTATTAACCCTGTTCATCAATTTTAATATTGTGCATAAACAATTACACCACATCCGAAAGAAGAGGTATGATTTAAGTAATGTTACAGTTTTGGTAATTATTTATACGGAATTATAGCAAAGTTTAACGCTATCTGCTAATAAATATACACCTTTCAAAATTCCAATTAAACGGGTGGTAAATAGGCATGAAATAACAATTAGCTAATTTTGTAACAGACTTTGACATTTAAATTATAATGCCAAAATCACATTTACTGTTCGCAGGTGTAAAATGATTAAACAGTTGATTTCCAACAAACACGAACATGTCACACATGACTCTGCAAAACATCGAGTTTCTAATTTCTGGTAAAAACAATATCTATGTGACACAAAATATCATTTTGAAAATAAGTATTTTCCTACCAAGCTTCTGTTAATGCAAATGTTAATAATGAAAATTGTTTATGTAGACTTTGGCTTGATAACTAATCAATATTAAAATAATCACTCTCCTCATCATGAAAAACGTCCACTAGTTCACCGGATAGCACGCAATTTTCCCAACCTTTAAATAGTTTATACCTGCAATATTGCTCCTTCCTCTATATCTTTATCGCGTTACGGAAAAAGGACATGTTACGAAATCACGTTTTTTTTAAAACAGAAAATGTTATATAGCAGTTTTATCAAAAATTATTGCTCATAATCTTTGTATTAAAATCTATTAAAATAAGAAAACGTGTATGTTTGGCAGAAGACCTTTAACCATCGGGTTATCGAACCATTTAAACTTTCACAGTATAAAAGCGGTAACGGTGTCTTGTGCATGCATAAGTTTGCCTTGAATGTTTGACCTTTTGAAAATTCGAGCATTTTGGCAGGAGAGTCACGAAACACACACCTATGCAGCAAACATTTGTTCACAATAGAACTCTAATATTCGCACAAAGTTTAAGAAACACGTTTTGAAATAAAAACGGTGATCTCCAAATATCGTTCTTGACCACGATCACTTCCCATGCTTTTAATTATGACAAGTATATTTTACATTTTTAGGGCCATATTCAAATTTGCGACATAATATGAGATCTACGGAAGCCAGATGGCATCATCCTTGCGATTACGTTTCAGTTCTGCAAAGGCCGTTGAAAGGATATTGTGTATACTTGTCTAGGACATGAATGATTGCGTGTTTATAACTCAAACTTTAGAGCACATCTCATTCATACTGTGACCAGATTAACTTTCAATTTGACATATGACTTATATGATATGAATTTAATTTAAAAAATAATTAAAACACATTTATAGACGGTGATTTCTTCGTGGTGAGATCATTAATCGTGTTAGTTCAAAAACTCATGGGCAATGTTCCGTGAGAAAGATTGAAATTGCAATCCTATTCATATGGAATTAAAAAACGACTCTCAATAAAAGATAGAAAATGAAAAAGTTTGTAGCTGACAAATCAACTCATGTCTCAAAAACACACACTGAATATTAAAACATCTCACTTATTGTAATTTGGTAGTAGCATGGTACTAGTAGCACTAGGACGTAAATGACTGGTATTACAAACATACATATAACTACAGGAGAATAAATCATCATGTTCATCAAATGGATTATCATCATCATCCTGTAATGGAATGTACAGTGTATATTTGGCTGATATAGCACCATATTTCACGAGTAAAATTAAATAACCTATCATATATAGTTATGTATATGTTATCAAAATTGAAATATTCTTTATTATAATAGAAATTAAAATGTACTACGTCTGGTGCAGTCAACTTTTCGAAGCTGAATGACTGTTTAGTATGAACGGGAATATGCGCCAGTTTGTCTTTTGTGTTGTTTGATATTCTAGTATGCTAAACCTTATACTATTATGGTAGTTTTTACCCAAACATGTTTATTAATATACCACGTATTTTCTTGAATTAATGATATGAACATTTTTATTGGATCTAATTAAACTTATAAAAATACATGAAATCATCATTCTCATTGTAAGCAAACACGATGTGATATTGCCTTCATTAGAATGTTGGCGTTATGATGATGTGAAGCCGGAACATGCCATTCTTACGACAGAGGTCGCTCATTGCAGTCGTTTACAATGACTTCTCCCGCTTGAGCGGCATCGGTTCCTATGTAAATAATACCCCGCGAAAGTCATCCGTTTTACCTATCATCACCGGAAAGATTATTAAGATTAATTACATTAAGAATGCAAATATACCCGAGTTTGTTAACACTCTGGAGTGTCAACCGTTTTTGAAGGTAGATTTATAAACCACAGATTGACAGATATTATCAGTACACATGCATATATACACAAAATGGATTGACATGAAAAATGGATAGACATGGCTTGCACTCTTACCTACATCAGTTATCATTTCCGAGAAGATATGCATGCACATTCTCAATTTATATATGAAAATGCACGAACAAAATTGGACTGCATTTTTACATTATATCAATCTCGTATATTTATGTATGTACTTCTATTTGGAAAAAAAGTAAACCCTTTAATACTTTCCCTTAGTTTTGAGTAAACGAATGTATTCCACCAATAATTCTCAGAGTCGTGTTTATATTCAAAAAGGTCTGCAATCTTACTTTCTATCATTATCGGGTATATATGTACAAAAACACTGTTGATTTTTCCATTCTCGCCATATACGAATATGTAAACGCAACAGTGAATTGTACTGTTAATTTTATCCATTTTGGGTGTACAATGTTTGTACAATAATATACAAGCACTTTCTTACACTGTTTGGTATACATGATACATGTATGTTAAAATACGGATATCTAGTAAATGGAATTTTTCAGTAACTGCAAAAACTGTTTGATAGTAACATTAACTAATGTAAAAAAATCAGTATACAAGTATGGACATAATCTGTCTGTATTCGTTTGGCAAAGTGAGTCTCATACACATGTGTAGTTTGGTGGCAGATTTAGGCATGGGTCAGAAATTCAGAATATCTGAACATTTGCTATTACGGTGTTTGTACACTCATCAGCGGCAATATATAACTTGTGCATTTCTATACCATCTCATTGTTCGTTGGCATAGAAGTACGATGCGACCACCTTGTTCAAGGCATTAGTTTTTCATGACAATTCAACCAGTCATCCCTTGTACCTGACCTGCTGTTCTCATGCGAAGATCCTATGTAAGGTGTGTTTGGGTGAGGATATGGAGAATTTAGAGAAGTAATTACGCATATCTGCAATAAAATTCCATGCTGTAGAACAGTTCGCAAAAAGATTTGTTTAAAATGTACTTCTACTAATCATACAAACATGTATTTCAAATCGTAATCTTCATTTGTAAGTAAAGTTTTCATTGTAAAC